GATTCAGTGATCGTTTAGTTTCTTTGCATGCATTGGAGTTTAAATTATACTGTCTCATGTTTTGTTGGTGAATAGTTTTTATTTATTTTATAAAAATAAAGGGCAAGTATTTGTATTTAAAAGTATAGTTGCCATATTTACTTTTATGGTTAGCTGCTCTATGGATAACTATAAATTATTTATCATTAAAATACCGTTTTTTTACAACTTGTTATGAATAAAAAGTGTTTTATAATATGAAATGCATATTTTGAGAGTGAAATGCTTCGTTAGAAGATAAAACAGTCAGCATCTGCTTATTCGAGGAAGCAGGCGTAATGTTGCGATAACAAAAATATGTTCAAGTTGAAGTCAATCAAAATTAAAAACTGCTGTCACAAATGGTTTTAAATATGTTTGTAAATTCAAAAAATCATAGTGAGTGATCTATTCTTACAAGGGGAAAATATCCCTTGAATATTTTTTAAGGCTGGGCTACTACACTCAAAACATATATAAATTACGTTTACAAAAATAGACTGATGAAGGACCTGTCTATAGATACGCATGGTGCATTACTCTTTGTAAGTCCATATTTTAGAACAATAGATCTTTATTAAAAAGTGGGGCAACTATCCGGCTTTCCCCCTACATATGTAAACTCTCCGAAATTATGAGTCTTAAATACAGTGCAATAGGATTCAAATTACAATATCAGATATAGAAGCACACAAATATAAAAAGGAGTCAAAATTAATAATAGTCATATAAATTAGTACTACGCGGTTACAAAGCAAGTAAGAGATGTCAATAACCAACTTATGTCAACTTAATTATGTTTAAAATTCTCTTTTTGATATGAACGATGTTAATTGACTGTTAATATACAATTTGTTCGTAATTTTTCACCAGTTGACGGGGGCGTATTATAAAATCAGGCGCCCCGGGCCACTGATGATTTGCACCCCTCACCTCCCACCCCCTAGAATAAGCGAATGAAATGAAAACATAGGTTAGTAACGTATGGCTTCGAATTATTCATTCCATCCCTTTGCAACTCTTGCAGTCGCCACTTGCCCCGGATAGCGTTGCAGAAGTCTTAATAAAGCCAGACAAGGTTAATCTTCGTGATTGCATGTCCGGTCAAAATAAAACGTGTGCGGCTATTGTGAGGCTTTTTATATTTCTCAAACAAGCGAGCATCGAACGTGGCCACAAGCGAGTTGACTGTCGGTAGCTTGTACATACAATTTTTTGTCGTACCTAATATTACCGAGCCACAAAAGCCTTAAAAATGTAGAGTGTCCGGCCTTTTTACCCAAATGTCCGGGCCAAACTGGCTGGTCTGGGGGTCAATCGCCAAATGTATTGCTATGGCTATCGCTATAGCTTACGATTTTATTTTGTTATTTCTGACCGCTGAAGGTTTTAAAATACCTGATGCTCATATTCTTTTATATTGTTGTTACCAATACAAAAGAAAAAAGAAGAGCACGGGGCATTTGAAAACCTTTGGCGGTCAGAAATAACAAAATAAAAACGAAAGCAATAACCATAGCAATCCCATTAGGCGATTGGCTCCCTGGCCGGCTATTAGGTTTGGCAACCTGGCAACTGGGCCAGGCCCTCTTGGCCCTAGGATTAATACGCCCCTGCCAGTTGAATACCAGTCCAAAAACTGCAAACAAATTATTGGTTTCCAACAGAGTTATATTGCATATATAACATTGTGGATCTAGTGTGATTGTAAACTGTCGTTGGATTATAAATGGTAAATGGTATTTCTCACAACAGATAAAATTGCTGCTTATTTAGGTAATTATTTACTAATGGCAACATTAGGACCTCTTTGGTGCAAACATTGGCACTATATTTGAACTATATGACTTACCTAATGAATATTTTCCTTTTCACAGTGTTTTAATTCTGTAATTATTAAAAACTATATTAATAACTAAACTATTTGACTAGAGTGCGTTTCTTAGTCAGGCGCAGTGCGGTATAACTTATTATATTTTTGGTACACTAATATGCTCGATAAATCTTAGTGCGGTCAATATAAGTTTTTTTCCTATCCAATCACATCATTCATCCAATACAAAACTATCAAAGTGATTTTCAACCTTAATTGTATTCAATGTAAAGTTTAAAAATGTGAAACTAACAAGGATTTCAATACATATTAATAAGAAGAGAATAAAATTCATATATAAAGAGAGGGTTAGGTATCATTAAAGCCAGAAACATATTAACGTGTCATGGCGCGCCAGAAGCTCATCTGTTTCATTCATTTACTATGGTTAGAGACATATTCACGTGTTGTGTCGTGTCGACGCTTTAACCTCTCTCTCTATCTTTAACCCATAATAAATGTATGAAACCGATGCGTCACGACACGCCACGACAAGATGATATGTTTCGGGCTTTACACCCATAATCGGAACGAATACCTACAGGCCTACTCTAATTCAACGAAAAACTAAATTTCGATCGAAAATTCGTACTTTTCTCACTATGTTTCTGGTTCGTTTTTAATTATAATAATATTCGATGTCGGTATATAGATTGAGGTGTAGATTTTCTAAGCCATCTCAAAGAAAGCTTCAATTTGATAGTTTATCGTTCAAATTAACATAACCTTAAAATTACGAAATTAAATTTCGTTTGAACTTCGTTATCGAAAGTTCGTTTCGGAGAAAGAGAGTAGAGCCCTGTTATATCAACAGAATGGGTAGGTGTTTACGAAAATTTCGATAGCAATCTACAAAGACAACACTGGTTTAAACAAAAAAAAAACACCATTTACATAGAATAATGTAAGTCATACATATTTTCAATCAGTTTCTTAAAGGAACAAATATACACCAAAAATTTTCTTATCACTAAAGGTTCACTTCTAATTTTACCATATCGTGCTAATTATAAAGTCGACATTGGCATAACGCTAAGTATACAGCTATCTCACTCACTCTCAAGGCTGGAACACCATCCCTTCCCACTAAAAACTACATTCTAATGGAAAAACAAAATTTTAACTATTGTCTAGTTACAGGAAAATTGTTATGAGTTTAACTTTACTGCCCAAGAGGGGATTTTTGGATTTACTTTTTTTTGGATGGAGTGCGGCAGAATAACATAAGCCAACAATCCTGCTCCTTGTGTAGTCCCTCACTCTCACCACACCTGAGCCTTTTATAAATACTTCTTTATAAGCAGATGTATCCAGCACTTAAAAAGTCATTTTGATATTGATCATTTCGACACTAGTGAGAGTAAATCCAATTATCCTCGCTTGAGCTCTCCCTCATATAACTGTCTTAGAAAAATTTAATAAATATCATTTCGTAGGCACATTTCTTAAAGCGAAAGCTTAGCGTGAATTTGTTCTAATGAGCCACTGGACTCTAAAAATTATTAAATGAAAAAAAAAATGGTTCTCTGTAGTTTTTTTTCCAGTCACTTCATTAAGTAACATAATTATATAAAAGAGGAAATAGCTTGAAATAGCGGCAGTGCAGCATTCAGTCAAATGATACTAAGATTTGGTGGACAAAGACCTTAGGAAAGTTACCTATTTTACGAAAATTTAAAAATAGTTTCGATGGAATAATACTAATTGCTACTTTAAAGCGTGTGTCTTAAGGTCTAGTTTTGAGTATAATTTTGAAATAGAACTTTTAGTAAGCGTAGGAAGAAGAAGTTGCTCTTTAACAAGTCTAGCTCTTGTTGGACTAATGCTACGGTACTTGTCATAGCTATTCGTATTTGCAATTTGTAAACTTGACAAGGCTTCTTTTCACTCCTTTAAGAGTATGATAAGGCAACCTGCTGTCAAAATGACAAATAGCAAACACAAATACCCATGTGAAGAGCCGGCATAATAAAATCTCTATGCAAGCAGTATTTGGCAACATTAGTTTAATTATTTCATAACAAAATTTTGCTCTATGGCCATGTGGACTGTGCGAAAAGCCGAGAAAGACGTAGCAATCGGACGGTCAATAGTTCGTATAGGCTGCACCATCGCTCTCTGTAAAGCCGCCAATACCACTCGACGTGGGAAGCATAAGGTCTCATGTTAACATCCGACAGAAATCACTTTTTTAGACAGGCAAACTCAGCTCTTCGATCTCTTTCTAACATACCAACAATGATGTTTCTATCACTTTGCTTTGTGTAGTTTTTTGAGTTGCATAATATCGTAAAATTACTAAATTAAATCGCGGCATAAAGTTTCACAATAACTTGAGTTTTTATGCCTTTATATTTAGCATCATTGTAACAGCGAATCGAGTTTTATGCTTTTAAATATTTTGGTACAAATTTGGAACAGTTTTTGACATGCTACTTTTTGCTTCCAAGATTCATGTATGCAAAATTAAATGTATGAACACATAACTTTTTATGATTCTCGAAGTAAAGTGAATTATGGCCCTAGGATGACATCATGTTAGCCTAGCTTAACACAACGCGAGCGTAGGCAATCTGATACAGGGCGAGTGCTACCGTCCATACGTCGTGCAAGTTTGAAGAACACCAATGCAAGTGGCCAATATAGACGGACGAGACGACGCTTTGCGGAGCTGCCCATGCGTTGGTGCGCTATCAGTTATAATAGGCGACGTGAGACAAATGTTGGCAAGCGACAGCGAGTGCCGACAAGCGACGACAAATGAGGTTTCTACACGGTGGCGCTTCCCTCTACTCAGCAAAGTAGGCAAACGACACTGAGCAATGACAAGGCAAGACTAAGGCCTTCGCTTGGCCAACGTATATTAGGTGGCTTTAGCTAGTAATATTTTATGCGTCGATTTTTTAACTGGATATCAGATACAATTCGATAAAACTTTTATCGTAAAAAACAAAATTATACAGGTCAAACAATCGATAAATTTTTTATCGATTTAGACATTTAATAATGGTGCCAATTCTGGCGTGATTCTCTAAACTTCAAACTAAATTTAACATCAGTCTCTCCTTTTCATTCTGTATAGAGAATGACAAGGATATACTGCTGTCAAATTTAAGTTTAGGTTTAGAGAATCATGCTAGAATCGACACCATTAACTACATAAAAATCAAAAACATCTGTGGAAGTAGGAATTCACTAACTACGCAGCCTATATTTCTTCTGGAAACACTAAAACAGTATTTTTTCAATACTGCCAACACTGACAGTATATCCGAGGCGCAAACAGCGAACAGTTGTTTTTATGAATACTGCCAGCACACACAGTATATTCAAGGCGCAAACAGCCTTATATTCTTTCCGACAACACCAAAATAGTTTTTATTTTTTTCAATACTAGCAGCACTTACAGTATCACACGTGCTTGTTCTTGTGGTGGGTCGGTTTTCTTCGCCTATAGTTCGCCATGGTGCGTAGGATCTGGGTATTCTCGTCTTCAACTTCCCTGTCCATGCCGGAAGTGCCGGGGATTTGACCAAACAGCTTCAACTTTGCCGGAAGATATATGAGACCTAAGAGTGTTATTACTGGAAAGGAAAAAAATCTCTATTACGCTGGGGCCACTCTTAAGGGAACTGTCGTTAGTTATCGCGATCATGCACGTTTGACGAACACTCGTTTTTAGGGTTCCGTACCTCAAAAGGAAAAAAATGGAACCCTCACTGGATCAATTTGTTGTCCGTCCTGTCCGTCCGTCTGTCAAGACCGTTTTTCTCAGGGACGCGTGGAGGTATCAAACTGAAATTCATATCTAATACTCATGTTTACTGGTCCCTTGGAGCTGTGACAAAATCAAACTTCGAAGCCAAAGCCATCAAAAGATACAGCCGTTAATGCCCCAAATTTTAAGAAATCACACATATACCTGAGTTAGTTTTTAACTATTTTTCCTTATTATCATTACAATGGGGGTGTTGATTCTGGCATGATTCTCTAAACTTAAAACTAAATTTAACTTATTATTTAGGGAATGACAATGACAAGCAAACAAATAGGGTTGCCAGATTGAGAAGTCTAAATATCTAGATAACATTTAAAAATGTCGGAATTGCGGGACTGGTATCGTTTAATACATAAAATTACACCCACCCGGACGCCACCCCTCCCCCCCAAGACCGCTTCGCCCGTGTGCAACGCATACTCTGCATCATAGGTAAAGCCACCTCTGTACCCCTTGAAAGAATTAACTTACTGTTCAGTATGCATGGGAAGACGACATAGAAGTTCAGGTCCGTTGAATGGAAGTAGAAAGCCTCGCTGAAGTACAGTATTATGGTGAGGGTGAGAGACCAGTAGCCCATCGACACCACTCTGTAAAACAAAACAACAAAGTGAAATGGATATACCACCAAAATTATTTTCATGTAAAGTGTTGCTAAGATGAGGCCATTTGATTCGCACTGTCGAAAAGCTATCAGATCTCACGTAGAGCCAAGCTTCTAACAAACTCAAACATCCTCTACACCATAATCAAATCTAATCTAATTTATACTTACGGTCTGTAATGTATGTAGAGTGTACAATGTATCAGAGCCAATGCTTTAAGTACAGAATACATGCCAAGCATCCGGGATATTGTGAAGTCACCTGAAAGAAATACTTACATAAAAACTCTAGCAACAGAAAAATTGACACATTCATGCTATGCCAGTACACATATATTTTTTTTATGTTATAAGCTTGGTAAACAGAGATTATGGCCTGTCTAGGGTTACTATTTAAAAATTTGAAAAGTCCTGTCAAAAAGCAGGACATTTTGATAAAAGTCTGAACATTTCAGTCACAAAATGCAAACATCACCCACTTAGTTACAGTGATATTATATGTGTGGTAGCAGACGCTCGCATCGCGAAGGGGGTCTCGTTGTTGATTTTTTAAGATGATTTAAGGCAAAAAGTCTGGACATGTCTGGAATCCGGACGGATGGTAACCCTAGGCCCGCCTGATGGTTATCCGCTATAGCCTATAGACACTTGCAATACCAAATATATCCCTTACACTGTGTGTGCCCTAGTTCTATAATAACAAAAAATGGACCACGTAAATGAGGCTGATGACTTGATCAGTATAACTGGACTGGACTGAGAAAGGCAGGAACAGAACAGTACGGTAAGGGGAGAAGTCATATAAGTAAATAAAAGGGTAAAACTGTACTTCTTCGCCCAAGAGGTGATCATCATCATCATCATAATCAGCCTATTAATGTCCCCACTGTTGGGGCACAGGATTTCCCTATGGATGGAATAGGGAGATTGGGCCATGAACCACCAAGCGGGCCCAGTGTGGATTGGTGAGTGCTAACGACTGCAGATGCAGTCGGGACCAACGGCTTAACATGCTTCCCGAAGCACGGAGGAGCTCAAGATAATAATTTTTGGTCACCCATCCAATGTTCGACCACTGCGAAAGTTGCTTAAGTTCAACGATCGTGCTAACCATCATTGCGCCATCAAGCTTCCGGATGATCTCCGATCTATTGTTTATTAAGGACTATATTAACGCACAACTTTATGCTAGTGTGAAGTATCACCTCTTGGGCCCAGGAAGTACAGTATAGTTAATAAAAGCTTTATTCAACACCTTATTAACACTCCACTACCTGCTATAGGCATCAGGAATTTAACTTAGAATTACTTTAGTGCTTACTTTGTAATGCAAGTTAGTGAATTGTAAGTTAATGAACTACCATAACATTATTTTTACATTCAATAATTAAGACCCAATGGAGTTTATGAGATGAAGCTGTAAGGATATTTTGTATAAATATTGTAAGTGGCTGTTTTCAACAGTTATTAAGTTTGGTTTAGTTTTAACTCAGCATGGAATAATTATAGGTCCATGCTCACAGTAATAGTAGATAAGTAGTACTCACCGTCAAAGTGCTCATCACTGTTATTATTTAAAAAGGATCTTCCCTCAATGTAAGATCTGCCGGCAGTGCCCAAATCCATAAAGGCAACAAATGCAATCCAACCTCGAAAAGCGTACAAAACTTTATTCTGCACCGCCATAACTTACTAAATATATGCTAATGCAATTACTTCCGGCACATTTAACTCGTGCGACCTACATGCAAGCCCTAATTTTAGATTTAATTACGACTTATTGGCTTCAAAAGAATCGCATTAGTGAAACCAAAGAAATTACGATTATTTCACTCTTATAACTTAAAGCAGTACTCTAAATGCAACTAAAGTAATCCGTGTGTTCGCGCGTGCATCGCAATGCGGCATTTTACCTGCATTGTATATATTTTAACATAAAATTCATAATCAGATGTAAATACAACCTCGGTGCGCGCAGACTCATAGTCGATTGTCAAAACTAACAAAATGTCAACTCAACGTCACATCAACGTGTTTTTTTTTAACATTCTGCCTTTACAACGAAGGTAAAGGAAATAATGCACGTACAGCCTAGTCTTCAGTTTTATTAGTTTTCTTTTTATATGTATACATTAGAATGTCGCTGTGACGCGTTCTCATTGTTTCAGTTTCTTGTAGTGCTTAGCAAGAAATTTATCGAGTTAGCTTTTCGATGAGCTTCTGTGAGGTAGTCAATACAACAATATAATTCTCATGTCCACTTGACCGGAATAGCTGATATTTTTAAGATTCCACTATTCCGGTCAAGTGGAAATGAGAATTTTATTGTTGTATTGACTTCAGATGCGGTTCTAACACCAAATCACACCAATTTCAATTCACAATATCCACTATAAAACACACTCGATGTAATAGCGCCAAAAAACCACATTAGTGTCGATTCTCTACACTTAAAACTAAATTTAACATCAGTCTCTCTATTTCATTCTGTAAAGAGAATGACAAGGATACACTGTTACCAAATTTACCGCAGAGAGAGAGAGAGCAATCTAGGGTGTAAGAGTTAGGATGACCCTAAATGGCCACCTTAATTGTATGTGTGTATGCAAGCAGGGGCAATTTTCTAAATTGGTCCTGCTGCAGGGTGGCAGGGTCGTGAAACCACCCTTGGTTACTAAATTGTCCCTACCACCCTGCACGTTGCTGCGTGTGGAGCGTGATTGGGGCAATTTTTAAATCAGTTGGTTGGTAACTATCACACGGAGCGCACTATTATATATTTCGATTAAGGTGGCGTCAGATCCTAATGAGCATGAAGTTTGGGCTTGAGTGATAGAAGTATATAAAGACCGGCCCCACATGTGGAATAAAAAAAACACAAACATCTTTTAAGTACAATACATTTCTTTCTTTTGCCAATTCTTCAGCCAGTATTTTTTTTTTTGCGCTATACCATAGAAAAAGCTAAGGCCCTATTTACCGATCTTTTGATTTTTTGATAATACTAGGGCCATTATCAACGAGTGTGTTTAGCTCAACATAATGTAGAGACAAGCCGATATTGCTCCTACCGCCGTGCGCTCTAGATTAGCCTTGCGGTAGGGATATCAGTAGCCCGCTTAAAGAAACCTACAATTCTAGTCGTTGCTCAATTATTAAGCAAGATAATGGTGTCGATTTTGGCACGATTCTCTAAATCTAAACTTAAATTTGACAACAGGTTATCCTTGTCATTCTCTTTACAGAATAAAAAGGAGAGACTGATATTAAATTTAGTTTTAATTTAGAGAATCCCGCCAGAATCGACGTCATTATCATATTGTGTCTTATTCTGGTATTATGCTCTAATGCTGGCCTTAAAGTCTGAAGCATAATATGTTTGGATGAAGAAAACGCTACAATCATTTGAGGAATACTGATAATTCAGACCTGCAAGAAATATTTATTGATTGTTAAGTTTTTTCAAATACATAATCGTAAAGAAAGATGTGGATTTATGTTTAATTAATTCTTGCCATATAAAAAATTGTTACGTTATCCCCTTGCGACTGGTCAGAAAATCACCTAAAAATATCGTCGCCATATTGGTATTGTCAAAAAGTTAGGGATATATTGGTTTCGATGAAAAAATGGTTTCTCGTCTAATTACGTTCGAATTATTGCTAGCAGAGTGATCGAGTACTATCTGCTGTGACTTTAGATGTTTCTTTCAATAACTTCGTTGTGTTATTTGGTTTGTGAATGATGTTTCCTATGGAGAAATGTGCGGGTCACAGTGGCACTGCTACTTCGGAAGAGGCTGAGATGTTCACTGGACCTGTGCCCCCTGGGTTGGGGAAGGAAGGTGTTCACAGCGACGAAGTGGCTTCAGCGGTAGCTGCAGTCTCCGACGAAATCGGAGATATATTGAAAGATGAGTTGGATGCGGACAGGGCGGAGAGAATCGGCGCAGAATTGGCCGATCTGAGTGCTGAGTTGGGGTTGCTTGCCGGCCTCGCCGACGGTGATCAGCAGCAGGACTTCCCGTCACTCTTCGAGATAGCCGTAAGTCTCATTGCTGTATAAATAAAGTTGCACTATCGTATTTTCCCACGGTATCTTACAACCAGTGTGATGTTTGAATAGATTAGTAGTTTCTCTTAATTTTTACTTACCTTTCGTCGAAATGTAGACGTTTACATTAGCGACTTGTTGTCAGGGTTTCAGTGAACAATGACTATGATAACTTTACACATAAGTTTGCGTTTTGAAACTCACTACAAGGTTGCTAAATTTGTAACTATAACTTACTCTAAACTTCTTTAGAGTGCTATCATGCACATGATTATTAGAAAGTTATTAATTTGATTTGGTAGGTTTGTAATGTCAGGTTTGTGATGACTCACAAAATAATTGAATAAACATTTCTAAATGCATGTATCTATGATTGAACTGCACTATATAAAAAAATATTTTGGTTAGTGTACATAGTATCCAAAAGTATACATCCATTCAATCAAATTATTAATCTATTACTCAGAAATAAAATGGAACACTTAAAACAAATATTTAAGTATGTCAGGCCCCATAGCATGATCACCACAATTTACATTATATCACTTGTTTTATCGCTCCTAACTGTCTTAACTCCTTAGTAATTTGACAATTGAGCATGATAAAAACAAGCTATTTATCATAATATGCTCATGCTAGGCAGGGATGTGTCAGCTTTATTGTATAGAAGATCTACTGTAGATCTTTTTATAACTTGCATAATTTTCATTATTAATTCATACCGACCCTGCCAATCTCCATTATTCAAATAAAATTAAAAGAATTGCCATAGGTTGGGTTTTGTTAGTAACTTAATTCTTCCACTACAACGATGATGTTATTAGAGCAAAAAATATGTTAGAATGGTAATCAAGAGGAGCAAAGGAAGAAAAATTAGAAAATAAGCTTGTCCAGGATTTTTATAAATGTCAATGAATAATGACATTTAAAAATTTTCAAGAATTTGTTTCAAAAGCATATTCTTTCTCATATTTAATTTCTAGGTCGCTATTAATGAATATGCATGATAAGTGAATGAACTTTTTTAAGTAACATGGTAGGTACTGCTAATTGGTTAGTAATAACTTCTGATTTCACCTGGAGTTGTGCCAGGTCTTCTATGGAAATATGCCAGGAGTCAAGTCTAACCTTTTTCAAATATAAACATGTTGACAAACAGATTTTTAGTATTAATACAAACATAACTGTGAAGTTTGTAACATCAACTTGATTTATGAATTAAATGTGAATTTGTAAATGTATAATTGTCTTTTGCTATTATGCCAGTACTTCATTTGGCTATTCGTGTTTATTTGTAAACTAAATATTTTTCTGTCCTTTTCATTCCTAAAGCATGAGAGACTGTTGTCAAGTTTGTGATGCAGTATAATTAGAGTCAAACAGGAGTTTTAAATATTCTGAAAATACTATAAATTATGTCACACAAGATACATAGTTCAAATTATTCCTTAAAATAAGGCTCATTAAACTAGCTGTCAAAGTCCAATCTGGACATAGCTTAGGCCTTTATCACAATCATGGGGACATTGTAAGGCTAATAAACTTAAGCCAGCGAGAGATATATCATCAGCCTATTAATAGCCCCACTGCTGAGGCACAGGCCTTCCTATGAATGGAATAGGGAGATTGGGCCATGACCTACCATGTGGCTCCAATGTGGTGCTTAACAGTCCTTTCTGTTCGAATCGGAGCACCCATCTGGGGAATTAACGTCCTCCTTACAGAAGGCAACAGTAAAATAACACTACCTTTTGGTGGTGGTGTGTTTCTGTCGGTGAGTAAAGTTCCAGAGCTCCACAGGGTAGGGGATTGGGTCAGGGTAGGCAACGGTGCAAGTGATATTTTTGGCATTGCAAGTGTCTATATGCTTATTTAAACATAAAAGAAATTTGTCTAAAAATGTTCTATATTTTCAAAAATGGAGATATAGTACATTAATTATGCTGATGTATTTCCAGATGGGACACCGAGGTAGTGGCAGTGGCTCTTCTTCGTCATCATGGTCGGGAGGGCGCGGCGGTCGTCTAGTATCCCGACCGCAGAGGACTGCACGACGCCGGCCCATAGCTAAAGGGAAAGAGGTGAGTCGATAAGAGTGGCGAGCTGCAAGACATTTGACAAATAGGTAATCATTGCTGTCGCAAAGTGGCAAATACCGTGCGTTAGGGACAGCAGTAGTTAATGCTGAAAATCGCGTATAAAAACTGCAAAATTCAAGGTTTGGCTCTCAACGATTTTCTTTTTCATAATTAGATATAATTATGTAAAAGAAATTTTACCCATAGAATAATAAGTGTTAAAACTATATAGGCCTCTATTTTGCTTTTCTTATACTTGCTTATTGCATTTCCACAGTAGGCATCTTTAGTTGTGATAAAATTGTTTATATTTTGCATTCTTGAAGCTTTCTAGTTTCTTTGAAACACAAGTTATTGAAAAAAAAGGATGGCATAAGAACAAAGAATGAGTAATATTACATTTTATGTATGAAAATCATTTCTTTACCAATAAAAATCAAGGAGGAATCAGTCCAGAACGTTTGTATGGAAAAAACTCCCCTATTAAGTTGTTTTATGAGCCTCTATTGCGATGTAATAACAGCTGTTTTAATGAGGTTAGTAGCCAAATTTTGCTATGATGGGCCATAGCTAACGGGAAATAGGTGAGGTATATAGTGTATATTGTACGAACCTCTATTGTGTATGATAAGAAACAAATTCGTAGGGGGCTCTAAGTAACTGCTTTGATAACATGAGAGATGAGTTACACCGTGATCATGACGTTTAGAGGTGTACTTACCTGAAGTATGACTCTCCATGTTTTATGTGTGGTTGATCTAGTGTCATTTGCACAGGTTTTAATCAAACACCTTGTCATTCAGGCGTGGAGTTGTAATAAAAGCGCGGTCGAAACACGACTGTTTGAAAATTACGCACATTAGACGAATGTGCGTAATTTTGCTTCCGACACTTTTTGCTTTTGAGTGCGATTGTGGGACTACTTGTTTTTATATGTCAATACTTCAATCTACAAAGTTTAGTTACGTTTGAAAGCAACATCACTGTAATTTTGTTGGAGAAGTAGATTTCTTTTGTTTGATTTAAATATTTATATATGAGGTTCATCTCAAGGGGTGTTGGCATAAAATGTATTTTTTTTATTAATTTTGACTTCATAATTACCGTGATGTTTGAATCTCATTCTACCCGCAGGTCTCTCGCCGTCGGGCGGCGGCGGCGCGGCGCGCGGCATCACTCCGCGTCCGTCGGCCGGACGGGTCGGACGCGTCCGACGTCGGCGCCGACTCCGACTCCGACGACCAGTGGACCGAGCTGTCGGATCATTGTGAGTGAGCTTATTGTACATTAACAACAACACAACACTTATAGTCTTCATTATCAATACTATAACACTTTTATCGATCGCGTTTAGTTTTTTTTCATTCATTTACACTTAGGCGTTACCCGAATTCCATTGGCACTCGTATTCGAGCTAACGACCAAGTCTAATCGCGCCATTATAATAAGAACTTATGAAGTGAACTCTTTAAGCCTGACCCTTAACGCTGATCTAAGTTGCAGACTAAACCTAGTTTGTTTATAATTGTTGTATATGAAGGTCTCCTTTCACAGCGGGCACATCGGACACATCATCATCAGGGAAGGAAGTGGACAACGCCGACGACCTGGAGGGATACCATCACAAGGTGAGTTATAATAATAATAATAAAAATACCGTTTATTTCTGAACAAAGTCTAATACAGCTTTTGGATCAGAATTCAACACCAGTTATCCTACTGCAGAGTATCCCTATCAGGCTAAGATATCAATGCTGTACCAGTTATCTTCGCGTTTGGACTTTATCACCACTTAATATCAGGTGGGATGGAGTCATTTGCCTACCTCACTATAAAAAAAAAGAATAAAATGATCAAAAGTGATTCATTTTTGCCATGATTTGTGAATGATGAACAGTGCATCCCATCTTGTTTCAGGGCGTCCCACACTACGTTTACCGATTTTTAATAATTTTAATACTTGTAAAATACCCTATTAAGCGTGATAAAAACGAGCTATATATCATATCGCGGTGTTGTTGCTAGGATGCTGATATAAGGTCTTATTTCGCCCGCAGGCGGAGGCGCCGGCGATGGGCCAGTTCCTCCTGCCACTGCTGAGCGCCGAACCCAACTCCCCCGACGCTGAGCACTTTCTGATCCGCCACGAGGATATACTGCAGGTAAATTATTAGCCAATTAATGTTATGAAAAGTGAAACTTTGTGCTTTTGCTACACTGTCACACAAAAACGGGATTAAAATGAAATATGGACACCGTATAGTTTATTTCTTGGATTGAGACATAGTATACTTTTTATCAGGGAAAAGCTTTAATATAAATTTTTATTCAGAGTAAACAATAATATTTAATGGTCGTTATAATCTCTTGATTATAACGACACCGACACTTCATATGGCTATTCATGTTTGCTATTTGTAAACTTGACATCAGTTTGTCCTTTTCATTCCTTAAAAGGTATGATAAGGACCACAGAACCCAGAAAGAGGTTAGAAGGGTGATCATACACCGTTTGTACGGCAACTGATGTCGCCGACTCGCCTCCACTACATTTCCACCTAATAGATAGTAACCAATCAAACGACGCGACGTCAAAAAATCGACACAATCGGAGCTCACACCCGAGAGCAACGACGCAATCAAAACCAAGTTTTGGTCAAGTTATGAGCATTTGCTCACACATAACTATGGCGCGCCTGGCCGCCCACAATGCCCTTCTAACCTCTTTCTGTGTTCTGTGATAAGGCAGACTTGTCAAGTTTACATATAGCAAACAGACAGCCAAGTGAAGTTCTGGTATAAGACTTAAAAAAAAGAGCACAACCTTTATTTTTAACTTAAATTTATTTTATTTTCCAGCTTTTAGCATCTGCGGAAGACAGCGTCCGTGAAGAACTGCCAGTGGAAGACGAGCCACCAGTAGACTCACAGCCAGACATGTAAGTTTATTCGATAATGATGACATTAAATATGACATGACATTGACAAACAACTAACTATATTTGGCAAGTTTTTGAAAACGATCTCATGTTATTTACTATTGTTTGTAGAGTAACCATGGAGCAAAAAAGTATCACTACACTTGTACAGTTTAAAACATTTTTTTTATATATTTATTTTGCCAACAAACAGTCATTTACATAATATTGAGGTAAATTAATAATTAATGTACCTCTATATTATGTAAATGGCATAAGTAAATATTTATAGACCGAAAATGCCTGAAGCTTAATTCAGTTAATACAGTACAGAAATTGACAAACTGTCTGTGACACTGTTCCGTTTAATTGTCACCAGGCTGTCAGATAACGACATGTTTTCTTGTGAAGAGGAAGCACCTATTACTCCTGAAGAAGAAGCCGCGCTACTGCACTACGTCTGTGGTAAGAAAACTTTACATTAAAAATTGTTCTAGTTTTATTTGTCGTCAATTAATAGATGACATTTTTTTTATGTTAAAAACGTGGCAAATAAGCGTACGGTCCTTATTTATAAATAAGTTAGACGAATGTAAGCCCGAGACGAAGTCGAAGGTTTACCATAGTCAAGTGTTTACCAATTGCGAATGAATGTCATACCTTTTTCAACAGATTTGCGAGAAAACATTATAAATTTGAGTAATGAAGCAAAATTTTTCTTAGAATTAAATGGCACACATTTCCTCGCAGCACCACGTGCTAGTGGTGAAAATTAGGACTGCATTTTCGGCTCATTTTCTTTTTTTATTAGTATTAAAGTGAGACAAACGTATAGACTATAATAAAACAGCTTCCAAGGAGGTTGGATCGACATAAAAAAAACGCACGGTGCCGTATACCGGAGCGTGCGGAAAAATTATTACCGCACCTTCTGTTGCATGGTGCGTGATTTTGAACTTTCGAAAAATGCTATGGACTGTATAATATTGTCTGAGAATAAATTGGAAGCGGGGCGAGATTTTCTCCTGATGATGACATTATTAGAGACGAAGATGTAGCGGCCAATTATACAACCTTTGTAACTGCTTTTTTGAGCAATTGTGTTAAAAAAAATGTTAAGTGCTTTATTTGACGTTTCCAACAGAGGGAGAGCGTTCTCCGGAGGATACCATATTCAAGCCCGTGGAGGAATGGTTGCTGGGCGTTTATCACTCCTGGTGTGAAATATCCGCTTTAATGTACACGCTGCGAGGGACCAATATGTGAGTTTACTTTTACTTATAAGTGTTTTTACATATATTGTATTAAATAAATATTTCCAACACTCACACCAATTAGCCTAGCCCCAAAGTAAACACTGTAAGGCTTGTGTTATGGGATACTAGGGTAACGGATAGAATACATATACTGTACATATATAAGTATATTTTTATTGAAATACATATTAAACATCCATGACTAGAGTACAAATGCTCGTATTCATCACACAAACATCTGCCCCCACCGGGATTTGAACCCGCGACCTCTCGAATCGGCGACACCATGAAACCCGCCGTACAAACCACTCGGCCACGGAGGTCGTCGTATTATATATCTTGTATCATCCTCAGCTTATTAATGTCCCCACTGCTGGGACACATGCCTTCCCTATGGATGGAATAAGGAGTTTGGGCAATGACCAACCAAGCGGGCACAGTGCGGATTGGTGGCGACTGCAAACTCAGCCAGGACCAACGGCTTAACGTGCCTTCCGAAGCACGGAGGAGCTCGAGATAGTAAATTTTTGGTCACCCATCCAATGACCGACCACTGCGAAAGTTGCTTAACTTCAACGATCGCAGACGAACGCGCTAACCGCTTGAGCTTTCCAGCTCCTCTCATACCCTCTTATTAATAAATGAAGACTAAGCTTTATTTATTTATTTATTTATTATATGGTTTACCAGTGTTTGTTAACACATTGCTTAAAACTATTTACAAGATTAACTATGAACTCTAGTGAAACAATCTACTAAGATAAACACCGCATTCATTAAAGTAGACGCCAAATATAGGCATTAAGTTCATTACAATATTAATATTATTTATTTCCTAAGTTATGACGTTGTTCTTTTTAATTATAAATTACAATACAGTTTTCATATAACTATCAAGCTTAATCAGTTAGTTTGATGCCATGTTTGGGACAATATTCTTTTGAGCTTAGGAAGTGAATCCATAAAAATATCAATAATATCACTACAACCGTTAAGGACCTTTGACAACCTTGGTATTGGGAAGTTTGAGCCATGTACTGTTTTACGAAGCTTGGATTACTTACTCTATGATTTCTCTCTGTTCATTGATTGACAAATGGCATTTCAGTGATATGAACAAGACGCGGCATAACTGGTCTAAGCTTACTCCACGTTTATTGGGTTCATAAACGATATTCATAGCAAATTTCGTCCAAAAAATCTTTTCAGTAGTCTTTGCGCTATTGAGTAACAAACATACATATACTCTCACATTTATAGTATTAGTGGGATAATATTTTTTATTATTTTAAAGCATGTAACTGCTTCATGTTTAAATCTAAAGAAAATATAACTAGAAAAAATTCCACGCGGACCAGGCAGCAGACGGGACTCGAACCCGCACCCTTCGCAATCCGGGCGAATGCACTGACCAACATTGGGCATTCGTCCGCGTGGATTTTTTTTCTAGTTATATTTTCTTTAGATTAGTGGGATTGTTAAGATTTTTTGCACGCCTCACAACGCATAAGCGTGTGGGAGTGCTTTACTCTCGATAGGCCGTGTGACGATTTGACAATATAAAATCGCTCTTATCTCCCAAGTTAGACACTAAATCAATAAAAAAGGGGTCTTTTGAAAACTAGACATATTAAATTATAAAGTCAGCGTATGTTTTCATTTATTTTTTTAGTACATATAACAAAATAAAAAAAATATTAGTACTGCTGTACGTTAATTAAAAGTGTGTGCACTTGTTTGTCTGCACGTTTTAGAAAAATATACGCAATTAATTGTAAAAAATCCTTTTGAATTAATTTCCACTTATGAGGATGAACCCTATTTTTTATCATGATTGAACTGATAACCGTTTTAAAGATATTAATGAAATTCAATGGAATTCATTTACTGGCTTTATGTTTCGTGAATGTGAGGCGTGCTTTTTTGGATTTACCATTTTTTTTATTATTCTTTTGTTGTCCAGGAGCGTGGAAATGATGAAATCCGACTGGATATATCGAGCCCGGTTCCCGTGCCACTGTCGGCTGTGCGTGTGTCTGGCGGACAACTCCGGCCCAGTGGCTGCACTCATACGGGAGATTCTATGGGCCTTAGCGCACGGTAATAAGATTTGTTATTATTATTAATATTTATCATTTACTAGTTGACCCCGCGTACTTCGTACGGGTTAAAATAATTTGGAAGAAATGACGGACCCAAGTCTACCGTACCAAAAGGGACGAACGTCAAATGTTTGACAGGAAAGAAGATAGAACAGTTTGTATGGGAAAATTAAATTAACGTTTATCTTCCTGCCAATTTTTCCATATTTTCTCACCTTTTAAAGCTTCCCTAGACCTCCACGAACATTTCAAGACCAAGATAAGATAAATCCGTTCAACCATTCTCGAGTTTTAGCGAGACTAACCAACATCAGTTATTTTTTATATATATAATTTTCAGAGACTACATTCTCCATATAGTTATTTCTTTTATTTTTAATTTTGTTAAAGAGCTGCTAAGATTTTCGCTACATAAGTATTGGCTGTTCAAATATATTAATTTTTAGCATAATGCAAAAACAATCACAGGCAAATTCAACATGGATACGCAACAAAAATATTGGACTGGCACAATGACAATACTAATAATAATAATAATTATTATTATTATTATTAGCAATGACAATACTATTTACTTATTCTTAACTAAGCACATAATATTGTGTAAATAGGGGAAGCAAAAATGTTATTAGGAGAAAAAAATAAATACACCAAGTGGAGTGCAATTCATAATATTATACGTAGTTTATACATACAATAATTTGGTCATCATTCCATCACACATCCTACTTATCTGCTTGGTAATATCATCATCACCATCGTTATCGCCCATCCATCCTGTAATCCGACTGGATATATATCGAGCCCGGTTCCCGTGCCACTGTCGGCTGGGCGTGTGTCTGGCAGACAACTCTGGCCCAGTGGGTACACTCATACGGGAGATTCTATGGGCTTTAACGCACTGTAATATGATCTTTGGTCACCCATCCTATGACTGGCCATTGGGAAACTTACTTAACTTTCACGATCGCCGCCATCGAGCTCCTCAAATGTCATCGTCATCATACGGAGGATGGACCCATCTTGATTTTATTTTAAACTTTCATGGTCACTAACATTATAGTAATATAAGTTATTTACGGGATTGTTACCATGTACCTTGTTTTTAACGAGTTTCCGATATTTCGGCACTGTTGCAAGCGCCATGATCACGAAGTAACTCCGTTACCGTTACAGTAACTGTAAACTCGCTAGAAACAAGGTACATGGTAACAATCCCGTAAATAACTTATATTACTATAATGACCCATCTTGACTTTTGTTCTCCGCAGTTAACGAACGAAATGTTGTATACAGGTGGCAGTACAGCAGGCATGGCCGCCAGTATAGTTCGTTCTCTACGCCTCCGAGCGGGCTCCACGTTGACGCCGCGCTGCTGGGACGTGGCGCGACTCTATCGATTACCCGCCTCGCCTGAAGGTGAGGCAAACGCACTAGGGGAAACCACCTTAGATTAAAACAAAAAGGGTTGATACAGTACGCTCATACTAGCATCAAATCAAATATGATCCGTCTCAACTACATAAGCAACTCTCACACAAACATTCAATCGAGCGAGTGAGACGGAACTATACGCTTCAACACAGCGTATTGTTGTAATTTCCTTGATAACAAAATGGCGATTATCTAAATAACATTCACGACAAACCGTGATTTTAGAGAAAAAATGTTTTTACAGTTTTACGAATGAAAAGTGTTGCCGAGGCATTTGTTATTTGATTTTGAACTATTTCTGTTTTTTTATAAAAGCAAGGCATTGTTTTATGTTCATAACACAGAATATACGCAATATTGTTATATTGAGTGCTCATGCAGCGTGTTTGAATGTCCAATTGTGACTAAAGCTAATTATGGTCATGCATCACAATTTAAGCAGATCACTTTTGAGTCGCGAATGCCGTATCTTCCCTTTTTGTTTTAATCTAAGGAAACTACCCAATCATTGGCACTCTTCCATTTAAATAAAACAAGTTTCAACGGGTTAGATGCACCGATTTTATTTATTTATTGACGATTTGCAAACCTGTTCAAACTTGTTTTATTTAATGAGTGATGTGCGTGAAAACCTAAGAAACAAATACTCATCATTTCCTGGCACTTTTGAGTTTAGTAAAAAAAATAAGGACAACAGATTATCGAAATGGTACTGCCGATTTTCAATATGTGAAAACTTTTTAGTGTCGTTTAGACTTAAGATTCGATAAAATGAAATAGAGTCTTTGACACAAGGTGGGTATTCGTAATTTTGTACACGCTGCAAGAGACGGATAGCCAAACGAAATGGACCTTTGCGTTGATACCAAATGATCGGTGATTCGATCCTTAGCTCGGCCAATGTTATTTTACCAGCGCTATTATTAATTTTTGGAACATTATTTATGAATATCTAAGTTTGCCCGGCATCATTATTTCAATACCTGAATACCGAATCAGTATCAGATGTATGGTAAATAGGTAGTTTATTAGTACATCCCGTTTTTTTATTATTTTTGTAATGAAGTGACGACTTTTTGTTTTGACAAACGTATTTTATATAAGCGATAGAAAGTAAATAAAAACGCCAAATAATTTTGTTTGGACTCCAGTTTGCTTTTCACTCCACAAACAAAAAAAAAATACAAAAAATCTTCTTCCAATGAGCTAAGAAGATTCTTACATGACATGACATTTAAGACATTTATGAATGACGTCCAAAAAGGGCTGCCAGATCAAGTTTTTCTGGTCTGATCAGATTATTCACTCTAAAGTTATCGAGGTCCGACTGTAGGATCGTTTTCTAAAACTTATCAAATTACCTATATACATTATATCACTTTTTTTCATCGCGTCTCACTGTCGAACTACATAGTTATTAGACAATTGAGCGTGATAAATACGGGCTATTATTGGCGCGTTCAACCAAACAAAAAAAAATGAGTGTACTTATGACCACATGACTGAAGTGAAACTTCCTGCTCCAGTTATGTGTCTGTACAATATATACATGTATGTACATATACATATTTCATTTACTAGCTATAAGAGAGAGAGAGAGAAATAAAATGCGCGCGCACTGCTTTCTCTTGCTTATATCCCCCACTCAACTCCCTGTCGCCTCGCCCGAACACACTTTTCGTAACGCATAACGCGTTCGCCAGCTTACTCCCCAGGTCAAGCGTGCGTAGAGAAGTTTGCTTATATCCCCCACTCAACTCCCGTTCGCTTCGCCGGATCACACTTTCGTAACGCGTAACAAAAGAAGTTTCACTTCAAAAAGCCTCAGCATAATATTAGTATAGATTATTTCATCCAACAATGACTTTTATTATTTTACAGGAGAGGCGATAATCCACGAGCAGTTGTGTCGTTTATCACAACAGAGCGAACTAACTGCCCAACTGGTGGACAAGATATGCCTATGTCGAGAGTTCCAACGACCCGTCGAAAAGCAGTAAGTATACGATAATGACCCTTAATTGTGTAGGCAAGAGAGGCGAAACTCCTTTGATAGGCGAAGAATATGTTCTGTTGAGAACATAGAAATGATATATAAGCATTACTCTTTAACAAAGGTCACTCAAACATTGTTTCTAACTGATACAACTAAACTACTGTCCCGCCCAGTATATCGCAGTTTGCGTGGTACCAAAGCACAGTTTGTACCCTTAATATTTCTAATCCAATCCTAGGCGTTTTCAATCTCGTGAAAATATAACAAAAAATCGTTTCTATTTAATGATTTTTTCAGAAAAGTTAATTATCATTAAAAACGCTAACGCTAAAAGTTAATTATTATGTTCATATTAAATACAGATGCCAACAATCGGTACTTTATTTTACATACTGTCAGATAGCCTTTTGCGAAACAATCAGATTTTATACTTAAACAAGTGAGCTGCCATTTCATTTTCAGGCTTACGCATCACTGCTAAAGTCCAAAATCGCTTATATCTATAGACACTTGACTCTTGCATCCTTCAGTCCCTGTAGCGTGAGCACCACAATTTGCATCATGGAGGTTAGAGAGAAGGAGAACGATCGCTGTAGAAAATAGTGTCCCAGAAATATGGACAAAATAAGTGAGGCGCTGTGATCGCTAAGTTGTCTCAATAAAAGCGGGTTGTTGTGCGCTAATTTGATATGACCAATGCCGCGAAGACAATTTGTACAATAATCAACTAACTTCATCTACTTGTAGTCATAAACAGCTAACTTCACAGATACTACTTACCGACGGCAGCGCGGCTGGTGGCTGAAAAATTAACTATAAATTCTACAAAAAATTTCAGGGACAGGCGGGCTAATGCTTTAGCACGTAGCGTTCTTCTTCTCTCTAACCTCCAGGACATTATATCACGTTTTTAATTGCGTTTAAATGTCAAACTCCATAGTAATTTGACAATTGAGTGTGATAAAAACGCGTTATATATCATATGGCGGTGCTCATGCTAGGGGGGCAGGTAGTTATTACATGTCTATAAAATAATGTGAGTTCTTATTTCTATTTTCAGGTACGCAGTAGAGAGATTCTGTAGAATATTGGAGAGTTTCAAAACTGCGTCTACGATCACGTTCAAGGTATAGTTTTAACTATATTAATTTATATAAAACGGGTTAATGCACGAACTTTATTTATTTATTGAGGTTTCGCAGCCTTTTCAGGTCTGCAGATTAATGATTTTTTATTTACTTTGTCGAGCTACCTTCGTAAGATTTTTATTGAGCGTTCGGATATTTCATTGGAAGAGCTCAAATGTTCAAAAGGCTTATTCCTTTTGTAGTAGTTTTATTTCTTTTTTTACTAATATAAGTATATAGTACTGTAAGGCTCGCTTGTTTTTTTATTATATAGGTGGAAATGGTCCCTTCCCCGTCGTCGGGCGGCACCGGTTTGGGCGGCACGTGCCGCTCGCTGGCGCCGCAGCGGCGGGATAGTGCCGCGCGCCGCCTGCGCGACATGCGGCGCCGCACCACGCCCGCTCACCGTATGTTTACATCATCATCATCAGCCTATTAATGTCCCCACTGCTGGGGCACAGGCCTTCCCTATGGATGGAATAAGGATATTGGGCAATGACCCACCACGCGGGCCCTGTGCGGATTGGTGGGTGCTAACGACTGCAGATGCTGCCGGTACCAGCGGCTTAACGTGCCTTCCGAAGCACGGAGGTGCTCGAGATAGTAAATTTTCGGTCACCCATCCACTGCGAAAGTTGCTTCAACGAATTCAACGATCACAGCCGAACGCGCTAACCACTTGCGCCATCGAGCTCCTCAACCTTATTTACCACACTACCACATCGCTTAAACCTTACATACTCGAATGGGAAATTTAAATATGAATACATCCGATTAGTTAGTTACGCCATCCTGTTACATATCACCATATAACTAGAGATCTTTATAGAAATATAAGTTGGGGATTGTTACCATTTACCTTGTTTTTAGTGAGTTTCCGATATTTCGGCACTGTTGCAGGCGTCATGATCACGGAGTAACTGACCGACTGACTGTTAGTGACCATGAAAGTTTAAACAATATACAGGGTGGTCAAATTAGTGACGTCAAAAATTTTTTTAGATTCCTCGCACCTGGAGGTATCCGAAAATACCCATGTATGTTCCGCGATTGTTCGTAGTTTTCGAGTTATATTTTTTGTTGAGTATTATTTATTATGTTCAACTGGCTTATACCTTTTTCCTTTTGTAGTAGTCTTTTTTATTTATTCTACTATAATATAAGGTGAGGTTTCAAATGTTACACATCATACGAGACTACTGTAAGGCTCGCTCGTTTTTTTCATATGCAGTGGAGCCCCGGTAACCCGGCCCCTGGCTAATGCGGCACCCCCTGTAATCCGACATCGTCTATTACATACAAGAATTCGCTAATTCACGATTGAACAAGTTACAACTTGCACGCACCATCACTATTGTGCTCGACGCGTAGGGTATTGTTTTTTATATTTTTTTGTAAAATCTATAGCATTAATGACGTTACTTTTATAATAAAACGTAATCTTTCTATTGTGTTGTTTAATTTACTAAATTTGACATACATAACAAAGTATGATTTGTAATCTTATCATTGGATCTGTAATTTGTCTGATTACAAGGTACTCTTTTGTAAAAAAAATCGGACTATAGGGGGTCTTAGGCAGTACTCTAGAATCCGACAAATTCGATAGTTCGACACTGCCCTGCAAAATGTTTGTCGGACTACCGGGGATATACTGTATTTTTTTATTTCTGTATACAGTGAGCGCGTGGGCGGGATACAAGCACCGATGCGACTGTATAACGCCGCGGACATTGTGTGCGCAGCAACGGAAACAGTTGTTGAGGTAATTATAAGCAGACCCCTCTTACCCAGTGGGCACTTTGGGCAAGTGCCCAGGGCCCCGCGATCGATAGCCCCCCCCCCCTCCCCCCAGGTCAAATACAAAGTCCCTAGTTCCTGTTAGATCACTAAACGATAACCAATATTGGAGTTTACTCCTTAAGAATCGATTTGCATATATAAGGGGCCAGGTATGAGAAAAATGTGAGGAGTAAAATCTACTGGACAAATGACCCCGTTACGTTTTTTATTACAGGCGCGGCCCGAAAGGGGGGGGGGTCACAGGTGACATGACCCCCCCCCCCCCCAAATCTAAGGTCAAAATGTAAAATTTGCCAAATAATAGTTTGAGCTATGACCCACCACGCGGGCCCAGTGCGGATTGACGGGTGCTAAGGACTGCAGATGCAGCCGGGACCAACGGCTTAACGTGCCTTCCGAAGCCCGGAGGAACTGGAGATAAAAGATTTTTGGTCACCCATCCAAAGACCGACCACTGCGAAAGTTGCTTAACTTCAACGATTGCAGCCGAATGCGCTAACCACCCGCGCCATCGAGCTTCTGAATCCAATAAACGTATTAATTTTAATAAAATTTTACTAGAGAAAGTTCCACCGTCCAGGCAGCAAACGGGACTCGAATACTACCTACAATGCGAAGAGATGGCGTTGCCTTGCAGCCTAAGAAAGGCTAGGGAAAATTCGACAGAGCCGCAGTAGCATAATGGTCAGAGCATTCGCTCGGATAGCGAAGGGTGCTGGTTCGAGTCCCGTCTACTGCCTGAAACTGATTTTTTTTCTTATGATTCAAATGCTTAAAACATAGCATTTATTTTTTTGAAAATGTTTTAATCAGCCTTTAAAAATTCTATTCTTTTCTTTATAAAATTCTATTTATTTATTCCCAAGTTGTAAACCTTTTTTTTTTCTGTAAGAAGGTTGGCTTTTTTCCGCCGTTATGTTTGTTTTTCCAGAATTTTAAAGCTTATTTCACTCGTAACGATGAAAAGATTCTAGCGATACCTTATTTACTTTCTTTTCTTTATAAACGAAACGAGAGAAACAAATTAATCGAAATGAAATTAATCTTAAGTCATTTGGTCTTTCTGCCACATCAAAAGTGACATCAGTTTTGGTTCAGGTCATGGAGGTCAGAGAGAAGGAGAACGATCACTGTAGAAAATAGTGTCCCAGAAATATGGACAAAATAAGTGAGGCGCTGCGATCGCTAAGTTGTCTCAATAAAGGCGGCCTGTTGTGCGCTAATTTAAAATGACCAATGCCGCGAAGAAAATTTGTATAATATTCAACTAACTTCATCTACTTGTACTCATAAACAGCTAACTTCACAGATACTACTTACTGACGGCAGCGCGGCTGGTGGCTGAAAAACGAACTATAAATTCTACAGATTTTCAGGGACAGGCGGGCTAATGCTTTAGTACGTAGCGATCGTTCTCCTTCTCTCTTACCTCCAGGGTCCTGGTTTAACTTTATCCTATGTTTTGTAATAAGGCGGTTATTTGTGTCGATTCGACAACAGTGTATCCTTATAATTCTCTATACAGAATAAAAAGGAGAGACTGATGTTAAATTTAGTTTTCTGTTTATAGAGTCATGCCAGCATCGACACCATTGTCTAACATATAAAATTATATTTATTTATACCTATGTATTTTGTCCGCAGCATCTCGTTCTTCGGCATGATGCAGGCGGTGAACGAGTTCACGGGGGCGAAGCCCGACGAGCGGCCCGGCGACACCGAGCAGCGAGCGCCCTGCGAAGCCCTGGATAAGTACGGACTTTTAAATAAATAAATATTTCCAACACTCTCACCAAAAGGGTATTTGACAGTGTTAAAAATAAAGTGCCAATTGTTAGCATCTGTATTTAGAATTAATGTTGGCAAGGGTTTTTACTATTTTTACAAAAAAAGTATTCATCATTTTACTAAAAACTAACGAAAAAGATATTAGTTTTCTTATCTATTGTCACGTGACCCAAAACGCTTGGGATTAGCGGAGCCAGTAAACTTCCGGTTAAAGTGACATTACATTGTATCGTTTGACGTTTTAATAACAGTCGTGTGACGTCAAACATTAGTAAGATGCCATATTGTCCAGAGATACGTTTTCGCGGCAACTTGAAAATAGAGTTTTTGATTTGGTTATTTTTACTGAAATACACAACAGAATTATGAATATTCACTTTTTACGGACTCCATAAACATTAGTCAATAACGTGAGATCGTTTTCTATAACTTGTCAAATACCCTATTGCGGATAATTTCTGGTTTCCGATCCCTCTTATAGTATTAAATGTTTGTTAGAATTTTAATATTGTTGCAGACCGCCGGATAGCGCGGAGGGCCAACCGGCGAACGCAGCGGACGAACTGAGCGACTGTCACCAACCGTCCAACGAACATGACAACGCTGACGAACGTGAGTCCATTTATTGTACAACTAGCGGCCGCCCGCGACTTCGTACGCGTGGAGTTTGTTAGAAATAAAGGTTCACTGCTCGTTCCTCGTAGGTAGTACTTCTTAATAATATTCGTGCCAAATTTGAAGCAAATCCATGCAGTACTTTTTGAGTTTATCCCGGACATACATACAGACAAACAGTCAAAAATTTTAAAAACCATATTTTTGGCTTCCGTATTGATTGTAGACGACACCCCAAGTATTCTTTTAAAAAATTATTTAATATACAGTTTTGACTTTACTACCATTTTATTATATGTATAGATTTATCTCAACGATTCGGCTGGTAGTTGATGTCATTTTTCTGTACTAAAAAGATCTGCAATAAAGATTTGATATAATTAGGTCTAAATCCAAATTCAACTGAACCAAATTCAATTAATTTGTTATTAAATGGGTATTAGTCATTTTTCATAACAGTAATATTGTACCTATCTAATGCCGCTTCGTATATACTAAATACAATGTTTACTATTAAATTAATTGTAACTATATATTTATATTCTAAATGATGTAATGGAAAGTGACTTCAGACGTAATTCTGAAGTGATTTTTCAACTTGACGACACTGTATATAACAATACAGGGAGAAAAAAAAAAACAGCCCTTGCTTTCTTGCCGGTTCTTCTCAGTACAAGGTCTCCCGCCGTAGTTTTGCGAACCGATGGCGTAGCTTCTTAACCTTCACAAGTGCTTGTAACAGCCTAGACTGAATAAATGACTTTTAATTTCATTTCATTTTCATTTCATTTCAATATGAATGGAAAAATCTCTTCCTATCTCTCTTTTTATTTCCTCTACTCTCTTGCTAATTCTTTCTGTTCGAACTTTTTATTTTCCGGTCAAAATAGATATTATACTATCTTTTCCAGTGACGGACTCCGATGCGAACTCTGGCACCGCTTCCCTAGGCCTTTCGACTTCCTCATCCCTGGACTCTGCGTCAGAACTCCTGCTGGCGGCCGCGGCTGCCGTCGAATCTGGAGGCTCTGAGGGCGAAGCGCCCGGGGAACTATGTCGCACTGTCAGACACCTGATGAAATCCATAGCTTCTATAGAGAGGCTGATGGATCGGGTGTTGAAGCACTGCGATGAGTGGCCCACGCCGCCCAGTAGGAACGACCATGAAGCCAGGTGAGGCGACGGTTTCTTAGACGAAAGTCGGTGTATAAATATAGGATTTGGGTTTTTGTTGTTCTTTTGAAGGGCAATTACCACTTGCAAGACTTCAATCTGTAGCTGAGTCAATGGTTTTCTTAGGATAAAGTTGATGTGAAGATATAAGGGTAGATGTCGTAGTGACGGGGAAGAGCAATTAGCACATACAAAATTTGATACACAAAATCTGTGAGTCAAAGGTTTCTTTGGTAAAAAATTGCGTGGAATTACGGGAGTAGAGTTATTTCGCTTCTTAAGAACCATCCAATCACCTTAAGTTAAATGTGATAAAACTATGTCATACTGTAACACACCTGATGGGGTCCATAGCTTCTATAGAGATTCTGATGGATCGGGTGTTGAAGCACTGCGATGAATGGCTCACGGCGCCCATCGTGAACGACCATGAAGCCAGATGAGACAACGGTTTCTTTGGTGAAAGTTGTTGTGGAAATTTGGGAATAGCGTTTTCGTGGTGATTTTGACGAGCAATCACCACAGGCGAGATTTGAATGTCTATGTAAGACAACGGTTTCTTATCTGTAAGTTGTTGGAAAAAAATGGGATCAGGGGTTTCATGGTGATTATGAAGAGTAATTACTACTGCATGTAAGATTTACTCTTATATGAAACCTTCTTTATTGACCACATTAAAGTGGTACAAAAGGCGAACCTAATGCTAAAAGCGTTCTCTATCAGTCAACTTTTAGAAAAAACGATAAACATGAATGGTGTACAGCTAAAAACATAATAAATAAAACAATATATAAGATCAACTAAATTTATCATACATACATACGTAAATATATTCATAACTACACATATGCAAATATACACAACATAATAAAATCTAAAAAATAAAATGGCTTATTTTTAATTTAGCAGAATATGAGTGTAAACATTCCGATTAAATATGAGTTTATTAGGACACCAGCTCGAACCAATATCGAATCCGAATAGTTTGCGAGTCCGAAATGTCATTGTCTGGTATGGAAACTTGAACAGCAGCGCCACAACGGACGTAATGAGAACTAAAACTCAGTACACATTTGACTTATAAAATATTGTTAAATTCAACTATTCGAATTCGATAATGGCTCGTGCTAAAGGTACTGATTGTTAAGTTTTTGATGTTAATTATATCTTAAGTAAATGTTTAGTGGAATATTGGAAATTGAAGCATTTAGATGTTCCATCCATAGAGATGGCTTGTGCCCAGCATTTGGGACGAGGGTTACCAACTTGTTTGTCTATCAAATATAATATTTTCGAAGCTCTAAAATTATAGTAGATGGCAAAAAAATATAGTAGTTATGTGGTTTAAATATTTAATTTAGTTTTTAAATGAATACTTTTTGCTAATCTGTGCCTTACTAATATTTTATTTTTATTTTTAAGAAAGCTTTCACTGATAAATATCCTCTTTATGCTAAATATAGTAGTTTTACCTACTATATATTTGTTGTTTTTAAGTAATATAGTATGTGATCTAATATAGTATACTATATTATATAGTAGAGTTGGCAACCCTAATTGGGACATTAATAAGCTGATCATGATGATAATATAGGAGACTGTTAATTCTAGATTTTACAAGATTTTGGAATTAATTCACGTATTTAATTGACTAAATTATTCCCAGCACAAGCAATCACATTGCCGTGTGTAATTTAAATTACCATACTGATTTTTTTTTATCAAAACTTTTTGTGTCTCAGGAAAAGGGTGGACATGGGCTTGTCGGAAGTGGACCGGAAGTTGATGGCGATGTACCGAAGGTTGCCCGAAGTCCATCGTAGACAGCTGCAGGTCTACCGGAAGCAGAAGAAATTGTCTACCGTAAGTGGAGATATGAATTGGTCGATTTACTAATTTGCTAATTTATTGTGCAAGTAGTATTGTATTATTAAAAAGTATTGTGGTGCTAGTTATGGATGAAGTTTCTAGGTTTTAGAGTAATGATAACTGGTCCTAGAGTTAAGGTTAAGTTCCCCTTTCCTTCAGAGGACCACGCGCGCTGACCTACGCTGTCACCGTCTAACTGTGGCCACAATTCCAACGCGTACAAAGGAATTTGGTGACTCATTTCTTTGTCGCACTATCCGTAAATGGAATGCTCTGCCCGCTCCCGTGTTCCCTCCTTCTTACAACCTGGGATCCTTTAAAAGAGACGCCTCTTTTGAAGAAGCAACATGCAGGCCGGCAGGGTGAGGATGGCTGGTGTGGCAGGTAGAACTGCTGTATCAGCTATCTTCACGTCTGGACTTCACCGTCCTGTGAGGGGGGGAGTCATTTGTCGGACTTATCTATATATAAAATAAGGTCTTTTTTCATCGTGCCTGGAACAGCCGTTTTTATTTTTGTTTCATTGATTATATAAAGGTAAATAGGGATGACAACTAACTTTATTTTTCTTCGTTAATCTTATAAGCTATGTTTTTTATATGGAAGGATGCGTGCTATGGATGTGTGCTATAGATGCGTGCTCCGGATGCGAGCTATGATGGCCGCAAGTGGTGTAGCTATATCAAGAGATGAGTTCGCCGCCGCTCCTTCCCGCTTCCCTACTATCGATTCATCGCATAGCTCGAGCTGCGTATCTTCCTCGCGTAGATACTTTGCGGCGTCGCATCTTCATAGCACATCTTACTCGCCCCGCTACATAGCTTAGCATCAGTGGAAACGGTCACGTAGTTTCGTAGCTGAGCTGACACATCCTCGCAGCAAAGCTGCATAGCAGATCCTTGGTGGAAAAGCACCCTAAATCTTGAATCTAAGGATTACTTACACACAAACTATTTCCCCATAGGTTTGCATGCAGCTAGTGGGCGGCAAAGCGCCCCCGCCCCCCGGCGTGGGATCCCCGGTGGGGTCGCCGCCCCCCGCGCCCCCAGCGCGGGCCCTCTGCCCCCACTACCACCTGCAGCGGTTCCAGGAGGTAAGGGAATCCTACATCGCGCTAGAGAAATTCGGAGGCTTACACATATATATAGATCGCGCCAAACTTCTAATGGATAATAAAATGTATCAAAGTTGGTAATTTTGATTTTCATTTATCCAATCCATTTGACGACCGCCGTGGCCGAGTGGTATGACCATGGGGTTTCAAGGTGTCGCCTAATCGAGAGGTTCGGTTCGAATCCCGGTGGGGACAGATGTTTGTTTGATGAATACGAACATTTGTACTCCAGTCACGGATGTTAAATATATCTATCTAATATATAAAATTCTCGTATCGCGGTGTTTGTGGTTAAACTCCTCCGGAACGGCTTTCCCGATTCTCATAAAATTTTGTGTGCATATTGGGTAGGTCTGAGAATCGGACAACATCTATTTTTCATCCCCCTAAATGTTAAGGGTAATCCACCCCTAATTTTTTATTAATTTTAGATTTAAAAAAAAAAAAATATGATTCAATAAACAAAAATACATACAACCCTAAATTTTCACCCTTCTACCACCAACCCTTATTTTTTTATGGCGGTACGAAGTTCGCTGGGTCAGCTAGTATTTCTATATAAATATACTTATATGTGTATCAGTGTATTCTATCCGTTACCCTAGTATCCCACAACGCAAGCCTACAGTGCTTACTTTGGGGCTAGGCTTATTGGTGTGAGTGTGGGAAATATTGATTTATTTATCTTATTTATATCGATTTAAGCATGACCATTTCTTATCTAATTTCAATTCAAAAATCATTTATTCAGTTAAGGCTTTTACAAGCACATGTAAAAGTCGAAAACTACGCCATCGGTTCGCAAAACTACAACGGGAGACCTTGTACTGAGAAGAACCGCAAAAAACTCAGCAAGGGCTGCTTTTTTCTTCCTGTTTTATTTCATACAGTGTCGTCAAATTGAAAGTTGAAAAGTATACAGTACTCGATAAGCAGCTTTAAAGTAAGATAAAAGTAAAAATTCATTGCTTACGCTCTTTAATATTATTGCAGGTTCGACGTAAAGTCATGCATATGAGAGACCAGCAGCTGTACTATCATAGACTACGGATGTGGCTCGAGGAACAACTACGACAGGAGAAGGAAAGGTGATATTTATAATGACAGACCATAGACTATTTGTGATTCCTTACTACTAAATATGGTTTATGGTAAATGGCTATTGTGTATTAGAGAGGTGTTTGAGCATAGAGGTATAAAAATGGTGTAGGGGAGATATAGACTCTACTACAAGCGGAAGTGTCCCTCTAATAGAAAGAAAAAGAAGATGAGAGACCGCTAGCTTTCTCTCTCTAATCGCGCATGCGCATTGGCAACCGTAAGCATCTTACTATTTCGATGTGATGCTTGGACCAACTATTGGACAGACAACTGCGGATGCGTCACAAGAGAGAGAGATAGCTAGCGGTCTCTCATCTTCTTTCTCTTTCTACTAGACGGACACTTTTAGAGCCGCCTTCCCCACTCTATTCTTATACCTCTATGTTTTTGAGTGGTTGAGGCGTGAAGACTTAGAGTTTATTCCCTTTTAGAATATGACTATAATTCAAATTTAAAAAAAAATATAACATTACTTAAACTGATTAAAATTTAATTTAATTGTAAAATTATGCGAATTTGTTATAATCAAATATTTTATTGGCACATGTCTAGTAAAATAGGATAAGACGATTCGCACTTATTTGCCACTCTTATGTCTCAATATAAACATTTGCTATTTAAAAAAATGTTGAAACGTAATATTTCATCTAAATATAATTATGTTTCTTCTGCACAGCTTACCGGATAGCAATGTAACGTTAATAGAAGACTTGCCACGCCGCAAACGACGAACCGCCAGTCCTAAAGTGCCTCGCCTTACCACCGCATCTAAACGGAGACTCAAACCCGGATCCCCACTTAGCAAACCCCACAAGATACTACAAATGCTCAGACACAAAGCACCGGCGCAAACTACACAACTCTTAACCGACGCATTTAAATCCGATGAAGAAAAACTAGCAAAATCCGAAGCCGAGGCACCGGAAGCCTTCCCGTTGGAAAGAGAGGACAATATCAGTGATACGGAAACTATAGTAGGCGAGAAAGAGAGCGGTGACCTTAGCAAAGAAATGAAGGAGTGCTTAGCCAAATTCGCGACTTTTGCTCTTAACACACCTGACAATAATCTTCAAGAGGAATACGCGATGCAAACGGAAGGAACCAAGTATCCCGAGTCTGTAAGCCCACCGCTACAAGAGATGTCTCCAACAGAAGCCGTCTTCAACGCAAAATCCACTCAAAGACTGATGACAGTGAATAAGTTTTTGAATGACAAAGATTTCCAAACTCCCAAAGCTCCCGAACTAAACGCGCCTTTAAACGCGAGACGGACTTCGTTGAAAGACGAGGAGAGAGAGAAAACCGACGTAGAATCAACAGAGAAAGATCCCAATATTTATAAATACGTGACTTTTGGGCTAGAAATCAAAAAAGCCATGGAGGAATGTCAGAACATTATTAATTCTTACAACAGCACTTCCAACGGCAAAGAAAAGGATGAAGATGCACAACTATCTTTAGAGCAAATATGTGAAGTGATGATGAGTCTAGACAAAAACTCCGCAGAATTTTTAGAAAAAATAGATTCAGACGATAATTTAGACGTCAACACCGCAAACTCTAAATTAGCCGAATTAGTTGAAAACATGCCTCAAATATTAGCAAACATGCCCGAAATAGCTTCTAAACTATCCGAATTTGCGAACGCTTCCTTCGAATTACCCGAATTCGCGTCGATCATGAACAGTTTACCCGACGAAGCGCAGCTCACGCCGGAAACTTTGAAGCAAATTAGGGAGTTGAAACTCAACAAAAATAGGGATAATGTTAAAGTGACTAAGAACACTGCCAAACGTAAGATTAAAAATAGGATTAAGAACAACGTAGACACAGACTTTATAGGTACAATGACTTTTGAATTTGACAGCAAAGACATTTCGGATTTGCTCAAAGACGAGAAAGAATTACAAGCTCTTATAAAGAGCAAAACTAATAATAGGGAAGAATTTAAGGACCTGCTATTTTCTATATCAGCTCAAGTAGTTATAAATAAAGTGTTCGAATATTTGAAGCAGAATAAGAGTCCGGAACTTGCCAAGTGTCTAGAGGAGGATTCGGAATTTTTCGACTTGCCCAAGAACTCTTTGAACTCGGAAATGTATTCTAAAGCATCGACGTTATTCGATAATTCGGTGAAAGACGCATTGAGTATGGAGGAATTACGAGAACTAGTGAAATCTAGATTTATCTCTTGGAAACATTACGTCGCCACTAAATTTAAAAGCATACCCATAGAATTACTAGAGAACGAAATCGAGGCTATGCTCGACAAATTCTATAGCTATATACAAGACTTAGCCGGCAAACAGTGCGTGAACGACAGTGATAAAATACTAGAGAAAATTGACGATTTACGAAAGAATAAAGACTTCAAAGACTCCGACAACGAGAACAATTGCGCGTCAAAAGAATCTCTGCAACAGATCACGAAGTTGCTGAGCACTTCCGCTGGTAACACTTTCGATTTACTCATAATGAAACTATCAAAAATGTCGCAAGACAAAAAATCTTCTGTGAAAAGCCTGAAGTTTAAATATATGGACGTAATAAGACGGTGTGCTGAATCTCAGCAGCTCGCCGGTTGGATTTTGTTAAACCCTGAGATAGCCTGCAATGTGATACTAGAACTGACAGGTCTACCAGTTAGAAAAGCAGAAAATGTACCGGACTTTGCGACTTTACCGAACGATAAAAAGAAAGAATACTTTCTAGAACGCTTAAGAGAAATGAATAGAATGTACATGGAATCTTTACCCAAGAAAGCTCTAACTGGTGACGAATGGCTAGTGATGCTCTACAGATTAGAACAATTAGAGGAGAAACTCAAAGACGCATTTCAGAAAGTGACAGCGCCGCCTAAAATTCAAACGCAATCGAACGCTAGCGAAGCGGAAATTCTCGCTGGGAAAGGTCTAAGCAAGATAATTAGCAAAGCCAACGTTCGCGTCGTAAAAAAACCTGAACCAAAACCCGTCAAAAAGGAAGAGTCTCAAGAAACCAAAGACATCAAAGAGTCGGATGAAGTGAAAAAATGTAAAAACGACGCGCTACTAGCAAAATGCGAAGCGATACTGACTTCTAAAGGCGAGAAATCTTTACTGGACAGTTTTTATACAATCAAATCTTATATAACGCAAGGTTTACCTGTGCCGGAGACTTATAAAAAGCACGTGATATCAATATGTTCTAGTATCGACGCTAAACTATTAGACGACGACATAGAGGAGACTTTAAAAGTCGCTGAAAAAGAGGAATTAGACCCTGAGTTTATCAGCAATAAGGATAAAAATCTATCAGTCATCGGATCTCAGAACCCAGAACTCTTAGCCAAATACTCCGCTCAAGCTTTGAGGAATGCTAGGCAGACTTTAAATACAGTCGCGTTTAGGAATATGATGAGAAATGGACAAACAAAATCTGAATCAGACGCTTGCGATACTCCGAAAAGTGACTGCAAATGGACGAACGACTGTATATGCAACGTTTGTAAGGATAACGACTCGAATTCAGTTTGTTTAGGGGATATAGTGAAACAGTGCTATGATATGAAGGGTAAGACTGGCTTGGAGGAAAAAAAGAAGGAGGTTAAGAAACCCGCCCCAAAACCTGTGAAGCAACCGCCCAAGGCCTGCGAGAACACGCCGCATCAACAGCATGTGTGTAAAGGTAGGAATTATTTTTGTCTCATTCTGTGTGTCGTGAATATGGTACGAACAGAAGATCAGATGCCTAAGCACGAATTTTGACAGCCCTGTACCCCCCTACCACGAATCAATTTTGCGAGTCCGAAATGTCATAGTCAAATTTTGTATGGAAACTTGAACAGCAGCGCCATAAAGGACGAAACGCGAACTAAAAATTGAGTTTTAGATAGATAGATAAATCATTTATTCCCATCAGTACAGCACACAAATTCAAGTAAACAAATAGCATGTTTTTAGTTTTATAGTATAGATTAGTTTCCATACAAAATTTGACATTGACATTTCGTACTCAAAACCTTCGAATTCGATAATGGTTCGTGTTAGGGGTACTGTAATCATATCGCATCGTCAAAGTTTCATCGAAAACTTACTAGCGCCCCTGTCGGACGTAACAACAAAAATAAAAAAAAACTAGGAGATATTCTACGCGGACCAGGCAGCAGGCGGGACTCGTACCGGCACCCTTCGCTATCCGGACGAATGCTGACCATTATGCTACCGCGGCCCTGATGGTGGTGTCGAATTTTCTCTAGCAATTCTTAGGCTGCAAGTCAGCGCCATCTCTTCGTATTGTAGGTAATCCGCAATTTCAAATGAATACCTTTACAAGTATTAAGCATTTGAAATAAGAAATAGCAATTATAGATTACGGAGCTGTCAAAATTCGTGCTTGGGTGTCATGTATATATTGAAAATTGTACGTCTATGATTTTATTTATTTTTTAAGCATTTAACTGCTAGATGTGTAAATCTAAAGAAAAGTTTACTAGAAAAAAATCCACGCGGGCCAGGCAGCGGACGGGACTCGAACCCGCATCCTTCGCTATCCGGGCGAATGCACGAATACACACATGAAAAAAATCCACGCGAAGAGATGACGCTGCCTTGTAGCTTAAGGCTAGGAAAATTTCGACGCGGCTACTAGGGCCATGGTAGCATAATGGTCAATTGTACGTCTCTTTAGCTCATAAAGGCAAAAGGATAAGTACGTAATAGTTAAAATTAACCTATTGATGTACCAACTGCTGGGGCAAACTAAGGCCTTTCCTATAGATAGAAAAAGGCAGAAATCAGTGCAGGTTTGTGGGTGCTAAAGACTGCATATTTTGGATCAAAGGCTTAATGTGCCTTTTGACGCATGCAGCGTTGCATTATGCTATTTTGATCAGTGAAAATGTATAAAATATACAATTCCTTATACTAACAATTTTGTTCGAGAAGTCGATAGAAAAAAATCTTACTAGCAATGTTATTTTTTTGCAACTACCAAAAAGGAGTGTAATTTCAGTTACCCATAACATCTTTATTCTTAAATATCAACCGGCAGTTTTCAAGTATACAGTTTCGTCCTTATTAATAAACGACGAATAAGATTGGATTAGTTATTAGTGATAGTGTGATAATATGTAGCCTATATGTTGACCCGACATCTTAATAATATTCGTGCTAAATTTGAAGTAAATCCATGCAGTAATTTTTGAGTTTATCCGGACATACATACAGACAAACAGACAAAAAACTATATTTTTGGCTCCGGTATCGATTGTAGATCACACCCCAAGTATTCTTTTAAAAAAAATCAATGTACAGTTTTGACTTTCGTACCATTTTATTATATAGATATGTATGTGTTTCCTAGTGGGTCACGGTGCGAATGCTACAGGGGGTTGCGCGGGGGAAGGAGGTGCGGAACAACCCTGCAACTGCTGCTATTGCACAGTGTTCGGACACGCGGTGAGTTATTTGCCAGTTTTTTTTTATAATAATTAAACGGAATCTATAAAGTTTCTTTCAACAAATGGGGATTTATTCAGTAAAACATGTTGATACATAGCACGGTATATACAGAGCGTTCCGCGGGTTTGTCACACGGAGGGAAAGTATATTAAATATTGAAGATTTTTTTAAATACTGTGAATGCAGTTCTACTTATTATTAAAAATAAAACTATGTCTTCTTCTCTTCTTATCCTATCCTCTTTCCTTCCGTGTATCCAATCCGTTGGACACCCTGTATAACATTTTTTTAAAATTTTCTAATTCACCCTCCGAAATTATCCGCCATATTGGGAATTTATTTATTTACTTTAACCGTCCGTGTTTAAGTCACAGACATGTATGTACTGTATTTCAACTTGGTTGGTCCTGTAGATTGCGAGCAAATCGACTGTGTCAGTCTGACAGACAGACAACCGAGTGATACTATAAGGGTTCCGTTTTGCCGATTAAAGGACGGAACCCTAAAAATATGAATAGTAAATTTTATCAGTAAATTGAGGAACTTTCGATGTCATGAGATTTAATATTAACGTTACATTGTCACATTGCTTTTTATATATGTATTTTTAATAATTACCGCAATTATTTTATTTCTCTTTTTAAATCAACGACAAACCGAAGACATCGTAGATTATAAGCCGTTATTATTCAACATGTTAATTGATAAATTTGTCAACAAACACAATATGATACAAACAAAAACATGAAGATTATTACCTCAATGAATTAGAAATTGTACGGAAGCACTACTCTCTAACAAAGGCCGATAAAATATGGTTTCTAACTCTACAAGTAAACTTCAATACTAACTTACAAATGTATTCTGCTATCCTATCATTGGGTAAGATAATGTTCAATGGAAATCCCAACCAATCCCATTATCGGCGTGATTATCGCAGTTTCTTCGCCCCGCCCACCTGACCGCTGTTAGCGTGATGCCGCTATTTAGCGCTGTTCGTTTTACATATTATTTCTAGTTCGTTGTACTTTATGTATTCTAATACAACTTTCTCGCTGTCGTTTTGCTGCGCGGAAGTCTCAAGTTTTCTATTCGACACGGTACGACATTATTGGTCGGACTTCATTCATTTTTTTATGTGTTTAGATTCAAATGACACCGTTTAGCGCATAGAGGTATAAGAATAGAGTGGGGAAGGCGGCTCTAAAAGTGTCCGTCTGGTAGAAAGAGAAGGGAGATGAGAGACCGCTAGCTATCTCTCTCTCTTGTGACGCATGGCATCCAATGGCATCACATCGAAATAGTAAGATGCTTACGGTTGCCAATGCGCATGCGCGAGTAGAGAGAGAAAGCTCGCGGTCTCTCATCTTCTTTCTCTTTCTATTAGAGGGAGACTTCCACTTGTAGTAGAGTCTATATCTCCCCTACTCTATTCTTATACCTCTATGGTTGGCCACGCTTTCGATTCGTTATCTGTTTGGCAATGGCATAAATTATATCAACCAAGCGTTCCTTTTCGCATTGCGCCTAATTGCCTGCAAAGGTTTTGTTTTAAATTTGTATGAATTTCTTATTATTGTTTAGAGTAATAAATATTGTTTTTTGTATTGTAGCCTCCACTGACGACACCAGTGCCTAGGAATTTCAATGAAACTAGAGAAAGACTAAGATCTATACTAAATAAGAAGAAACAGCAATGCAAAACTACAAATGTGAGTATTAAAATTTGGGAAATATTGAAAAGATCCTCAAAAAAATATAAATCATCTCCTAAAACTACAATTGGTATCCTAAAAGTTAGGATTGGTAAACTAGAAGTAAGGTTAGCTTACCAATTAGAATTTTTAAGCGTTTTGTCTTAAATTTAAGAGTACTTTGACAGTCATGATTGCAAAATATAGTAGCTGTATGCCCCGCGTTGTTACCCGCGGTTTATAAGGGATGTTTTCCCGCAGTAAAACGCAGCGCCTATATGTTGATCCAGGGTGTCAGCTAACTCCATCAGAAATTTTATTGAAATCGCTCCAGCCGTTTAGATGTGAAGAAGTAACAAACATACACAGTCACAAACTTTCGCCTTTATAATATTAGTGTGAAGTGTGATTAGTGTGATAAACGTAAAAGATTATTCCCTGATAGAGCAAGATTTTTTATAGTTTTGTATTTTGATCAAGCAACTTTTGAGGTGGGTGAGTGACTCCGAATTAGGACTCAGGTTGGGACCTGGTTCATTTTTTTTAATTTCAATCAATGCAGCTTGTATATTTTTTTATATAAGCTTCATTGGATTGGATTGGAGAGTGCGGGTTCGAGTCCCGTCTGCTACCTGGACCGAGTGAAATATTTTCTAGTAACATTTTCTTTAGATTTAAAGATGGCAGTTAAATGTTTAAAATAACGTCGATTTATCAAATTTGTATGATTATGCCACTCGAATGGCCACTTAGATGAAACATCATGCTTTAATTTTTCTCAAATTCCCACAATTCTCAAATTGCCCTTCAAGTGTTTTCATCTAGATTTTCTTTGTCCAGGGCGAACCAGAGGTCCAGGAGAAGAAGCAGGCGGCTGTACAAACGCAGCCTGTTGAATCTCCCGCCCAGAAACTGCAGCAATCTTCACCCAAACCACCGGTGAGTAAATGAGACAAATATTTTTATCATTAACTAGCTGTGCCCCGCGGTGTAACCCGCTGTTTATTAGGGATATTTTCCCGCAGTAGTTTGGGCCAGTCACAATCCAAACACGATTATACTAGAAAATGTTTATTAATCAAACAATAGCTAATAAAAAGACAGGACTTACAATTTAGGTCTGCTATTCTCGACAGCGCCATGACACATAAGCGCGCATACCGGGAAACAGTGTTGCCAATGTATAATTTAAAATTGTTATTCAATACACCACAATAGTCTATAACCTTCCTCCGTAAATCCACTTATCTAACACAAAATTATTATTTCAAGTCGGTTCAGTTAGATTAGTCCGTACAAACAAACAAAATCTTCAGCTTTATAATCTAATATATAAAATTCTCGTGTCGCGGTGTTTGTGGTTAAACTCCTCCGAAACGGCTTTCCCGATTCTCAAAATATATTCAGTGCAGTAATAAACATAAATTTATTACCCTACATAAAGCATTATTTTATTGTTTATAACGCTTTCGATTATAAGTACATACATCCCCGAACACTTATAGTAGATAATTATTTTTATTGAACTAAAAAAATGTTTCCTACAAAAAATATACAATATCCTCCGAAACGGCTTTTCCGATTCTCATGGAATTTTGTGTGCATATTGGGTAGGTCTGAGAATCGGACAACATCTATTTTTCATCCCCCTAAATGTTAAGGGTAATCCACCCCTAAATTTTTTTTTAGTTTTTTTATGATACATCATACAAAAAATTATACAACCCTAAATTTTCACCCTTCTACCACCAACCCCTATTTTTTTATTTCGGTACGAAGTTCGCTGGGACAGCTATTATTAGTATAGATTACTTCAAGTGAGCGCCCATGAGTTCGCCTGTGTTTAAATATTTCTTTCTCATACAAATTTTGAACCCCGTTTTACCCTTCAATTAAAACAAAAAGGGAAGATGCGGTACGCTCTTACTAGTATCAATCAAAATATGCTCAGACTCCATTACATACTCTCAACTCACTCACGCTCGCTTCTGTAAATAAACATTTAATCGAGCGAGCGAGATAGAACTGTACGCTTCAACGCAGCGCGAGCAAAACGGCGATTCCGCGTCGCTTAGCAACCGACAGCGTTTTCTTTTCTCTCTATACAAACCGCAGAGCTATAATGTTGTCCTTTTCTTGATAACAAATGGCGAATGAATATTAGTTAATAATATTCATGACAAACCGTGTTTGTTTAAGAAAAAAATGATTTTATAGTTCTATCGAATGAAAAGTGTTGCCGTGGAATTTGTTATTTCATCTTGAACTATATGCGCTCTTTTTAAAAGCATCGAAGGTGTTGTTTTATCGTTTGAACACTGATATCCGTTTATTGTAATATTATTGAGTGCACAACAGCGTCAAATTTTTAGATGTCAAATTGTGACTAAAGCGAATTGTGTTCATGCACCTCATTTAAGATGTTGAAGAACCGCTAACAAATTCAGCAAGGGCTGTTTTTTTCTCCCTCCCGTTCAAGTCCAAGTTTTGTAGTCACAAAACTGTCATTTTTTAGCAGCGAGTGCCGTATCTTCCCTTTTAGATTTTATCTAAGGTATTCATAACACAAAACATCTGCCCCCCACCGGGATTCGAATCAGGGACCTCTCAAGTAGGCGACACCTTGAAAACCCAGCGTACAAACTACTCAGCCACGGACGTCGTCATCTCCGTTAGCACCCACCAATCTCTATTTTGTGATGGGTCGTGGTCCAATCTTCCTATTCCATTCATAGGGAAGGCCTGTGCCCCAGCAGTGGGGACATTAATAGGTTAGTAATGAAGATGATGTATATTTCGAACGACGACCTCCATGGCCGAGTGGTTGTGGGGGCAGATGTTTGTGTAATGAATACGAGCATTTGTACTCCAGTCATGGATGTTTTATATGTATTTCTATATAAACATACTTACATATGTATAGTATATGTATTCTATCCGTTACCCTAGCACCCCATAACATAAGCCTTTCAGTGCTTAGTGCGGGGCTAGGCTAATTGGTGTGAGTGTTGGAAATATTTATTTATTATTATTTATTTTATTTCCTAGGCTCTACCCAAGACGTTACCACCCAACTTGACGCCGCAAGCACAACAGAAACGAGCGATGGACGCACAACAAAGGCAATTGGCCGAGAAGATGGCCAAAATGGCCGTCAGCGATAAGCCAGACGACAAACCGAAGGTGAATATATCATTATGTTGTAGGAAGGCCGAAGGGGAAGTTCTTCCTCCGTGCTGGATGATGGTAGCTCGGGGGCCGCGGCCCGACTGATGTTGGTCGGGTATTATATATGTGGAGTGTAAGCCTCCGAATTTCACTTACGCGATGTAGGCTTCAATACTATTGTGATCGCTGCGCAGGTAGCGCTATCTCTTGAGGAGGCGAGTGATTATCCCTCCATGTTAGTTATATGTGGGGCATGTAGATGTCGCCGCCACAATGTTTATTTTACTTATGTTAATAGTATATATATAATATTGTTACGTGTCGGGATGGGGTTCGAAATTATATGCCAGTTCACGCTTGACAGTTCTTTATTCACCACTCACTTCACACAGTTAACACACAATGTTAATTACAAAACACTCACTAAACAAAACACTGTATTTCACAATACAAGTCACTAAACTATCGCACTGGAATACTTTTGTTGCACTCGCGCCTCGATCGCCTTTGGATTCGCTCCGAAATCGCTGTTGAAACTCGAACTGTCTCTGCGCGGCGTCAATCGCGCTTATATACGCCGATCGACGCATTCTAGAAAGTACTTGTTAAATTGAGAATAACCTAGCACCCGCGAGTACGAAATACCTACTTATACCTACGCAGGTAACACGCATAACTTGTAAACAAGTGCAGATGTCGTTGCACTTTCACCCTTACGCCGCACTGCATAAGGCCCATTTTAGAATGAGCCGCATTACTCGACCTCTATCGCGACCCGCGGTGATCTGGCAAATTCGATCTCTGACACTTTCGCGGTTGCGTTTCAAGAGCGTTTGTGACAATATATTTACCGAAAGCTTCAGATTTACTCTAGATGTAATAAATGAACGATTCAGACCAAAAAGATTGTACAGACACAAATAACGAACGCAGCTATCATTTTTTCTTTAACTCATCTTATAGGTATGTCTTACTTATTTGTGCTTATTGTGCAAGAAGGCATAGTTTTGTAGGAGGGCGTGGCGGGAGCCGTCCCACAGTGGGTGGAAACGATTCAAAATACGTGCGAGGCAGTAAATCTAATCCAAATGTTTTTTTAAATACTCGTAATTATGTCTGCTTTCTTGTAGCACTGCGGAAATTAAGACGAAGTTCGATCAACTACATATTTATAAGGAAATATATATTTTAGGCTAGCCTATCTGTGTATAAAATATTATATCTCTAATATAGAAAATTGTCGTGTCACGGTATGCGTAATGAGGGCTATCGTTTTTTGTCTCACCAGATGGCGCCATTATTGAGTGAGGTCCTGAAGTGTAACTTTTAAAGTTAGTAAACACGCTCGTGATATCAAAGTTTACATTTTAATACAAAAGAATCGTATCTTAAACATAAACGCCCATGCCACAGTGTTGCGCAGTCCCGTTTTGTTCGGAAAAAAGAAGGACAATATTTTTTCTTAGCTCCGCTTTTAAATAACTGACAATCATTGACACGTAACTCATATTTGCCATAATAAGTCTGATTTATTACCAAATATTTACAACTATTATTTTAATTAGAAAAAAAATGGGTGCGTGTACTTATGTAGGCGCGTGAGAAGTTATCCTTCTTTGGCATCGTTTAAAATTAGTTTTTAATTGCATGCAAATAATTAATTACAATAAATTAATAAAAAGTCTGGAAAAGGACACAGTCAATAGGGTTCAGTTTTAATTTGAAAAAATAAATAAATAATCAAAATATTCAATTAAAATCGCTACTGAATATAATTTATTAGAACATATGTGATTTGCACTTGTATGAAACTCAAACACGTATTCCGAAGTATAACTTCAAAAACCGCGTAGTCAACCCGCAAGCTATAACATTTGACATTTCGGAGACCTCACGCAACACAAGCGCCTCTAGCGGCGGTTTCAGACGCGATAGCCCTCATTGAACTACTCCGAAACGGCTCGACCGATTTTCTTATAAATATGTAATTGATCAAACTCGTTTTATCCAGAAGCTGGTGGTTTAGCCTGCTTAGAGGTCTATAGGAGTGGTTTCTACCCCTAAAAAAGTGAATTTCCGCAGTGCTACAAGAAAACAGACATCATTTAGAGTATTTAAAAAAATGATTTCGTTTGCATTAGATTTACTGCCGCGCGCGTAGTTTTGATTGTTTCCGCCCAGTGTGCGTCCTTTTGACAACTTTCTATTTAGTGGTTCCATAGAACAGTTTTTAATCCAATAATTCCCTTGACTACTATTTTTGTTTTTTATAGCCCATACAAAGGCCCGTACCGATCCCAGCTAATGTACCGCCCGCATTGAAAGCCGAAGGGAAAGTCAATGCCAGCGCTATGGAACAAATACGACTACAGGTGAGACAGTATAGACATAAAGAATTTATCTGAGAAATCAATCGAATTTAACTACAGTGCGACCAAGATGTTTTGGCACTTATGTCATACTAGCTGTGTCCCGCGGTGTTACCCGCGGTTTATTAAGGATATTTTCTTGCAGTAAAACATAGCCCAGGGTGTCAGCTAACTCCATACCAAATTTTATTAAAATCTCTCCAGCCGTTTAGACGTGAATAAGTAACAAACATATACACTCACAAACTTTCGCCTTTATAAAATTAGTGTGATAAGTGTCACAACACTGAGAGGAGGGTGCTGCTGGTGAAATGAAATTAAAGGAACGTAAAATATCCTCACTTGCTGGAAACTTTTTAATTTGTAATATCTGGGAAAGAGTAATATAAGATACTAAAATTATAAATGTGAAATTTTGTATGTTTTTTACTCAATCGCGTCAAAACTACTAAACGGATTTAGATGAAACTTGGTACGCATATAGTTCGTGACCTGGATTCAGTCAGTATACTTTATATATATATATATATATATTTTTTAGTACCTGAAGGATTTTCAAAAAAGTAAAGTTAACGCGGACGAAGTCGCGGGCGGCCGTTCTAGTAGGAAATATGAAAGTCTTATATACACCTTCCTATATAGATAAAAAAATCTTATTTATACCATCCTATATAGATACGGTTTATTTATACCTTCCTATATAGATAATGAGGCTTATTTATACCTTCCTATATAGATAAAAAGGCTTATTTATACCTTCTTATATAAAAAGGACTTATTTATACCTTCCTTAAAGTAGTTCTTATTTCGGCCATGCGCCCCAAGATCGTGGTTCCATTGCAAATGCTCTTTACTCCTCGTTTCCACCAAGAAACAAGTCATATACTAGTTTTAAACAAAACTTATATACTCGTTGTGGCTGTTTTAAACATTCTTTCGTTTTCTCTGCATATTCAACTAGTATCTTTCAAGTACAAATCACTTATATTGTACGGGACGCCGGGCTGTCGCAGTAGCGGACAGTTACCGACTCGTACTGAGGGGATGGAGGAAGTTACACGCAGGAGTCTTGACTGTAGTGGACTGTAGTTTCGGCGAATAAAACCCCTGGTGTTCGGTATTGAAGAAATCGGTGGGCGCTGATAATGGATGGCCGGTGAGAGGAGGCTTCAGGTCCAGAGTGAACCGCTTGATTGTTTCTTCCTGTTCCTTAGGGTAGGAGCGCCTGTCGCTGAATGCATGTCGGGGCATGTTCCGACTCGAATTTTATATGCTAGGACTGAGCTGGCCAGCGATCCATTACCTCACCCACGCTATACTTTATTTTTCATTTTCTCAAAATTTACAATAGTGCGAGCTTAAAACTAATTGTACATACATCGGGCATACATTTAGGCATATTTTTAACACAGTTACGTGTCCGTAAACACGATATTTTAGGTGTGGCGCGCAAAAAATAGGTCTCCGCAATATTTATACTTTCCCCCTCCATAGGGCTTCGCCCTGCCACGGGGCTTCGCTGCCCCACCCGCGCGCTCCGGGCGCGCCGGGTGGGGAGCGCAACATGTCTCAGAAAACGGTTCTATACAAACATGTTTTGTCTCCTATACGGTACATTTTTACACTTATTGATGTGATACCTATTTATTTACGTAGCCCTACGTGTTACCTATCTAATACAACAAGTTTCTTACAAGAATATTAATAAACAACAGCTGTACGGCCCTATAAAGTTTACAAATTAAAAAGTCTCAAAAAACCTACTTATATTCACTTAATGCCTAACTATCATATACTGTTTTATAGAAGAAGTAAAAACACACAAAATGACATCATTATTATAACAATTATACCTATATCCTATTGACTATTCGTAAAAAACTATTCCCAATATTTTCCTTAATTACGCTTAAACTACTAACACGATTCATACAAAACTTCGATATATTATTCCTATAGCTACCTACTTTCTAATAAGACATAAGATAAATCAATCAAAACATAAAACATACTATTATCGAAAATTGTCAACTCAGGCAAAATCCTATAAGATGTGAGACAAGGACAACCTATTGTCTCCGTCCCTCCTATAGGTCGGAACTATCAGTATTCTGACTAGTTTCCCCGCGCCACCGCTTGGCGTCGTGGCGATCGTTTAGATAAAGTCTTATAAGATTATTGGAGAGAACGGGGCGGAATATCGCTCTGAACTATCAATTTTACAATGGTTTACTATGGGCAGAGCTATCTATTATTGCGATATCCGACTCATTCTAATAAGACAACAAGGGAATGATATTTTTAATGCGTATACAACCGATTCATGTGAAATTATAGATACATTTTTATACATTGGTCTCGTATCGTCGTAAGTTCATTTTCTCTCGCTTCGGTCGTCGCGTACATACTCCCGCCGTGCAGCGTCGGTCGACTCGTCGCTGCATCCATCTTCCGTGGGAGTGGCGGCCGATGCGAATATCACCAGTCGCTTGGTCGGTCTGCGTAGCACTCCTCCGGCTGTCTTCAGATCGACGACTCGTACTGTGCCGTCTCGCCCGGGAAAAGTGGCGATGACGACTCCCTTGGGCCACGTGTTGCGTGGCAGGTTGCTGTCGGCGATGAGCACGATGTCCCCGATGGCGATGGTCTTCCCGGTCCCGTGGGGCTCCCGCCGGTGTTGCAGCTCGGGTAGGTACTCTCGTACCCAGCGCGCCCAGAAGTGGTCGGCGAGGCGCTGTGCTGCTCTCCAGTACGGGCGGCCTATCAGGTCGCTCTCGTCGAACTCGCCCGGCAGTGGGACGCGCGCTGAACCTCCCAGCAGAAAGTGGTTGGGAGTGATGGCTTCGTCGTCTTCATGGTGCACGGACACGTGGGTGAGAGGCCGGCTGTTCACGGTGTATTCGGCCTCGGCGAGTAGCGTCGTAAGTACCTCTTCGGGCGGACTTCTTTCTTGCAAAACCGCACTTAGCGCGATTTTGACGGACTTCACGAGGCGTTCATGAATGGTGCTCCCGGCGGTATGTACCTCCACCGGATACTGCGGATGCTTGCTTCTTCGCTCGTCGCCTGCTGCACTGCCTTCTTCATTTCGTTTTCTGCGCCGTGGAAGTTGGTCCCGTTGTCCGACCAAATTTCGGTAGGGCACCCGCGGCGCGCTATCATGCGCCGTAGTGCGTGTATGGCGGAGTCCGTCGATAGTGAGGCGGCCAACTCGAGGTGCACGGCTCTCGTAGTAAGACATGTGAAGAGCGCGACGTAGCGTTTTTCTTGACGCCTGCCCACGGTGACTGTCAACGGCCCGAAATAATCCAATCCGGTGTACGTGAATGGCCGTCGGTGATGAGCGAGGCGCGTCGGCGGCAAATCTCCGGTAGGTGGCGACGGTGGCGCCGCCCTCCTTATGCGGCAGTTTATGCAACTGCTTATTATTCGTTTCGTGACGGGTCGAATGCGTAAAATCCAATAGTGTTGTCTGCACTCGTTGACTGTAGTTTCCACCCCGGCGTGGAGAAGGCTTCTATGTGTGTGTTCTATCCACAGTTGGGTGGCTCGATGGTTCCCGTCGAGTATCGCCGGTGTCTTCTGAGTTTCGGTTACTCCCGCCGCTGCGTTGACCCGGCTTCGTAGGTACAACACGCCGTCGTTGACTATTAGCGAAAGTGGGCGGAGTCGACTGTTCGTAGCGATGGTGGCGCCCCCTCGCAGTTGTTTCAACTCGTCTTGAAATGCGTCGTGTTGTATTACGCGAACTATTATTTTCTCTGCGCGTTCGATGTATCTTCGGTCGATTGCGATGAATTTTCTTTCTTGAACGGTTGGCTTCTTATGTGTCGGCGCCGATTTTTGATTTTTCTTCCAGTCGGGTTCCTTTTCGTTTTTCTTTCTTCTGTAGTTAATTCGGTCGGTTTTCGCTTGGCAGAGGTCGATGAACTGTAGTACTCTTGCCGTAGTCCGAATTAACTTGTCCCAGCGCGAAAATCGAGTGACGTCCGGTGCAGCTTCGGATATTGACGGCGATTTCTTCGTGCTTATGTGGTGCACGCGTTCTTCCCCGGTGACTTCGGTTGCGGTTGCAGTTTCGGCGGGCCATTCTTCTTGTTTGTTTCGTAGAAACGGAGGCCCGGTGAACCATCTGTGGTAGCCGTAGAAGTCGTGCGGTGATATTCTTGTGGCGTCGTCTGCTGTGTTGAGCTTCGTGGGCACCCATCGCCACTCGTTGATGGTGCTGAGTTCTTCTATGGCGGCTATGCGATGCGCGACGAATGGCTTGAATGAGCGCGATCCCGTTCGCACCCAAGACAATACTGTTTTGCTGTCTGTCCAAAATGTCTTCGATTCTGGTTTTCTTGAGTGCTCTTCTATCACGGTGGCGGCCATTCTTGCTCCCAGGACTGCGGCTTGTAGCTCGAGGCGCGGTATCGACGTGACTTTGAGTGGAGCCACGCGTGCTTTCGCCGTGATGAGTGTCACGTCGACTTGACCTCCCGGCGACTCGGCCCGCCAGTAGAGTGCGGCGGCGTACGTGGTGGCGCTGGCGTCCACGAAGACGTGCAGCTGAAGTGAAGTGGCTTCGCTGTATCCTATGTAGGCTCGTGGTACTTTGACGCCTCGTAGGTCCTTCATGTGTTGTAGCCAGGTCGTCCACTGCTCTGCGAGGTCGGTGTCGATTTTCTTGTCCCATTCTGTGCCGCGTCGCCAAATTTCTTGTATGATCTGCTTTCCCCTGACTGTGACTGGTGATGCAAGTCCCATTGGATCGTAGATTGACATCACAATCTTCAAAACTTCTCTCTTCGTGGGTGCCTTATTTGCAAGTAGGTCCGATGGGATGCGCGCCAACTCGAGATTGAACCCCAATTCGTCCGATTGCGGGTTCCACATGAGTCCGAGTACTTTTTCTATTCTTGATCCGTCGTTGAGTGTTATTGGTTGTTGAACGCGTAGCGGTCCCTCGGTGAGTGCTTGCCTTATTCGATGCGAGTTCGACACCCAGTTGCGTAAGTCGAAATTTCCGTCGGCGTGTATTTTTCTTACTTGCGTCGACACTTCTATGGCTTCTTGTTCCGTTGTAAAGCTGTCTAGGTAGTCATCCATATAGTGCGCTTGTACTATGGCGTTGACGGCGGTCGGTTGCGTTTCTTGATATCGCTCGGCGTTCTTGTTCTTGACGAAAATAGCGGCGGCTGGTGAACACGTAGCTCCGAAGATGAGTGACTTCATTCTGTATTCTTCCGGTGGTCCCTCTCTTCTTTCGCCGCGCCATAGGTACCGCAGTGCATCTCTGTCTTCCGGTCGGATCCCCACGCGCATGAACATTTCGGCGATGTCGGCTGTCACGGCGTACTGGTGTTGACGGAATCGCATCATGACTCCTATCAACGATCGAAGTAGGTCCGGCCCGGTGAGAAGGCAGTCGTTGAGTGAGGTGCCTCCGGTCTTCGCAGCTGCGTCGTGTACGATGCGTAACTTGTTTGGCTTCAACGGGTTGATGACTGGAAAATGCGGCAGGTACCAAGTTCTGTCTTCTGTTGATGTCGGCGGTGCTCGCTCGGCGTATCCCTTTTCGATGAGCGCGTCCATTTGTTCTATGTATTTTCCCCTTAGGCGTGGATCGCGGTCGATTTTCTTCTCTGTGGTGAGCAGCCGTCTGTACGCATTTTCATAATTGTTGGGCATCTTGATGTCCTCTTTCTTCCAGAGTAGCGCGGTTTCAAATTTTCCATCTTCTTTTCTGTGGGTGTGTTCTTCTAGCATCTTGATGGCTTTCTCCTCTGGATCGGAATGCGGTTTCTTCTTTTCGATGTCGATCGATTCCAATGCGAAGTGATGACGAAGTAGTTCATCCATTTTTGAATCTTCTGTTTCTTCGGTGAGGTGGTTCACGAAATGAACCCGGTGACCGATGGTGCGCGAGTCTGTGCCGTGGAGTACCCATCCCAGAGCCGTCTTCGATGCCACTAGCTGTCTTCTATTCCCCCGGCGGACTTCGCTGGCCAAGAGTAGGTGCCAGTTGTCTTGCCCGATGAGGATGGTCGGCCGGGCGTCTTCATAGGTGACGTGCTTCTCGATTCCCCGCAGGTGCTTGCAGCCCCATAAGTGTCTTTCTTCTATGGTTTGCAGGTGGCCGTCGAATGTCCGGATTTCTTGCATACCGGACATGGGAATCGATCTTCAGGCGCTTTTCTATTATGTGTCGCCTCGATGTTATGTGTTCGAAATTTTCTTGTTGTGGAGTTTTCTTCATTTCCAATGTACTCCGGTGGGGCGTATCTTGCGTTATTCTCCGCCTCGACTTCGATGAACTCGGCGAAAATCAATAGTTCCGGATCCGTCTTCATTTTTTCTTGCATTCGGTGATTGTTGACGTAATCGTTCCATCTGAAGCGGATAGTCGACGGCAGCTTTTCTATAATTGTCTTCATGATGTCCGGCGCACGTAGGTACTCGTTTTGCCCCAGTACTTGTAGTGCGACGACGCTATTCTTGATTTTGTTTGCAAAAATCACGATGTCCCTCGGCGAATCGGTGAGTCGGGGTAAATGGCGCAGCTTTTCTATTTCGGTTGCGGCGATGTTGTCCGGGCGGCCGAATCTGTGCTCCAATTGCTTCATAATGTCGCCCGGCGTAGTGTTGCTTATTAGCATGCTGCCCACGGCTTCTCTTGCCTTCCCCTTGAGGGCTCTTCTTAATCTTGATGAGTTTTCCGCCGACGATAGGTAGGTTGCGGATTCTAGGTACGCCGCCCTGAAGGTGAGCCATTCTGTGTGCGCGCCGCTGAAGGGTGGCAGCTCTCCGACGTAGCGTGGACCCGGTGCAGTCGGTACGGCGGCACGGACGGCGGCGTTGATTGCGACGGCCAGCTCGGAGACGTTCATTCTGTCTTGCTGGACCGGCGGTGGCGGTGGCGGCAACGTAGGGGCAACTTGTTCTTGAGCTTCATCAATACGGGACGGCGGACTCTTCTTAATGCATGGCTTCAGCGCCCCTGGGACTGGATCTTCGGCAAGTGGTGCGACGGACCCACCAATCTGTACGGTGTCCTCGACGGTCGGTCTTCTATACGGTTCGGTGGTGCCGCCGTCGGGGGTGGTGTCCTTTGTCGCTGTGTCCAGCCAGGTGATGACGCGTTCTTCATTCTCGGTGCCATGTGTGCTATCGGTTTCTCTTCTATCTTCTATTTGCGGGTCCTCTTGGTCCTCATCTTCGCTATCTTGCTCTTCCATTCGTATCTTCGCCCTTATAGTCTTCTCTAATTCTTCATATAACGCCGCCAGGCGCTTCTTCTTTGCTGCTCTTCGTGCAGCTATCTTCGATTCTGTTCGGTGTGATGTCATTGCAGCTGATGGCGACTTCGGCGGTTGGTCGTGGCGCAGCGGGTACGGTGGCCGCGTCACGGTGTCGCTCCCTTCCGATGGCGCTCTTGACGGGGGTTGGACAGGATTCTCTCCTGCGGCGGTTCGCTCTAGCTCTTCGATGCTTCTCTCGATGCGCTCCTCTTCGGCCTGGTCCATTTTGTCAGCTTGAGATCTTGTTCGTGGCATTTTTCTTTCTTCAATCTTCTATATTTTCTGTCTTCAATCTTCTATAATTGACCACGACGATCTTCTTTCTTCAATCTTCTATAATTTTTCTTCAATTCTTCCTCGGCGCTGTAGATCCGGCTCGAAGGACCAAAAAATGTACGGGACGCCGGGCTGTCGCAGTAGCGGACAGTTACCGACTCGTACTGAGGGGGTGGAGGAAGTTACACGCAGGAGTCTTGACTGTAGTGGACTGTAGTTTCGGCGAATAAAACCCCTGGTGTTCGGTATTGAAGAAATCGGTGGGCGCTGATAATGGATGGCCGGTGAGAGGAGGCTTCAGGTCCAGAGTGAACCGCTTGATTGTTTCTTCCTGTTCCTTAGGGTAGGAGCGCCTGTCGCTGAATGCATGTCGGGGCATGTTCCGACTCGAATTTTATATGCTAGGACTGAGCTGGCCAGCGATCCATTACCTCACCCACGCTATACTTTATTTTTCATTTTCTCAAAATTTACAATAGTGCGAGCTTAAAACTAATTGTACATACATCGGGCATACATTTAGGCATATTTTTAACACAGTTACGTGTCCGTAAACACGATATTTTAGGTGTGGCGCGCAAAAAATAGGTCTCCGCAATATTTATACTTTCCCCCTCCATAGGGCTTCGCCCTGCCACGGGGCTTCGCTGCCCCACCCGCGCGCTCCGGGCGCGCCGGGTGGGGAGCGCAACATGTCTCAGAAAACGGTTCTATACAAACATGTTTTGTCTCCTATACGGTACATTTTTACACTTAGTGATGTGATACCTATTTATTTACGTAGCCCTACGTGTTACCTATCTAATACAACAAGTTTCTTACAAGAATATTAATAAACAACAGCTGTACGGCCCTATAAAGTTTACAAATTAAAAAGTCTCAAAAAACCTACTTATATTCACTTAATGCCTAACTATCATATACTGTTTTATAGAAGAAGTAAAAACACACAAAATGACATCATTATTATAACAATTATACCTATATCCTATTGACTATTCGTAAAAAACTATTCCCAATATTTTCCTTAATTACGCTTAAACTACTAACACGATTCATACAAAACTTCGATATATTATTCCTATAGCTACCTACTTTCTAATAAGACATAAGATAAATCAATCAAAACATAAAACATACTATTATCGAAAATTGTCAACTCAGGCAAAATCCTATAAGATGTGAGACAAGGACAACCTATTGTCTCCGTCCCTCCTATAGGTCGGAACTATCAGTATTCTGACTAGTTTCCCCGCGCCACCGCTTGGCGTCGTGGCGATCGTTTAGATAAAGTCTTATAAGATTATTGGAGAGAACGGGGCGGAATATCGCTCTGAACTATCAATTTTACAATGGTTTACTATGGGCAGAGCTATCTATTATTGCGATATCCGACTCATTCTAATAAGACAACAAGGGAATGATATTTTTAATGCGTATACAACCGATTCATGTGAAATTATAGATACATTTTTATACATTGGTCTCGTATCGTCGTAAGTTCATTTTCTCTCGCTTCGGTCGTCGCGTACATATATACTTCACATATTTTGTTTATTCAACAAGTTCGATGCAAGTATTGTATATTACATATTTTATACATATATAAATAAAGTGTGAACAAAAGATTAAAACATTGTATAAAATTTGTTAAATACATATATTACACCTTGGTATAAACGAGGGGTTACAGAGATATTTGTAATCAAAAGGGGTACTTAGAAAATAAAAACGATAATCAGACTAAAGTTGGAAATTAATATCTTCTTATTTTAGATCTTAATGTGCTCAGAAATAAGCTCTAAATTTTAAACATTGATTGTGACGACATCCGGCCGTACTTCGTTTGTTTTTGATAAGTACGCCCTCTAATGGAAAGACCATCATTAAATTTGACGTATGTAAATTTTAAGTAACCTAAAGGTATTTACCACCGATGTCAAATCTTTGTTTTTAATTTATATTTAATTAGGTTTCTTAACTGATATATTAACATTTACAATTAGGCAATTAATGACTTTTGGAATGACTGGTGCCAGGTGGCAGCACTGAGACAAAAGGTCTACTCATCCGTCAAATCGCATATGTCACATATGTCATCATAGTCATAGGGCATGGAGGTTAGAGGAAGGAGAACGATCGCTGTAGAAAATATTGTCCCAGAAATATGGACAAAATAAGTGAGGCGCTGCGATCGCTAAGTTGTCTCCATAAAAGCGGGTTGTTGTGCGCTAATTTGATCGTTGTCCTTCTCTCTAAACTCCATGATCTATGGGTCAATTTAAATGCTTCATATAAAATACCTCACTTTACAGTGGCGCCAACTAGTGACGTGAATTTTCCTAAACACCCTCATTCCTTAAAATTCACGCTCACACTTATTTTATCAGCAAATCAAACAGCAACAACAAGCGCAGTACCACCACCAACAACAACAACAACAGTTGCATCACCAACAACAGCAACAGCTTCCAAATCAACAACAACAACAGAAACCGGAGCCGATATACGATCTGCCGATACACAACAAGCCGCAACTGACGCCGCAACAACAACAACAGATCAGACAGCAGCAACAACAGGTCAGTTAATATAAAAGTTAAATTATACAGGGTTAATTTTAAAACACCAACAACCTATTAGGGGCTGATTCTACCCATCAGCAAGAACAACTTTTATTACGGGACCAACGCTGAAATCGCGAAAAAAAAGCAGCTGGTTCATGCAAAAGTGCTATCGACTCTCGATAGTTTGATTCAGGGCTTGTAACCGGTTTCACAAAATACCGGTAAATAAATGTTAATACCGGTTTTAGTAAAGGTTTCGTTCGGAGCGCGTCCGAAATGAAAGCGGTACCTAAAACCTTAATAAATCGGTTTAATCCAGAGCGACACGTGCATACGTAGGCATCGCTTGAAGTTTGTTTTGTTTGAACTAACCAAATCAAAACTTTAATGCTCAGAGATTGATGCATTTATTGACACGTTTCTTAGCGTCTATTGAGTCAAGTTATTCATTTTGTAGTTGTGTACTGACACACTACTTCACTCACTCGCTCTGTAGTTGGAAAGCACAGTACAACTTACATAAAAACATTATAAATTTGAATTGAAACGGCGAAGGCGATGCCGTCAGTAAAAGCGAAATGAAACCCTTTAAAAACTGCTAAATTGATTCAAAACCTATTTGATTTCACTTTTTAGGAAAACCGTTTTTTTAAGGTTAAGGTAGAGCCAAACCTAAATAAAACGCTCCTAATGTACTTGATACTGATTTAGGTTTGAAAATTAACCGGTAAATAAGCCCTGGTTTGATTAAAACCTGTGCAAATGACACATGCAGGCCAATTTGCTAACTACTTTCTTAAGAACGACCTTGTAAGCCAATCGAAAAAATACTGGTAAAACTAACCAGGATAACAGCACGCTAAATCACTAATAGAGGGTTTCTCGAAAAAACCGACTGTTGAGTTAATAGAACCTAGCAGGCTGAACACCCGTGCTATACTAACTGGACACTGCAAACTCACAAACACCGATTTCATATGAAATTGAGTGACACTGATGTTTGCAGATACTGCGATCAGCAGCGTGAAACACTTAAACACCTTCTATGTGAACGTGGGCCTCTCGTCCACAAACGTAGTATTCATTTGGGACAACATATAATACAACCAGAGCAAATTAAGTCTCTAAAACAGAGTTCCCCAAACTTTTTTGTGTCGTAGACCCCTTGCCATGTTTTTACGTGTTGGGTAGACCCCCTACTTACCTGATATTGATTTTTTACGCTGACGTAGACCCCCTGCAGGTTGTCATAGACCCCTAGGGGTCGATATAGACCATTTTGGGAATCACTGCGTCTAAAAGCTAGAAACATTTCGAGCTTCTTGGAAGATGTCGGGCTAAAAGAGATACTTTAACTTGGTGGCGAGTCACAATAGATCTTATAGGTCACAGTGACTTCAGTCCCATTAGGACTGCATAGCCCCAAAAATCTATAATAATAATAATGATTACACTAAATTGTCAAATTAAATTAAGTCATGTGTTTAGCAGAACGATCATGAAATGGTATAGACTTCAAATATATCTTAATTTTTCATTTTCAGTTTTTTTGATATCGTTTCTATTTTCATTATCGATACACTTTTGTTTGGCAATCGGGAGTTTAATTGTCTTAAATACGTCAATGCAAATAAGTACTATACTTTCACTCACTACTTTTATATAAATTGTTCCCCCATCCAGTTCCAACAGCAACAACAACAGCAGCAACAGCAGCAACAACTCCACCAGCAACAGTTACACCAACAGCAGCAACAACAGCTGCAGCAGCAGCAGCAGATGCAGCTGCAGCAGCTGCAGGCCAGGGCTAGAGCGGGACAGCCGCAGGGCTCTCTGTCCAGTAGAGATACTAGTGTCTTCTCCACTTCCGAGGGAGATGAGTGAGTTTCAAAAGATGCAGCAGCAACTAATTAAATTCAATATCATCAATAGCCTGCGCAGACGATAGACTTGTCCGCGAAAATAGATCGTTTTCAACTGCATGGTGTAACGCACACGTTATACCAATAAATATATCTCTCTTTTTCTCTCGCTCTCTCTCTCTTTCTCTCTCTCTTTCTCTCTCCTTCTCTCTCTCTCTCTTATGGATGGATGGATTAAAAGTACCACGTACGAAAAGTCCCCCGAACTGCCGAGAGATCGGACAGGACAAAAGTACGTGGCTGGTGGTGGAAACATATAGAAATCATGTTATTTTACCTTATAGGGTATTTGACAAGTTTTGGAAAATTAAATACCCTATACAATACGCATGCGCTTTTCTATAATTTCAGTCAGCAAATGTTCGCACATCGTGACAAGTCTTCGGCGGACATTTATTTCACGTATCAAGGACTTTTGTCCTCTTTGGACAAAAGTCCCACGTCTGCGCAGGTCATTATTCAGTTTATGCTGTTAACAGCGTTTCTAATGATCGAGGAGCAACATAAATATCAAAGAAATGTTGGAGATAAGTTGGTTGTACCTTGGAAAAGTTAATTTCGAGGTTATTCAACAACATAACACAAGTCGCGACAATATTATAATGACTTTGTATGCTGACACTCCACATGGCTATTCGTATTTGCTATTTGTAAACTTAGATACAGTCTCCTTTTCATTCTCTTTAGAGTGTGATAAGGACAACCTGCTGTCAAAATGACAAATTTCAAATACGAATAAGCATGTGATGCCGGCACTTAACCTGGCTATTCGTATTTGCTATTTGTTGAAATTGATAACAGTTTTTACTTTTACTCTAAAGCGTGTGATAATGACAATCTGCCGTCAAAATGATAATTAGCAAACACGAATAAACATATGATGCCGGTACTTCACTTGGCTATTCGTATTTGCTATTTGTTGAACGTGGCAAATGTCTCTTACTTTTCATTCTCTATAGAGTGTGAATAAGGACAAACTCAAACCATTTGATACCGACAGTTCATATGGCAATTCGTATTTGGTATTTGTAAACTCGACAAAAGAACAATCTGATTACAAATAACAAACAAATAAGTTTGTAATCCAAACATTATAACTGCATCAAATAAGTGTATAATCCACACATTATGCAATGATGCTGGCACTTGGCTATACGTATATGCTATTTATAAACACAACAGCCTGTCCTTATCATGCTTTATAAGGAATGATAAGAACAGACTGATGTCAAATTTGCAAAAAGCGAACACAAATAGCGAAGTGGCCATCAAATAACTGTGTATAATTCAAACACTGTGCAATGTCAAACTAAAACGGATGTTGATAGGTTTACGTTGTTTCCGTTAGCGATTCCTGTTGGCGGGGTTCTCGGACGGAGGACCCGCGGGACTTGGACGCGTTATTGCAGTACATCGAAGGACCCGCCAGACACGTCGATAGAGGGAAGAAGAAGGCCAAGAAGCAGAGACAGAAAGCTAAACGGGTGAGTCACTTGCAGTTGCAGTTTCTTGCCGGTTCTTCTCAATATAAGGTCCCCCGCCGTAGTTTTGCGAACCGATGGCGTAGCTTCTTGACCTGCACAAGTGCTTGTAACAGCCTAGACTGAATTACTGATTTTGATTTTATAACCTAGTCGCCTATTAATGTTAATTTTGTACACTTTAGACGGAGACGCGGCTAGTAGAAGCGCGGACGTTCATAGCGGGCGGTTTGACTCGCGCCAGAGCAGAATTGAACGCCCTCCGCGCCGCTCATCAGGCGGCCAGCAAGCGGCTACAGACCGCTAGAGCCGCACACAAACCACAGCCTAAGAAGATTGGTAACTATGACATGTATTGAGATAGTTTAGCGTCTCTTAGAAAAAGTTTGACTCGCGCCCGAGCGGAATTGAACGCCCTCCGCGCCGCTCATCAGGCGGCCAGCAAGCGGCTACAGACCGCTAGAGCCGCACACAAACCACAGCCTAAGAAGATTGGTAACTATGACATGTATTGAGATAGTTTAGTGTCTCTTAGAAATAGTTTGACTCGCGCCCGAACGGAATTGAACGCCCTCCGCGCCGCTCATCAGACGGCCAGCAAGCGGCTACAGACCGCTAGAGCCGCACACAAACCACAGCCTAAGAAGATCGGTAACTATGACACTTATTGAGGTAGTTTAGTGTCTCTTAGAAAAAGTTTGACTCGCGCCCGAGCGGAATTGAACGCCCTCCGCGCCGCTCATCAGGCGGCCAGCAAGCGGCTACAGACCGCTAGGGCCGCACTCAAACCGCAGCCTAAGAAGATCGGTAACTATGACATTTGTTGAGGTAATCCTACCTCAATAAGTGTCTCTTAGAAGCGTGGGTAAAATACCGGTTATTTCGTTTATTTAGGTAGTTATTTAAAGTTTAGCGCTACAGAACGGTGGACTTATTGCTCATTACATCATTGACAAGACTAAACAACCGATAAAAATATTGACAATAAATTGTAGTGGACGATAGGAACGTAATAATTATTTCTGCAACTGTTATAACGAGGGGTATTATAACACGAATATGGATTTATCGCCTGCATTGATAAAAAAAAATATGAGTGCGTGTACTTATGTACGCGCGCGAGAAGTTATACTTCTTTGGCATCATTAAAACTTAGTTTTTAATTGCATGCATATAATTAATTACAATAGACTGGAGAAGGATAGTCAACACAGTCAATAAAGTTCAGTTTTAATTTTAAAAATGAAATAAATAATCAAAATATTCAATTTAAATCACTACTGAATAAAATTTATTAGCACATGTATAGTTCGCACTTGTATGAAACTAAAACACGTGTTGTGAATATAGAAACACTAGCAAACCAGTGAACCAAATGTTCACCAAAAAAAAAGAAATGTATTTAATTAATTGAGAACTTCGGAGATTTTGTGTGCTTTCGTTTGAAATAGAAATCACGTGATTTCTTGAAAACCGGAAGTGCTACGTTACTCACATCCGGTTTGTAGTCTTATCAGACTATTCTTAACTTATAACTTAAACATTCTCTATATCTATCTCTTACGGTTTGGCCGCTGAAACAGCACCACGGATGGACGGACGGACTTGTCTAATAGATAAGAGATGTGAATAAATATTATAAATATGAAAAACGAGCGTGCCGACATGCGCGACTAATACAGATTCTATTTCTATTTTGTTGGTAGGTTTTTTTCCAAACTTAATATTCGGTTTAGCGGCCAACTTCATGGTGTTACTTTTGTGTTACAGTGATGCGCGCGCATCCTAAAATTTCACTCATATTTTTTTCATAACGTGCCTTGCGGTTTAGCGGTCTACTTCATGGTGTTACTTTTGTGTATAAATTGATGCGCGCGCATCTTAAAATTTCACTCTCATCATTTTTTCATAACGCGCCTAAATAAACTATAACTTCAATAAATCACGCGAATTTGTGTCTTACAAACCTACATTCTAAGACATGAATCATATCTAGGTCCATGTATGAGAACGTAGGTCGTCCTTTACATAAAGTTCCCTACAAAAGACAAGGATAGAAAACATGGGAAAGGATATATAATTGGTCAGAATTATATCTCCTTTCACATGATGTATAATGCGATTCAACTAAGCTGTCAATCAAACCAAATAGGTAGAGTAAGCAAAAAAAAGTTTTTATTTAATAAAACTTATTTACTAAGATTAAGTGAGAAAAAGCATCAGATTTTTTTAATAACATTTATTTATTAAGATTGACAAAAAAACCACCGATTTTTTATAATATTTATTTATTAAGACAGAAAAAACATTAATCAGAATCTAGCTCTTCTATTCCGTTCGTCTCTGCATTACCGCCGGAGTAGTTATGAATAATCATGCACTATTACTAGGTCACATACGAACATGTATCCTTTATGTAAACGAAAGTTTGAAATCAGTTTCTGAACGCAACTTAACATTTGGTTGACGATTTAGGTTATCAACCACTCATGGCCAAAGCTCAATAAGTGAAAAAAAATATCAACCGATATTAATTATCAATAATATTTGTTATTGTTTGTTTACAAATGTTTGGTTATTATTCTTGAATTAGCGGAGTGCTAAAAAAGGATGCCAAGTTTTTTTTGCAAACCGTACTTTACAAGTGACATTTGACAGATAGAGGTCATTGGCTTTCGTATTCTTATTTGCATCGTATTATAACGACTGAAGATTTACTAAGTTTAATAATTTTGTCAACAGGCAAGAAACAGAAATTGAACCCAGCGCAACAGGCTAAAGTGCAAATGGTAGCAGAACAATTAGGAGAGTTGACGTCACTCGTCAACGCTTCAGCTAAGGTAAGAAGATAATTAATTTTCCACTCTCATTAACAACAAAAAAATATATTTTTACTAGTGCCAAGTCTAAATTACACTTCTATAGGGTGCCCGTAACTTTGGGATTTTCTTATATAAATATTTGTATTTAAAGTATGTTTTTAGGTAGTTCATCATCATCATCAGCCTATTTATGTCCCCACTGCTGGAGCACAGGCCTTCCCTATGGATGGAATAGGGAGATTGGGCCATGACCTACCACGCGGGCCCAGTGCGGATTGGTGGGTGCTAACGACTGCAGATACAGCCGGGACCAACGGCTTAACGTGCCTTCCGAAGCACGGAGGAGCTCGAGATAGTAAATTTTTTGGTCACCCATCCAATGACCGACCATTGCGAAAGTTGCTTAACTTCAACGATCGTAGTCGAACGCGCTAACCACTTGCGCCATCGAGCTCCTCGTTTAGGTAGTTACATGGGGTGTATTTTTCATAAAAAAAATAGTAATATTTTAAGTGTGTAAGTGAGTTTGTGTCGCTTTGAAGCCTTTACCACTCAATGGAATGTGCTGAATTGTCGTATAGAGATAGATGGGGCCTTGGAGACGAATTGTCGTGCAAATAAAACTTGAAGAAGTTACAATAAGGGAAGGAATTGTTGTATGAGAAACTATTTAATCATATGCTTTGTTGTTGCTATAGGAAATGTCTGCTGCTGAGAAGCAGGTATCGGAATGGTCGCAACGTTTACAAGAATGCGAGAGGCAGCTGGCAGAAGCCAGGGCGTTACAAGGAAAGCCGCATGTCAAAGTGAGTATTAACTCATCATAATAGGCTAGTTGACCCTTTTTGGAAAAAGGTTTTAAATGGTTAATAAATGTTCTATTAGACCGAAAAAAAATGTATTGTATTTTTTTTAAACCTAGAAAGCTACAAATCTTTAATTTTAAAATAGACTTTTCATGGACATACAAAAACGCTGTCGGCCATTTTAGTCTATAGATTGTCTATGCTATGACGTGAACTGTGGTAAACAAAAACTCGTAAACACGTAGAAAATTACTTTTAACTGAGTTTATAATAAAAAAAGACATGATTTCTAATAAATACCACGAAAAATAAAGTAATTATCATTACTGTATTGTACGAGAACATAAAAACACATCCTTGAAGACTCCAGGAAAGTTGTGGATTAAAGTGCCGAAAGAAATTAACCTACGCAACTTTATTACACTTATTCATATGTTGTATCAGTTTTATGTTTATTACTACATTGTAATACTAAATGCACTGTACTTACATAGATGCCTTGTCGTTTCTCTGCTCCGCAGAGCAGAAATCGGGGTTTAGTGCAACAAATTCACCAACCATCAATGCGTCAATTCTTGGCAGATTTGTGCTTTCTGCTTTCACAAAGCCGGCATCCATAATTTGTTTAGTCAAAAAAAACTTAAGTTTACTGTTTTTTTCTTTCCTAAAGTTAAAAGTGTTTTAAGATAAATTTAGTCAAGACGAAAGAATTCACCTACAGTAACACGCGAATGACATTTAGTTGTTTACCACAAGAGACGTCAACATCATGGCGAATGTGGCGAACAGCGTTTTTAGTGTTTAAAAAATATAGACTAAAAAATATTTTTTAAAATTAAATTTCTACAGCAATCTTCTGCTTTTATGAAGTGAAATCGATATATTCGATATATGTATAAGGTTCCTTAGACTAAACACTTTAAGAAATAAACATTTATTTAATACAATTCGACATGAGTAAACTAGCCTATTATCAGCCTATTAATGGCCCCACTGCTGGAGCACAGGCCGCCTTCCCTATAATCATAATCAAAATCATTTATTCAGTTTAGGCTGTTACAAGCACCCATGAATGTCTAGAAGCTACGCCATCGGTTCGTAAAACTACGGCGGGGACTTTTTTTTCTCTGTGTTTTATTATTTACAGAGTCGTCAATTTGAAGAATGACTTCAGAGATGATTCATGGAGTCACCTTTCATTACATTATATAGATATATAGGGTATAAGGCTATAGATGGAATAGGGTGATACGGACATGATCCACCACGCGGGTCCAGTGCGGATTGGTGGGTGCTAACGACTGCAGATGTAGTCGGGACCAACAGCTTAACGTAAGATTACGAACGGAAGGATTTCGTCCCTCTCATTTTAAAAGTCTAAATGAATTTGAATTTAAACAAATGAATTTGAATTATGATCGCCAATAGCGAAAGTTGCTTATCGTATGTTATATGGCTAAAAGCAATCTATTCCACATAGCCTTTTGATGGAGAGGTTTAGGAAGAATTTGGAGTCGGCGGTGTCAATAAAAGAAGTAATGCATGCAAACAAATAGTTAAATATATTTTAATAACGCGTATTAATATAAATTTATGCCTATAGGAACAGTTAATGTTTTTATAGTGTTACCTGTTTAAAAATAATTAAATTAGTGTGAATGTATCTCTTGTTAACCTGTGCTATTAAAGATACGAATCGAAAATGACGACGAAAGACATTCTATCTCTCTCGCACATATCCTGTCGGTAATAATGCGAGAGAGGGGCAGAATGTCTTTTGAATCGAGTCTTTTACTTATTTTTATGTAGATCATTTGTTTTATTGACTATAATGAATCTTCTAACTCTTCTTTCATATCTTACAATTCAATAAGCATATTTTGTCTAAATATAAAACTGAACATAATAATTTGTTCCAGTTACAAATAGAACAAACTATCAACCAGCAACAACAAACTGCCGAGTATAAACAACACCAGTTACAACAACAACAACAGCAATTACATCAACAACAATTGCACCAACAGCAGTTGCAACAACAACATTTACAACAACAACAACAGTTGCAACAACAGCATATGGAGAGGCAAAGGTTGCAACAGATTGAGATGCAGAAACAGGGTGCGGCTTTTATGGGTTAGTTTTATTAACACTTTAAAATTTTACTAACAGTAAGAAGTGGAAAGAATTGGAGATGGTCTTTGTCAACTTGAGGCGTAGAGTTTCAAAGTAATTATTGATACAATAAAAAGCAAACTTCATTCAATAAATTTTAAGTTAATAGATATCACTCCACTTGAGAAAGAAATCTATCATTATAATTATTGCGATAGTTTAGGCAAGAAAGAGTCGGAAAAGTTATATTTTTTTTTAAGCATGTAACTGCTTGAAGCTTAAATCTAAAGAAAATATAACTGGAAAAAAATCCACGCGGACCAGGCAGCAGACGGGACTCGATGATCGATATCGATGATGATATGATCGACTGATGACGCTGCCTTGTAGCTTAAGAATGGCTAGAAAAATTTCGACGCGGCCATCAGGGCCGCGGTAGCATAATTGGTCAGTGCATTCGCCCGGATAGCGAAGGGTGCGGGTTCGAGTCCCATCTGCTGCCTGGTCCGCGTGGATTTTTTTCTAGTTATATTTTCTTTAGATTTAAAAATCAATGCTTAGAAAATAAAAATTATAACTATAAGTAATTGCTATTTCTTCTTTCGAATGTTTAATACTTGTAAAAGTATTCATTTGACATTGTGGGTTACCTACAATGCAAAGAGATGGCGCTGCCTTGCAGTTTAAGAATGGCTAGAAAAATTTCGATACAATTTCGGTAGCATAATTGGTCAGTGCATTCGCCCGGATAGCGTAACGGAAAAGGTTAGTTTCAGTTCATAAAATAACAAAATGCATTTTAAAATTCAATTCAAAGCTTTCAGTTTTTTTAATCTGTTTTAAGACACGATGAAGTAGTAGTCGTGGTAGCCGCCACATTAGGTATGAGGTATTGAGTTTAAATTGAAAGCCTATATCTCTATGGTCCTTTGTAGCTGTGAAAAAATGTTTTTTTAACGTGTATAAACCTATACAGGTTCCCCTATTAGTTATATGTCCCCTTGAAACAGATGCGGGTGGTGGAATGGTATGCGTGAGACGCACGGGTCCATCAGGTGCGGTCACAGTTTCGATGCCCAGCGTACCCAGGCCCGCGCTATCAGGTAAATTATAATATGAGCAGCTGGCGAACAAAACGGTATGATAGGGTATTTGACAGTGTTAAAAATGCCAATTGTTAGCATCGGTGTTTAGAATGAATATTGGCAGGGCTTTTTACTATTTTTACATAAAAAACTTCATAATTTTACTAAAAACTAACGAAAAAGATTATAGTTTTCGTATCTATTGTCACGTGACCCAAAACGCTTGGGATTGGCGGAGCCTAAAATGCATAAAAAACTCCATAAACATTAGTTAATAACGTGAGATCGTTTCCTAAAACTTGTCAAATACCCTATCAAATTAAATTTTACAGGAGCAGTAAAAAACTGAATGACATACCTACAGTGAGCTTTTGGCGTGATTTTTAATTAGTAATTTTAACACTATTTTAGGCGGTTTTGATTGACATGAGTTGAAATTCAAATTCAGCTGGCCCAAAACCTCCGGGCTGTAAAAATACAGTTTTATATGGTCAAAACCATATGCATAATTATGCCGTTTTGTTCGCCAGCTCCTCAATTATAATATGCTTATTCTGCATACTATAAGGTATTTTGTAACGTCTGACCTTCGGTGTAATATAGCGAGAGAGCTTAAAGTTAATATAAATATAACGTTTCGCTTTTCCAAACTTAAAATGAATAGTCATTTTAAAGTCTTCGTAATCTTATATATAAAATTCTCGTGTCACAATATTAGTTACCATACTTCTCCGAAACGGCCTAACCGATTTTTATGAAATTTTATATGCATATTCCGTGGGTCTGAGAATCGGCTACTATCTATTTTTCATATCCATATATATTGTCCACCTGTAACGCAGTGTTCTGAAACCTACAATGCGCCTTCGCGCCAAAATTTAAACTATTGGGTATTGTAACGTAGTGTTCTCATTTGGGTTAGGAGGAATGTTATCCCAGGAAATTGATAGAACACTACGTTACACACCCCTAAAATTTTTTTTGGACAATGAATATTTTTTTATAATAATTATGGTATTTAAATATACATACTGTAGCATCTAGCTATCGTTTAAAAGATAAGAAAGGGTAAACGAGTGGAGTGACCCAATTTATTGTTCCAACAAGAAACCAATGGGAGTACGACTCACCGGTATTTAACTGCTGTAGCAGGATGGTAGGGCTGAAATCCACTTATGGGGCACTTCACGAACAGTAGAAATATTCCACACACGGTGTTAGACACAGTAACTGCTGTTTCTTCAAATGTTTTAACGCACGGCGTTATTATGCTGCTTCGCGACCCGGGTCACAGGCAAAACAGGACGTTTCTTCTTAGTTTTTCATAGAGGGCGCTACTTGTGTATGGCGGTAGCGGATGTGAAGTAGCAACTGTCCATCCGGAAGCCGCATCACATGATTAAATGTAGGAACGTATAACTATGAGTCTATAGGTACTCAACATTACCCCCTACCGAAACCAGTATTATGGTTTCCACTTAGAAAAAAAAAAGAAAATTTAAATTAAACTTACTGTAAGAGCCAATTATAATTATAACAAAAAACGTTTAAACGTTAAACTTAACTTTCTACTATATTTACTTTAATCTTAAAATAAGAATGACAATTTATGTCAGAAAACCTTTAATTATTATATGGTAAAGGACTAAGTTTATTAACAGGTCTTTGTAAGACGCTCCTTTCGGTACGTAGCGTCACACAGCGGACTAAATTATCAGAACCTGGGTGAAGCTTTTCTATTTTGCCTAAGGGCCATTTACAGGAAGGAACATTATCAGTTTTAATAAGAACTATGTCGCCAACTTTCAAATTAGCTGAAGATGTGAACCACTTTGCTCGTTGTTGTAAAGTATTCAAATATTCACGACTCCAGCGTTTCCAAAACATCTGAGAACACTTTTGCACATATTGCCAACGAGACAATCGATTCATGTCTACGTTATGAACGTCATACTCAGGTATAGCGGTTAAGCTTTTGCCGATAAGAAAGTGTCCTGCCGTTAGAACGTTGAATTCGTTAGGGTTGTCGCTAGCCGGTAACGGACATAAAGGGCGCGAATTTAAGATAGCCTCTGCCTTACAAAACACAGTAGAAAGCTCCTCGAACGTCAAGGATTTTTCACCCACGCTTCGAACTAAGTGATATTTCGCTGCCTTAATGCCAGCTTCCCAAAGACCTCCCATATGGGGAGCACTCGGTACGTTAAATCTCCAAACTAACTGTCTTGCGGTGCACCCTTCCGTAATGTGATTTTGATTATCGCGCATGAACTTTTGTATTTCGTTGAGATGTTTAGCGGCAGCAGTGAAATTGGTGCCACAGTCTGAATAAAGGGCCGAGCACATGCCTCTACGAGCGATAAAACGGTCTAAACACGCAAGAAAACAATCCGCGGAGAGGGAAGATAACACCTCAAGATGAACAGCTTTCGTTGAGAAGCATATAAATAAAGCTAGATAAGCTTTTGAAACCTTTGCGTTACGACGTAAACTTTCCTTTATAAAGAATGGACCACCGAGGTCTACTCCAACGTGAGAAAATACTTTGTTAGGTGTTACACGAGTAGGAGGCAGAGGTGCCATCTCTGGTTGTAACAACTTAGGTTTGTTTTTAAAACAAGTTTGACATTTAGATAATACGGATCTAATAACGCTACGAGCGGAGGGAATCCAATAATTTTCATTTAAAATGCTGTTTAATGTGCGCGGGCCTACGTGCAAGTATTTTCGATGTAAGAAATCAATAAGTAATCTAGTGAATATGCTATGCTGAGGAAGTAACAGCGGGTGCTTAGTGTTATAAGGAAGCTCAGAACGACTCAAGCGACCCCCTACCCTGAGAAAGCCCTCTGCGTCGAGAAAAGGAGATAACTTTCGCAAAGAAGGTACGTGTTTATTAAGCTTGAGTAATTTAATTTCATGTTGAAAATAAGCAATTTGAATTAACTTAATTAACACGTTCATAGTAGCATTCAATATATCGGTGGTTAAGAGTGCGGACTGACCGACAAAATGATTTTTCTCGCGTAATAATTTTATAATCCATGCAAAGGTGCGGTGCAATTTAGAAAATGATGAAAAACGACTAAATACTCGTTCGCAAAATTCCCGCTCGGATTCTTCCAGACTAATATCTTGTGTTAACAAGGCAATGGATTTTTTAAGTTCCGGTAATTGAATTTTACTTTCGTTGGTAATGACTGTAATCGGCCACTCATCATAATTTTGGTACATCCAGTCGGCGCCAACCAACCACCGTTGTCTACATTCAACAAGCTGCGCCGGCGACACGCCGCGAGAACAAATGTCAGCTAAATTATTTTCACTAGATACATGCCGCCAGTAGTGGGGAGGCAATATTTCTATAATTTGAGTCACACGGTGACTAACGAAAGTTTTTAGTTTATAAGGTTGCGTTTGAAGCCACAACAGTACGACTGTCGAATCTGATAGCGCAGTTATTTTATTTATTTTTACGCGTGTAAAGGTGTTACAGAGAAATTTAATTAATTTACTGAGCAAAACTGCACCCATTAGCTCCAATCGAGGGATAGTGACTTGTTTTACTGGTGCAACTTTCGACTTTGCCGTTACTAAACGTACCTTAACATTATTTTTATCATCGCGACTTATGACAAACACGCACGCTGCATAACCACGACAAGACGCGTCACAAAATCCGACCAACTCGCATTCTGTTTGACCCGGTAATAACATGTGGCGTTCTATATGAAGTTCAGCCAGTAAAGGAAGTTCCGAGAGAAACCTTTGCCACTTGTCTTTCAAGTCATCCGGAAGACTTTCGTCCCAACCAATGCCTAACTTCCATAAGTCTTGCATGATACCTTTAGCAACGAAGGTACAAGGTGCGATAAAGCCTACGGGGTCATAAATCGACGCTAACAACCTGAGCACCGAACGTTTCGTGGTTGTTTCATCCGTTTTATTTGCAGAGAAGCCAAAATGATCCGTAGTAGGAACCCAATTAAGGCCTAATACCTTAATGGAGCAATCGTTTTCATCACTCACAAATGATATAGCGCCTTCCCTATGTTCAATTGGTACGCGGTGAAGTAAATGCTCGCTATTGCTCATCCACTTTTTTAAGGTAAAGTTGGCACTTTGAAAAATACCTATTAATTGATCCTGTAGGATACAAGCTTGCTCGTAAGAGGTACATGAGTACAAAATGTCATCCATGAAAATCCCTTCACGGATAACCTGAGCTGCAAGTGGGAAACGTTCCCCCTCATCTATTGCCAATTGTAGTAATGTCCGCATGGCTAAAAACGGCGAGCAACTAAGACCGTAAGTCACGGTGTTTAATTCGTATATTTTTATGGGTTCATTAACAGATTCTCTATATAATATGTGTTGATAAATACGATCTTCCTTTCTCAACAAAATACCACGATACATTTTACAAACATCACTCACCAGACAAATCTCGAAAAGTCTAAAATTCAATAATATCGCTACAATATCGCGGTATAGTTTCGGTCCAACGAGAAGAATATCATTTAAGGAGACGTTATTACTACTTTTAGCAGATCCGTCAAACACAACCCGCAATGGCGTCGATGTACTACTGGGGCGCAAAATACTATGATGTGGGATAATAAACTGACTAGGCGTGTCGCCTCGATATACTTGCATATGGCCGAGACGTTCGTAATCATGCATAAACTCGATATATTTTTGTTGCAATTCAGGAGCACGCTCTAGTTTGCGTTCCGTGTAAAATAACCTACGTTCGGCCGCGGCACGCGTCTCGCCAAGAGGTGGGTGATTCGGTACGAAAGGTAACGGAACGACATATCGCCCGTTCGATTCCCGGGTGTGCTCTTTAACAAATATTTGCTCTGCTAACTGGTCCATAGGGTTGACTATAGGTGTACACGGTACTTCCTCAATCTCCCAAAATGAACGTAATGTTTTTTCTAATGATTGTTCCTTTTCATAGGTTATAGATAGATGAAAGTTTTGAGAGATATTATTTTCAAGTGGACACAATTTTCCGCTTATAACATCTCCAAATACAGTTTTAATGACACTGGGAATATTATCATTAATTATTAACGGTTTATCCGTGATAAGTAATGGTACAATATCATTACCTAACAAAATATCGATTCGAGATCGTTTGAAAAAGAATGGATCGGCTAAATTAAATGAATTATATTCATTAATAACCTTTTTTGAAAAATTAATATTTGGCATGTCAGCTGCCACCTTGGATACGACAACTAAATTAACGTTGAATGTCGGACCGTCCGAGTTAACGGGTTTTAAAGTGCAAGTAATCATGCCCTGATTTTTAATAAAACCACCGCCTAAGCCATTTATAGTAAAAGGACATTTCCTACGAGGTAAACATAACCTTTGGGCGCATTCGGTAGTTATAAAAGAGCTCTGAGCTCCAGAATCTATGACTGCACGGCAGTTTTGATATTGTTCGTCGTTATCACGAAGTTGTATAAGCGCAGTACCTAAAACTACTCCGTAGTCGGAGCTAGCGACGGTAGGTACTGTACCGAGCGCGGCCTGTTGATTAGGTATCGATGAATCACTCACGGAGTGAGACGAAACGAGCGCCTGCTGCGCGTGTACAGAGGACGACTGCATGGGTTTCGGCACGGCCGATTCTTCAGACTGCGCACTATCTTTATGTAATAAATAATGATGCGGTAATGCACAAACTCCACACGTGATTAAACTTTTGCAAGCGTTAGAATTATGATCCGCTTTTAGGCAATTTGTGCACAAATTCAATGAATGGACACGGTCCTTTCGTGCATCGACAGCCAATTTACGAAATTGATCACATCGATAGATCATATGGTTTTGTTTACAATGAGCACAGACTAGTTGACTGTTCACTTTGCGGTTGTAATTATTCTGCACTCGCGTTGTCGCTAATACAGTTTTTAAAGACGACTGTTTATTTGTACTACCTTTATAGGTATTATAATAACCGGCAGGTTTTTGTAAGCTTGACGAGCTAACCGAGTTATTCACGTTTGACAATGTACTATGTTCTAATACTTTTATCTGCTTATTGACAAAAACTATGAGTTCAGAAAAGGTAGGAATAGAATTTTGATCTCTCTCCTCTTCAAATAACCTTCTAGTGTGAGGATCGAGTCTTCGCAAAGCCAAATGACAAAATAAAAAGTCATCCAAATTTTTAATATTTAAAGCTTGAATAGCTTTAAGTGAATGATCGAATGTTTCAATAAATAAGGTAAGGTTCGCAGCCGTATCTTTATTAAGCGGCGAAAAGTTTAACATTTTATCAAAATACCTACACGCCAGCGTTCTATTGTCGTGATACTTATCAATAAGACTTTGCCAAACTAACGAGTAATTAGCACCGGTAATAGGTAGTTTTTTTGCAATATTCAAAGCGGATCCTTTTAGACAAGATAATAAATAATGAAATTTATCAATATCAGAGAAGTTTCTATTGTGTACTAATGATACAAACGTGTCATAAAAGGTAGTCCAATCTTCTATTTTGCCATCAAAGTTAAACAGAGATAATTTAGGTAAGGCAGGTGCCACGAAATCTTGTTTCTCGGACTTAGCTAAAGTATCACTATGATTTTTTAACACTAACTGACATGCAGTATACATCGTATCGAAAGATTCAAGATCACTAAGTGACATTTTTTTTGTTGGATGTATTTGGCTTTCGATTTCTATTATTTCAAAAATGGCGGATTCGAATTTATTACGGACACTTTCCATTTCGGACATTTGTACTAAAAATATTGGTAATTGATCCAAATCGCTATCAATTGTTTTGGAAACGTATAATCGTTGTAACTTGGTAAATAAATACTGTTTTTTACAAGTCAAAGCATCTCTTTTCACTTCTAATTCTTTCTTCGCGGGCACAGACGCCGCCAACGCCATATTGTTTTTTATAAAATTTACAATTTGCAAAGTGGTTTATAGTCACTAATTCAATCGATCCGGCTCGAAGGACCAGAAAATGTAGCATCTAGCTATCGTTTAAAAGATAAGAAAGGGTAAACGAGTGGAGTGACCCAAGTTATTGTTCCAACAAGAAACCAATGGGAGTACGACTCACCGGTATTTAACTGCTGTAGCAGGATGGTAGGGCTGAAATCCACTTATGGGGCACTTCACGAACAGTAGAAATATTCCACACACGGTGTTAGACACAGTAACTGCTGTTTCTTCAAATGTTTTAACGCACGGCGTTATTATGCTGCTTCGCGACCCGGGTCACAGGCAAAACAGGACGTTTCTTCTTAGTTTTTCATAGAGGGCGCTACTTGTGTATGGCGGTAGCGGATGTGAAGTAGTCCATCCGGAAGCCGCATCACATGATTAAATGTAGGAACGTATAACTATGAGTCTATAGGTACTCAACACATACAACCCTAAATTTTCTCTTTACCACCTGCCCCTATTTTTATGGCGGTACGAAGTTCGCTGGGTTAGCTAGTGTTAAAATAATAAACATGCTATATTATAACTCGTTAAAGATTGTTTTATTTAAATAATTGATGTGCATTGACCTGTTGGCCTCGCACGGCACGCACTACGACCTAGTATTTAGTTCTCTTTCTTTTTGTTATTGTCTATGTTTTATTTCATGTACCGTTTTGTTTCATTTATTTCATGCTGTAAGGGCCAATAAAATGTTTTCTTTCTTTCTTTCATGATGACATAGCAAAATAAATATGTCTAGTTATTTGACGAAAAATTTAATAAAGCTAATATGAAACGAATTGCCAAATGAACGAATTTTTAAATAAAACATTATTATTTAAAACTAGCAAACCAGTGAACCAAATGTTCACCAAAAAAAAAACAAAAAAAAAATGTATTTAATTAATTGAGAACTTCGAAGATTTTGTGTGGTTTCGTTTGAAATAGAAATCACGTGATTTCTCGAAAACCGGAAGTGCTACGTTACTCACATCCGGTTTGTAGTCTTATCAGACTATTCTTAACTTATAACTTAAATATTCTCTATATCTATCTCTTAAGGTTTGGCCGCTGAAACAGCACCACGGACGGACGGACGGACTTGTCTATTAGATAAGAGACTAGCAAACCAGTAAACCAAATGTTCACCAAAAAAAAAATGTATTTAATTAACTGAGAACTTCGGAGATTTTGTGTGGTTTCGTTTGAAATAGAAATCACGTGATTTCTCGAAAACCGGAAGTGCTACGTTACTCACATCCGGTTTGTAGTCTTATCAGACTATTCTCAACTTATCTTAAACATTCTCTTTATCTATCTCTTACGGTTTGGCCGCTGAAACAGCACCACGGACTGACGGACGGACTTGTCTAATAGATAAGAGATGCTTCATCCGATTTTGCGATTTTATATCGTTGGACATAAAGGTCCAACATCCTCTTTAAAGAGAGGGTACCTGAACAATTACTATGATCTTCCCATAATACATGTTTATATAATTTATGTAATTACTTCATGTTTGGCAGTTTTAAACGTATGCGAAGAACCCCAACCGGTGAAACAAACTGACAACCAACGCAAGCAAACCTGGGAACAAGCCCTAGCGCACATCAATCAGCTGGCTAAAGGGACTAAAGAAAAGGTAACTAAGAAATACGCACTAAAAACATACACACATATATAAAACCTATGGGACGATTAGATCTGGGGGCCATTCGCCTAACGGAAATGCTTTGGAAAACTCTAACGCTAACGATATTATTTTGTTATTTCTAGCCGCCTGAGGTTTACAAATGCCTCGCGCTCTTTTTTTTCTTTTTGCATTGGTAATAACAATATTAAAAAAAAATGAGCGTGGGGTATTTGAAAACCTTCGGCGGTCAGAAATAAGAAAATAAAATCGTTAGCGTTTTCAAAAGCATTTCCGTTAGGCGAATGGCCCCCTGATAGGAACAACGTGGGCGATGACGGCGTATATTAGACGAAATTGTATTCAGTTTCGTCTAATTAATATGAAAATAATGAGCAGGTTGTCAACGGCTGCGATTTTTGAAGTTAAGCAACTTTCGCAGTGGTCGGTTATTGGCTGGGTGACCAAAAATCGTCTATCTCGAGTTCCTCTGTGCTTCGGAAGGCACGTTAAGCCGTTGCTCCCGGCTGCATCTGCAGTCGTTAGCACCCGTCAATCCGCACTGATGGGTCATGGCCCAATCTCCCTATTGCATCCATAGGGAAGGCCTGTGCCCCAGCAGTGGGGACATTAATAGGCTGAATGAAGGAATATTCTTTATTGCACTATTTAACAAAATATATAAAACATAAAACTCAAGGAACACAAACACAAAAGGCGGCTTTATTGCTAAGGCAAATAAGGCTGATGATGATGTATTCAGTTATATTATAAAAATATAGCAAAAACCTGTTTTTTGTCAATCAACCAAAAAATACTCAAAGCGCGTCATACTTTGGGATTGGCGGCTCGTGACGTCACTTCTTAGTAAAAATTGTACCAAGACGTGTCGGTATGCGAAATTTCGAGTCAATATTTCTTTAATGTTTTCATTATATGAATTAAGGTAAAAATATGTGTCTCATACTATATATTGATAATATACCTGACAGACGAAGAAAAACAATCAAATCATCATCCCTATTCATTTTTACCAGAAATGTTAATGACATGTTAGTCTAAAAAAGGCGCTTTATTTATTGCTCATTGATTAATTACACGATGTTTAAATATCCCAATTTATTTACAATATAAAAGTCATATTTTTATAACAACTGACTAAACCATATTGGATGAAAACAGTAAAAATGTCGAAAAATGTATGACTTTATTTTTTTATAAGTTTTAAATACTAAAAAATTATTGGTCTCGTCTACAGAGATTTTATTTTTTTATTCCCTCACTAGAAGAAGCAGAAAGAAGCGCAGCTACCGAAGCAGCAGGAGGCGAAGCGGAAGCAGCAGCCAGAACCGGAACCCGCCCCTACGCTGTCTAAAAAACAACGGAAATTGCTCGCAAAACAACAGGTAACCATCTTAATAATATAGAAAACTTAAATATCCATACTAATATTATATAAAGCGTGTCTGTCTGTCTGTTTGTTACCACATATGATTCAATTTTATACAGAGATAGTTTGAATCAGGGATGTTGCGAACATTCGCATCTGCATCCGCAAATGCGGAACATCCGCATTGATTTGGATATCTGCATCTGCTTCCGCATCCGCATTAATCAATGCGAATGTTCATGAGGATGCGAATATTATACAAGTAGCGACAAGAAAGAAATTGGGCGGGGCCGGTGATTGACGCGTGCCGGTCGCACGTGACAATAACCAATGGGAGCGAAGATATTGGTGACAAGATTCGACACGTTTGTTTGTTCTAGCTAGTGCATCATTTGTTTCTTGCAAGTGAATAAATATTACGTGTTTGTTTGCGCTGTGAAGTGAAAGTGAACTACTTATCGTATCATAAAGATAGATAGTTATTTTTAATGTTGTTGTGATACAGTGTGTGAATAAGAAGAGTTTACAAGAAAACTTTATATTATTTAAGACTAATATCCATAAGCTCACAAGGTAAATTCTATTATATTACGCCGGTAATACGTTTTATTGTAGGATTAATTATCGTTTTATGACGAAATTCGTTATTTTTCCAGTGTGATTCCCGTTATTGATAGTTTATCTAACTAAATTTAGTCAACAATGTCACCACCGACCAAAAGTAATGTATGGGATTGTTACATTATACATTACTTATATTTAACATAAAAATAAGTACTTAATTATGTTTGATTACAATAAAAATGTTAATAATTACGTTGTCATTGTTTTAATTCTTCATTAATAGACTTTATTTACATAATATCTTATACATCCGCATCCGCATCTGCATCCGCGGATGTGAGCCTGCTAAACTCCGCATCCGCGGATGTGAAAATATCGGCATCTGCAACATCCCTGGTTTGAATCCCGAAAAAAGACAGGATAAAGGAGTTTTTATACCAGATATCACCCTTTAAGGAGCTGCAAAGGGGAGTAGAAGTTTGTATAGAAAACCAATTTTTCTATGTTCAAAGTCGCGGGCATCCGTTAGTATTGATATAAATTACTAGCGGATCCGATAGGTGCTGTCAAATCGGATATAGATATAAAAGAATCCTAACACTGCAGAGTCCGTTGTCGAATAACAATGTTTCTTTAATTTTCAAATTTTGGCGTGACTAAGAAAAATGAAGAAGACAAGGGATATCAATATCCTTTCTCAATCCAGGTATTAGGTGTGCCAAATTTCATCGTTTTGCCGATTCTGCGTCATGAGAAACTAACATCGAAACTTTCACATTTATAATATACTAGTGGCCCGCCCTCGCCTCGCTTTGGGGTAGAATTGATCAAAATCCTTTCTTAGCGGATGTCTACGTCATAACATCTACCTTCATGCCAAATTTCAGCCCGATCCGTCCAGTGGTTTGGGCTGTGAGTAGATAGATCACTATGTCAGTTAGTCACCTTTGAGTTTTATATATATAGATTCAGCCCGATCCGTCCGGTGGTTTGGGCTGTGCGTTGATAGATATATAGTCAGTCACATGAGATATATCAGTCACCTTTGAGTTTTATATATATAGAAGTAGGGTCTTTAAAATAATATAGTATACTAATTAACTAACCATATTTATTCCCAGGCCGAAGAGGAGGAAAGAAAGAGGCTACAGCAAGAAGCGAAACAGAAGAAATCGGAAGTGAAGAAGCAGGAGCTCGCCAAGCCCGAAGCGAAGAAGGCGGACAAGAAGCAGGAAGCGAAGAAGGCGGAACCGGCCAAGAAGAAGGAGGACAAGAAAGAGAAGAAGCAGGAAAAAGAGAAAAAAGGAAAGGAGAATAAACAGGAGAAGACTGGTAAGATTTTGATGTTTTGATTGTGTTACTGTTGAAGCAACTAAAGTAAAGAGAACTAGAAAAGTGCCGTCCAGATTTTTTTTAGGTGCTGCGTCTTGAGAGGTATCCGAATTACCCCTATATGTATGTTCTACGATTTTCTTCAAATTTTTTTTTGCTGCTAAATCTCTAAAAACCATGCATAAAATAAACAACCTCATGACTATAATGGAAATTACTTAAAAAAAAGACCTAAAGTAGAGAATTTATGTTAATTGACTTATCATTTTAATTTTCAACTTAATATTAAAAATCTAAACTGCAATTTCTTAGTTTCTAAGTAACTTCAGAGAATGTGTTTGTTCGGGGTATCAGTCTGCGTGGGGTTTTAATGGAGAAATACACTGTTTAAACTGTTAAATATTTTATTTTACTCCACAGTTGAACACACAGTTCACTTATATTTAGAAATGTTCAATTAAAGTCAAAGGAAAAAGTATAAAAATGTTATTGTTAAAACTATTATAATATGTAATTATTTGTTTAAAAAAATGTTCCGAATTTTTGTTATAATGTACATCTTATTGCTACCGCAAATGTATTGCACTGAAGTGTTAAAGTGCACGGCGGACTATGGCCCAGTTACCGCGAGCCGCCCCGTGCGTCAACCTAATATGTCGCAATACCTTAGTGTTCGGTTTTGAACCGAACATATTCCCGAGGGAGAATAAAAAACATAAAGATATCCAAAGAAATGAAAATTAATAATGTAACAAAATTATAAGCAATTTTCTGATTACAACCTAAATGAAAAAATAAGAATATGCTATCCTTAAATCAATCGCCAACGTAATAAAAATTATGTATATAGTCAGGTTTATTATCACTAGGAACTGTTGTTTTTATTTTCATTCACTACGTATGTCACTAAACACATTTTTTATGGGAACTAAACCCGGCTTAGAAGCCTTCATCATTCTGTTGTGTATTTCAGTAAAAATAACCAAATCGAAAACTCCATTTTCAAGTTGCCGCGAAAACGTTTCTCTGGACAATATGGCGTCTCATTGGTGTGTGACGTCACACGACTGTTATTTAAACGTCAAGCGATACAATGTAATGTCACTTTAACCGGAAGTTTACTTGCGTGTGACGTCATTTAAGGCTCCGCAAATCCCAAGCGTTTTAGGTCACGTGACAATAGATAAAAAAACTATCTTTTTCGTAGGTTTTTAGTAAAATTATGAAGATTTTTTTGTTAAAATAGTGAAAATTCCTGCCATTATTCATTCTAAACACAAATTAGGGATATTATATTTTTTTTTCTTCGTTTATCAGGTAGATTATCAAAAAGTATTGGACACGTATTTTTTCTTTTTTCACATGATATAAACATTGCAGATATATATTGATTTGAAAAGACGCATGACGTCACGTTTGAGTACACTTATAAGTGAAAATTCACTCAAAAGTGACGTCACGAGCCCCTACTCCCAAACTTTGACGCACTATAACTTTGTAATTTTTTGGTTGATTGCCCAAAGAAAAAATACGTGTCCATTATTTTTTGATCATCTAACTGACGGACTAAATAGAATTTCGTTTACTGTACCCCGTCATCACCCCTATTGGCACTTATTTTTGATACTGTCAAATACCCTATTCTTCTTTACGTGTCTGATTACAAGCAGTAGCTTTCGACTTTCACATGTGCTTGTAAAAGATTAAACTGAATAAATAAATTCTGAATTGAAATTTTACTGGTGAAATAATATTCAGATTCGGCTAAGTAGTTCTTTACACAAACAAACGAACTACTCCTCTTTATAATCTAATATATAAAATCCTCGTGTCACGGTGTGCGTAATGGGCATGATGCGATGATAAACGAAGAGAAAAAATTAGTCATCATCCCTATTGAACTACTCCGAAACGACTCGACCGATTTTCGTGAAATTTTATATTCAGTAGGTCTGGGAATCGGACAACATCTATTTTTCGTTCCCCTAAATGTTAAACGTGGTCAACCCCAAATTTGTTTATGATACATCGTACAAAAATACATACAACCCTAAATTTTCACCCTTCTACCACCAACCCCTATATTTTTATGACGGTACGAAGTTCGCTGCGACAGCTAGTAATATTATAAATTTATTCTTTATTAATTTGTTTGTTTGAGCACTTAACTCCTAGATTTAATAACCTAAAAAAGCATTTACCCAAAAAAAATATTCTAAAGCCTAGAGAGGATGTATCTTGTAAATGTCTATATTCATTAACTTTGCCATCTCAATTCAAACATATATCTCTCCACCTTACAGCCCCAACCCCCACCACCAAACAGAACAAGCAACAGTCTCAACAACAACAACAGCAGAGCAACAAGAAGAAGGAGGCCCAACAACAGAAGCAACAAGTCATCAACATCACACCGGACACGACCATAGAACTGGTTAATAAGAAGGTAAATAATTTAGATTAAAATAAAAAGGGAAGATACATAACGGTGTCGATTCTGGCATGATTCTCTAAACCTAAACTTAAATTTGACAACAGTGTATCCTTGTCATTCTCTTTACAGAATGAAAAGGAGAGACTGACGTGAAAGAATCATGCCAGAATCGATACCAATACGTACATAATATATCTAAATAACACAGCTACTATAAAGCGCATTTTTTGCTGCAAAATAACTCTATTTTTTTATATGATTACTGAATACAAACCAGCCTTGATAAGCACTAAATGATCATTTGAGCGGTGTTATAACGCCTGGTCGGGTTATCTTAGTTAACCACTAATATGGTCCAAAATGAGTCATTTAAAAATTGTTGTAATGGCATTACTTAGATTAAAACATAAAGGGAAAAACGGCACTCGCGGCTCAAAAGTGATCCGCTTAAATTGTGGTGTATGACCACGATTCACTTTAGTCACAATTGGACATTCAAACACGATGCATGTGCACTCAATATAACAATATTGCGTATTATTCTGGACCACATGCTCCATCGAGCTCCTCTTTCTAGGTATATCACACATTTATTAAAAACTTTAGTCAACCAACATAACATAATTTGTTTTCTGTTCGACAGAAGCAATCTAGCAACGAAGCAGAGAAGCCTGCTTCATGCAGCATCATGGAACAGCTCAGCTGCGGCGTGCAGGTTCGTTAACGCCCAGTCACAATACAAGCCACTCAGACACTTTGTTTTTTAATTTAGTCTGTTTTATCTTTTTCTATTTATTTCTTTATATTCTTTGATGCATATTAATATTTTTTTTTTGTTTTGAAAATCATTTCAAATTATACTATTATAAATATATTTTTTACTCTCAACTTGCACCTATAATGTTTCCAGAACAACGCTTACATTTTATAAAGATATACACACATAATGTGTACGTATGTTTAAATCCAAAGAAAAGTTTACTTGAAAAAATTCCACGCGGACCAAGCAGCAGACGGGACTCAACCCGCACCCTTCCCTATCCGGGCGAATGCACTGACCATTATGCTACCGCGGCCCTGTCGGCGGTGTCGAATTTTCTCTAGCCTTAGGCTGCAAGGCACCGCTAACTCCCTAGTCCCGTCTGCTGCCTGGTCCGCGTGGGTTTTTTTCAAGTAAACTTTTCTTTAAATTTAAACATCTAGCAGTTAAATGCTTTAAAAATAAAAACATAACTGTACATATGTTTGTTTGTCCAATAATACTAATGGTGTGTTATTCTAGGTGGCAGATTTGAGACTTCCACCCGGGATCACTTTGACACGAGTGCAACCCAATGAGAAGAAGGAGCCGGTGCCTATAAAATCTGTCGTAAGTATTTATTTATTTACTCTTTATTGTTTTGCAAAAAATGGCGGACTTAATGCCACATGGCATTCTCTACCAGTCAACCATCGGGCTAAGTAGAGACACTGTGCGGTAAAGTAAATAAAAGCATTAAAGTAAAAGAGAAAAAAAAAATGATAAAACTACATGTCAATTATAATGTAACATCTATAAATATACCTTAATAACTATATATATGATATATAGATGATAAAATAATAGGATATTTGATAGTATTCAATATAATAGCTCCAATAAGGTATTACAACCATTTTTGAAAAGTGTCCCAATTAAATTCTTAAGTGCTCATATGCTTCCTGAAAAAATATAAAATGTTTATTTAATCATTATGTCCCTTAAAAACGCATTTAAATTTGAAATTTTCAAATTTCGCGTAGTTCAACGAAAACGCTGGACGCAGTGGACGTCATATTGCTCTGCAGTCTTGACGTCATTAGTTCTGTAAATAAATGCGTTGCCTTGGTTACGAAAATATTAAAAGTACCTACTGAGTTGACAACTGACACTTTGGCATATACTAACGGTGTGACGTAACAATGTGGCGGCTACTAAGTCTACTGTTTTATCGTGTTTTAAAACAGATGAAAAGTCTGAAAACTTTGAGCTGAATTTTAAAAGGCATTTTGTTATTTTTCAACTTTTGAACAAATGATACAACTTCCGTAAATGCCATTTTTTAAGTGAAACTTCATTACGCACGCTTGACTTGGGGGGTAAGCTGGTGAATGCGTTACGCGTTACGAAAGATGTGTTCGGGCGAGGCGAACGGAGTTGAATCGCACATTTTCTTTCTCTCTTTCTCTTATTAAAATTCATAGCTGGTAAATGAAATATGTATATGTACATACATACATGTATATATTGTACAAACATATATATACATATACACACAGATGGAGCTAAAGAAGTTTCACTTCAGTCGTGTAGTCATAAGCACACTCCTTGTTTTTTTGAGCAAATGTATTTATTTATTTTATTAATAATTTTTACAGCCGGTATGGAAATGCAGTGGTCTAGCGGCAGCTCCTACGCCAGTGGCTCGACCGCCGCCCCTCATCAACGCAGACCCGTCACAAATGAGCTTCACTACCGCGAGACCAGGTAACTATACATATGTACACGAACACATGAACAAATCTAGCCTTAACACACAATATGTAACATATAACCGCGGTAGCATAATTGCTCAGTGCATTTGCTCGGATTGCGAAGGGTGCGGGTTCGAGTCCCGTCTGCTGCCTGGTCCGCGTGGATTTTTTTCTAGTTATATTTTGTTTAGATTTAAACATCAAGCCGTTACGTGCTTTTAAAATAATAAAAATTATAACTATAATTGCTATTTCTTCTTTCAAATGTTTAATACTTGTAAAAGTATTCATTTGACATTGTGGGTTGCGTATAATGCGAAGAGATGGCGCTGCCTTGCAGCTTAAGAACGGCTAGAAGAATTTCGACGCGGTCCGTGAGGGCCGCGGTAGCATAATTGCTCAGTGCATTCGCCCGGATTGCGAAGGGTGCGGGTTCGAGTCTCGTCTGCTGCCTGGTCCGCGTGGAATGTTTTCTAGTTATATTTTCTTTAGATTTAAACATCAAGCAGTTACATGCTTTAAATATAATAAAAATTATAATTTATAACATCTCAATAAATACACTCTATAACATACCAGAAAACAAAAGATTCAACGGCCAAACCACTTAAAATATCATGTCGCCTCATCAACGCCGACACTTCTCAAATGAGCGTTAGTACCGCGGGACCAGGTTTAAAATAATTTGAAAGAAATGACGGACCCGAGTCTACCATACCAAAAGGGTCGAACGAACGTCAGAACAGTTTATATGGGAAAATTAAATTGACGTTTTTACTATCTTCCTCGCAATTTTTTCATATTTTTCACCCTTTTAACCTTCCCTAGACCTCCGCGAACATTTCAAGACCAAGATAAGATAAATCCGTTCAGCCGTTCTCGAGTTTTAGCGAGACTAACGAACAGCAATTGATTTTTATATATATAGGTTTGGGATAACAACAGCCATCAATTAAGTTTTACATTTTTGGTTTACAGTTACATGTAAGGACAATAAACAGTCACCCACTATTATTTTTATTTATACAAAAAGAAACAGTTTCGTACCACACTTATCCGAAATATGTTTCTTTTTTTTAATGATATTAACATTTTGGAATGCGTAATAAAATAAAACTAACTAATATTAAGACAATCCTGTCACAATAATTGAATCATGTTTATAGTTTGAGTAAACAATTAGCCAAAGGTTGTTATACCACAATCCTATCACTGTGATTACAGTTATTTTACGACTCTATGTTGATGAATTTAATAATAAGCTAATAATATTTGATTTGAATGGATTTTTGGTTAATAAATGGGTCCACATGTGAGAACTTTCTATTATAAATGCTCAGAATTCTAGTCAAAACTATTCTGTCCGTAATTTGTAGAATGAGATGGTACATTAAACAACGGAGTGTGCCTAGTTCTGCGAGTAGGAACATTGAAAATATACACAATCACACTACATATGTAGTGTATAACACAGTCCGGATAAATAGCACGCATATACATGCCATAAACACTACATATATACAGCTAAAACACGCAAACATAACCAATATAGTCAAAACACGATACACAAACGCGTGAATCAATATCCGGTTGTGCCTTCACTTCATTTGTGTATTCGTGTTTGCTATTTGGTGACATGACATCAGTTTGTCCTTTTCATTCCTTAAAAAAGCATGATAAGGGCAGACTATTGTCAAGTTTACAAACGGCGTATACGAATAGCCAACTGAAATGCCGGCATTAGAGATAGACTTTTCACAGCTATTTGGCCCAGATGATTTGATGATTAAGATTATAATATATTATAACCGGTTGTGGTTATAATGTTTTTTTCATACCAAATTATAAACGCAACCAGTTTTTAAATACTTATATTATAACTTATCTAACGAATAACTTTTAATTATAATATGAACAAATTAATTTCCAGAGCCGCCCAAAACCATAATCGTACCTGAAATGCCACCAGCTCCAGCAACTAAATCCAAAAAGAACAAGAAAAAAGCTAAAAAAGCAGCCACCGACACCGAAGTAAAGCAGGAGACCAAAATGGTTACCCTGCGAAACCCAATGTTCCATCCGAACTTGCCACCGGTTCAAATAACCAACACTCCGGCCCAGAAGAAAACAGCGGAACAAATAAGAATTCCTGATCCTATACCTATGCCACCGAACGCTTGCCAAGCAACTATTACCCCGACTTCCAACGGAATGTACACTATAAGGAATCCGTTGATGTCCATGATGCATCAACAATCTTTAATGGGAATCAGACCGCAGACTCCACAAATGAATCCGATGTATGCACCACAATACAATTTTGTGAATCCGAACGCTTACAATCCAGTGCAGACGGTTCCAACTCAATACGTCATGGAACAACAACAACAAACATCTCCCAAAAACCAAGATGAATTACAAAGTAGAATCATGAATTTGGCTTCGTTTACTCAAAAGAACGATGAAGGGTATTCGTTATTTAAAACCAACGAAGATAATCAGCAAAGGTCTTTTCTTACTCCTGAATACTATGTTGAAAATCAAAGTCCCAAACCAGTGGTGTCACCCAATCCAATAGGGACAAGACCAACCAATGATTCAAGTCGCTCGTTTGATTCCAACGATTCATCCTTATTTGCCAATCCGATACAAAGGCCTGAACCTATAGGGACTCCGTTGAAACGTGAAGAGGAAAGGAATGAATACACGGGATTGTACACTCCGTTTGGCCAAGAAGACAGAAATGTTTTCAGAAATGCCTTGTTTAATGATAAGAATGATATTGGACCAAACATTGGTCGTATGGATGAGATCGGTGCAAATCATTTGGCAAACGGGGACTCGTTGCCTTATTTTCAGCGGTTGCGAGTTGGCTCGAAGTTAAACAATGAAGTGACTATTCATCATGTGACCGAATCCAAATTCTACAAAGGGCAGGTACGTTATTATAATATTTGGTCTTAAATTTTTTTTTACAGAAACGTGTGATTCTGGCATGATTCACTAAACTTCAAACTAAATTTAACGTCAGTCCCTCCTTTTCATTCTGTATAGAAAAAGACAAGGATACACTGTTGTCAAATTTAAGTTTAGGTTTAGAGAACCATGTACAGAATCGACACCATAGATTATGATAGCTTCGAACTTCGCTTACCGGGATTCGAACCCTGAACCTCTGAGTAGGCGACACATTGATAACCTATGTATATATACCACTCCGCGATAGTCAATTAACAAAAATTGAAGGAAACTAAAATCTTATAAGAAATCCTAGAGGAAATTCAACACGGCCATTCAGATTTCGGTAGTATAGTGGCTAGTACGTTTCAAATATACATATATATATATTGCGATGGACACTGCTTCGAATCCAGGCTGATATCTGACAAGTATTTTTTTAAAGTATCTTTATTATAAAAAATAGCTATATCATTGTAACTTTACCATAATCCATGGCAAAATCAACTTACATAACGTTGTTAGTTTAAGAAATCAGTAATCATTAGTGTAGGAAGTGATGCTAGCGCGGGGGCCGCGGCCCGACTGATGTTGGTCGGGCATCGTATATATGGAGTGTTAGCCTCCGAATTTTACTTGCGCGATGTAGGCTTCCATACGTATTAATCGTAACGCCGGTAGCGCCATCTCTTAAGGAGGCGAGTGACTATTTCCTCCATGTTGATTATATGTCGGGCATGTAGAAGTCGCCGCCACATTAGTAATTTATCAAAAGTTAATTATTTATACGCTAAACTATTTTTACGAGATCATCATCATCAGTTTATTAATGACCCCACTGCTGGGGCACAGGCCTTCCATAAGGATAGAATAGGGAGATTTGGGCCATGAAATGCCCCACCACATGGATCCAGCGTGGATTGGTGAGTGCTAACGGCTGCAGATGCAGCCGGGACCAACGGCTTAACGTGCCTTCCGAAGCAGAGGAGCTCGAGATAGTAATTTTTGGCCACCCATCCAATGACAGACCACTGCGAAACTTGCTCAAGTTTAACGATCGCAGCCGAACGCGCTAACCACTTGCGCCATCGAGCTCCTCAAAAACACGAGTAGCGATGCTAAAATGGATATACTGTCTTGCTTTCATGTCAACATCTAAGTTTGTCTTCAAAGCACAGCCGTTGCTGAGTTTCTTGCCGGTTCTTCTCAGTACAAGGTCTCCCGCCGTAGATTTGCGAACCGATGGCGTAGCTTTTCAATATTCCCAAGTGCTTGTAACAAACAGCCTGGAGACTGAATAAATTATTTTCGATTGTGATTGCAGGAAGCGGGCGTAATGACAGACGGAGTATTTACTCGCGGGGCCTGGCCGGTTCATGCCCCGCCATTTCCTAACGGTAAGTGTATTCATCATCATCACCAGCCTATTAATGTCCCCACTGCTGGGGCACAGGCCTTCCTTATGGATGGAATAGGGATATTGGGCCATGTCCCACCACGCGGGCCCAGTGCGGATTGGTGGGTGATAACGACTGCAGATGCAGCCGGGACCAACGGCTTAACGTGCCTTCCGAAGCACGGAGGAGCTCGAGATAGTAAATTTTTGGTCCCCCTTCCAATGACCGACCACTGCAAAAGTTGCTTAACTTCAACAATCGCAGCCGAACGCGCTTACCCTTGCGCCATCAAGCTCCTCAGTGTATTCAATACCCACCTATGTGAAATTACCATTCTCTATTAAACTTTCTTTGGAAAGGAAATTATACACATAAAGCGTATATACCAACGATTTAAATACCCTAGATACAACAATACGAACTAAATCGTGGCCGAAACGTGTCAAAAAGGTACATTGGACGATCCACGGAGCTCCGTAAGATGATCGCGTGGTAAATAACAATATAAGGCATTATTTAATCATTGAAAGTCACCTTTAATACACACTGTGTAAGGTCTTAATTAAACCGCATGCGTCGAAGAATTATGACAGTTCGAAATGCAAGCTCGTAAAATTTTACGAATTATTGTTGTATGCGGGAGAATATAGACCTTATTTATTTTGCTTCTACGCGCAAGTCTGAATGCGCTGTTAGAAATACAGCGGGTACGGACCGCGAGGAAAAGAGACGGCTATACGGCGACGTATAACCGAACATGCATTTGAATATAACAAATATTTTATATTAAATCAGTTTATAATGAGTATTACAACAAAATTTGCTTCAAATGCGTTAAAGAAACAAGATAACTGTCGAAAAAACGAGCTTTACGTACTATAAGTATATTTTTTCGCATTTGAGCTCTGATAAATTATCATTTAAAAAAAGGTGTCATTAAAATACCTAAAATTGTATACTGTACCTATTCCCAACAACAATATTAAATAGGGTATTTAATATCGTTGATTCCAAAACTTTTAATGCATTATAATTGTAGTAAATTGAAATGTAGGGATGAAGCAAATAATACACGTTGAAATGTGAAATTTTGTAATCAGTCTGGTTACACCGGCCATCTTTACCCTCGATAAAAAAGATTTAGAAACATTGGTTTATTATTGTTTAAAAGTTTTGTTAAACAAGTATCAAAGTTGTTAAGTTACCTACCTAAGAAAGTGTGTTTCAAGATCATTAAAATAAACCAAATTTTATTGAGATTATGAGTGAGTCGATTTTAGCTCTCTTATTAATGAACGAAGAATAAGCTTGGATTTGTTACTCGATGCTTTCTCTCTGTTCAATAGATAACAAGTAGCATTTGAGTGACATGAATAACACACGGCGTAACTTGTATTCTTATTGTGCGCCGTGGTAAATTCGAATGCGCAGGTCTTCTTCGCGGCTTCTTTCACCCTTTTCCTTCTTGTGTAATAGATGGAGCCACAAGTGTCGACAAAAGAGATCAATGAACTACCTATGAGATGGCAAATATATTTCTAAATATATTAGTAGGTCCTTACATTAGAAATTGGCGTTTTGTACGGGAGGAGTATAAACTCTTTTATTTTTGGAAGTATCTCTTATCTATTAGACAAGTCCGTCCGTCCGTCCGTGGTGCTGTTTCAGCGGCCAAACCGTAAGAGATAGATATAGAGAATGTTTAAGTTATAAGTTAAGAATAGTCTGATAAGACTACAAACCGGATGTGAGTAACGTAGCACTTCCGGTTTTCGAGAAATCACGTGATTTCTATTTCAAACGAAACCACACAAAATCTCCGAAGTTCTCAATTAAGTAAATATTTTTTTTTTGGTGAACATTTGGTTCACTGGTTTGCTAGTATTTAATTAATCAAAGTATATCTTATAGATAGTTTATTGATGTCTTTTGTCGACACTTGCAGCTCCATCTAGTGTAACTTATTCCTTGTTTATTAATAAGTGAATATGAGTTGAATACAACTCTCTTTCTGTGCTCTGTGTAAAATTTTAACAAATGGTTATTTTCTCTCTAGTATTTTAACTATAGTCAAATTTAACTGTGGACGAAACAACGCAGCCTTTATAAATTATTGTGAACAACCGTTTTTCCTTCCAGCCGCAGTGAACCCCGTAGTGAACAACGTCGCCGTGAATGTAGGCGTGAACGTAGGCGTAGTATCGGGACGTAGCTCCCCCACGGGGTCCTCGCTTTGCTCCAGCGGGGGTTCCCCGGATGACGACAGCGGGTTCGGGGCCGTGGGCACCAGAAAACACCTGGCTCTATCCATGTGATAAGTCGTTTAACATCAAGTGAAGTGGAATCATCTGTTGGACCTATTTTAAGAAAAGTATTGTGAAAACTTCGCTGAAAAACTACTTGATAACTATCTGACAGATTAATAAAAATATTGTTGCTAACCTCGCTGATAAACTAATTGATACTGACAGTTTACAGAAACTCACATTTCCGAAATTATGCTGGCGTATAGCTATTTCATAGACAATTATAAAGATAAATTTCATAGATAACATACATAATATCGTAGTAAGCAACTTATACGTTTATGTACACAAGGAGAAGCAATGGGCCTAACATTGATTCCCTGGGGCATGCCGTATTTGCCCGGAAAGTATACGGACTGAAATTGATGCTGTCACTTTTGTTTCTTATAAACAACATTAGGTTTAAACCAAGACTAACTTTAATTCAAATTTTGGAATAAGGCGGTAAAAGTTAAACCAGGGAACACCTGGCTCTGTCCATGTGATAAGTCGCATTTTATACAGGCTGATGGATAATATATGTGACTGATGGTTAAAGAAATATACAGGTGTAAAAAGACCATCGACAAAGCCGAAGCCCACGCATTCCTATACATAAAAATAAGAAACTTAGAAAAAAAAATTGCTGTGAAACGATTTTTATTTTTTTGTGTTAAAAATAAATTGCAAACAATACTACACAAAATATAGCGCAATAGACCGCGCCCGCGGCGCTGAGTTGAATCGTAGAAAGGCAGCGTTTGTGTGTGTGCGCGCTTGCTTTCGACATATGTACAGTGATGACTTCTGAAAGCCGTTTTTTGTTAGGAAAGACTTAACATTTTGATAATGTTTCTTTGGACAGAAATTAAGATACAATCTTTAACATTTGTTTCACCCATTCAACACTTGATTTTTTTTTACTTTGACCTTTCATAACTTCATAACTAATGATTTCCCAGGGCGACAATCGCCTAACGGGGTGGCTCTGGCTATCGCTATTGCTTACTATTTCATTTTGTCATTTTTGACCGTCGAAGGTTTTCAAAGGCCTTTGCCTTTTTCATTGGTAATAACAATATGAAAGAAAATTTGCTTGAATTATTTGAAAACCTCGGTCGGTCAGAAATAACACAAATAAATCATAAGCGATAGCAATACCCATAGCAATCCCGGAGGCGATTAGCCCCCAGGTATTGTCTAGAAGACAAAAATGGTCCTGATGATAGGTAGAATACGGTTTTCGCCTATTTCGAAGGTTTTTTACAACCTGCATATGATTAGTAACCAGTTGAATTTGGTAATAGGAAAACAACGAAAAAGTTGGTAAACCGTGAATAATTGTCAGGTACATAACGCCCCGCTGGGTGGATGAGGCGATTTATCGTTATTTCTATCAAAACGGTTGAGGTACATTGAACTTTGTTTAAATTGAGGTACATCAAACAAGCAAAGCATTACTAGTACTTCATCTTCTGGGCAGGCGTTTATCATCCTAGGCCTCATCATCGTTTTCCATCAGGCAAGATTGTGGTCAAACGCCTTGCCTATTAAACATAAAAAAAAATAAGTCTAGCTCGAGGGGCCCCGCTAGATAGACACATGACTTTATCCTGTCAATTAGACGGTCTCAATTAGTTTATCAGTGACTTTATATAGCAATCGTGTATGGCCTTCACAATGTAAGAGGAGATTCTAATTATAATAATAATCTTTATTTGCAATCAAGATTATTATATCTATAATCTAAGAATATTTTGGTTCTGAATGATTGGTTTTTATATCTTTGAAAGATACCGACTTGTTTATATAATAAAACTTATTTCAAAGGGATTCAAATTCTAGTGTATATTTCTTGAAGTCTTAAACTTTTAAGTGTTTTATCAAATAAAAATAAGAAATACTTATCTTTTAATAATATTTTCGCTTTTTAGAAGATTCTAGTTTGCTATTTTATCTCTCTTTCGATTTCCTTTCAATTGAACTACTAGAAAATTCAAAGATATAAATACCATTGTGACACTGTGAATCATTTACATAATAAGTACAGAAATGTTAAGGATTATTGGCAAATAGCTGACAATCTCTTTTTGTATTGCGATTGATAAAGCGATCGCAAATACTGACTAATCCTTATCTGCATGACTATTCCTTTTGTCTCGCTCGCACTTTATTAATTATATCGACGAGCGAGAGAGATGGAGCACCAACTTGACGTTTACTATTTGTGAGAATCTGTAAAGACATTTAATTATATTGATTGTGACTATCATATATCGGATATGTAATATATTCGGCTGATCAAAAGGCAGCCTTAATGCAATGACGGGTAAACACAAAATCGTGTGATGACATACTTAACGCGAGTCATACAAATGTATGCATCTTGAATTATATTGTTTATTAAAGATGCGAAACACGTGTCTTGAAACTTATATCTTGACACAGTATCACGTGAGAAATTAAGGTTGTGTGATATTTGCAATATTAATTTTCAAAGTGATAAAGTTTGGACATCGGCGCTATAGCGTATTCTATTGCGAATACATTGATTTTGAGTGAAATCCACAGCGCATTGCGTTTACACCAGAACGTTGCAATTTCTCGCAACTTTGATTTTCAACCCTAATTGGTTAAGCATAAAGAACATAATAGCTTGAGCTTCTTGCTAAAGAAATGTTAAGATCTTGTTTCAAAGTAAATCATTTTTAACACTGACGACCCAAGTCAAGTATCAAACTTTTTTAATGGAAAATATATTTTATCTCAAATACTTTAAGGTTGAAAGTGAAACTTGCGAGTAACTAGAAACAAGATTTTCGATGCGTTTTTCTGTATTTATTGAAACCGATGAAAGAAAATACGACAGGCAGTCTCAAATTGACCCAATATAGTTGTAATTTACACTGTAAGTGCCACTACTGTTATAGGTAACCCCCCCGTATGTTTATCATTGTATTTCATAGTATTGTCAGTGGAACACTGTCTGTTTGTCTGTGCAGGTTGTATGACGTTAAAATGATAAGTAAAGTGTATATTATAGCTGACTCTGTGATGTTTCATTTCAACCTGAAAACCCTTCAGAGGCTCAACCACCAATTTTGACAGCTCCGTAATTGTATCGCATCGTAACGGACGTAAGAACGTTTGTTCTTAGCTGTTTACATACAAATTTTCTCACTGATGATAGGAGCTGTCGTGAAATTCGTGCTTGGGTCGCTGATAATATCTACTCATAGATCAACGCGTCCAGGAGGGAAGGAGCCATGGAGGTTAGAGAGAAGGAGAACGATCGCTGCAGAAAATAGTGTCCCAGAAATATGGACATAATAAGTGAGGCGCTGCGATCGCTAAGTTGTCTCAATAAAAGCGGGCTGTTGTGCGCTAGTTTGAAATGACCAATGCCGCGAAGAAAATTTGTACAATATTCAACTAACTTCATCTTGTACTCATAAACAGCTAACTTCACATATACTACTTACCGACGGCAGCGCGGCTGGTGGCTGAAAAATGAACTATAAATTCTACAAATTTTCAGGGACAGGCGGGCTAATGCTTTAGTACGTAGCGTAGCGATCGTTCCCCTTATCTCTAACCTCCGTGAGGCCAGATCTAGAAGCGTGCTTGGGTCGCCAATAATATTTACTCGGAGCAACGCAGCCGACGCGACCAGGAAGGGAGTAGCCATAATGACATAATACTACTGAAATCACTCTGCTGCCTTTTGCGGGGGGAGGAATATGCATACAAATGCAGTCTAACATACTTTCGCAAAAACGTAATTGTAATTACGACACATAGAAAATGACAGCGCTAAACCGGGAGTAGATGAAACTTAAGATTTTTTATTGACAGATCTGAAATTTGTACTGGCGAGTCTATTGTTTTGTCAATCCAGTCGGACGATTGAATTTTAACAGAATAATATGAATTTTCTGTTTAAATATGGTTGAATAGAAATAAGTGAAATGTAACACCGCCCTTTTGCAAGTTTAATATACCAGATATGTTTTACAGCAAATTACATAACATTTTGGAATTTTTGATCTCTAAATCTAGTGAAATATCCGACACGCAACTAGTTTTGTTATTGAGCTGGCCCAACAGCGGGGGAAAATCGACAGAGGAGAACACTGTGATTGCCTACTCTCCTAACCGCGTCGGCTGTTGCTCTATGTATATACTTAACGAGCATTGCTTGGCAGTCGGCACTCACACTAATGGACGCATTTACAGTCAGGCCCACAAACAAAGGTCATGCCATTGAAAGAGAGTTAACTGACGCAATATTGCATTGTAAGGAAGTTCAGCTCCTTAGATCAGAAATTGTTTATTATGTTCAGAATGGTTTATTAGTGAAAGCAAATTGTAAAATTACTCGTATCGATCATTATTACAATAAATATGTAATCGTAATAGGGTATTTGTCATTATTAAAAGTAAAGTGCCAATTGTTAGCATCTGTGTTTAGAATGAATATAGGCAGGGGTTTTTACTATTTTTCCAAAAAAATATTCATCATTTTACTAAAACCCTCGAAAGAGATAATAGTTTTCCTATCTATTGTCACGTGACCCAAAACGCTAGGGATTGGCGGAGCCTAAAATGACGTCACACGCAAGTAAACTTCCGGTTAAAGTGACATTACATTGTATCGTTTGACGTTTTAATAACAGTCGTGTGACGTCACCCACTAGTAAGACGGCATATTGTCCAGAGAAACGTTTTCGCGGCAACTTGAAAATGGAGTTTTTGATTTGGTTACTTTTACTGAAATACACAACAGAATGATGAATATCCACTTTTTACGGACTCCATAAACATTAGTCAATAACGTGAGATCGCTGTCTAAAACTTGTCAAATACCCTACTGAAAAAAGTTAAGCAATTGTGCATTCTTATTTTATGCCCGCGCCGTAACAAGGCTACGTTGTTGAATTTTCATAAATTGTCAAATGTTACCTATTAAAATTGCCTGACTTTAGCCAGTTGTCCGCCTTTCTGCTTTTAAATCATCCTATAAACGTTTATGAATACAATAGCCTTTGCCGAGTTTCTTGCCGGATCTTCTCAGTACAAGGTCTCTTGCCGTAGATTAACGAACCGATGGCATAGAGTTAACGTTCACAACAGGTTGTAAAAGCCTAGACTGAATAAATTTTGAGTTTGAGAATAGATGTACATTCCGTGTAAACAACAGCGATGCATAATTACATTAATAGTAAACTTGATCGCCGACTGATTGCCGGACAGAATTCGCTCCACCATGCATCTCTTGTTTACATGGAATGTATATCCATCCATTGCACGTTTCTTGAGCGAGAAAATATCCGATAGCGAGTCGCTTCCCCGCCGGGGCGATTGGAAAACTGCCTTATAACAAGTTTCAATGAATATCGCGTCATCTCCGCAACGTAATCCACATATTCCTTGTGAATTTGCTATGTTAGTGCTAGTCCACATCTGCACATCAGGACGCAATGCCGTCTATGTGCAACGGTGCGGGCACATTGCACGGTGCGTTTACCACGTGCAAACCTGGGAGTCAATCGCCTTACGGGATCGCTATCACTTACAATTTCAGTTTTAGTCAATTTATCATTGGACCATTGTGCTTGTCTTGAAACATTCCCGTTTACTCCAGCCAGCCTAGGTTAGTCCAGAAGGAAAGCAACCTTGACAGACTGCTGCAAGCTTCCGGAAGCGATGCTGTCGACTGGAGAAGTCGTGCCCGTTGGCTCGCTCGCTTACGACGATTTCATGTTATTATTTCTGACCACTGAAGGTTTTCCAATACGTCACAATCACGCTAATTTTCTTTAATATTGTTATTATTGGCAAAAGATATCGATAACCTTTGGTGGTTATAACGAAAATTGTATGCGATAGCAATAGCCATAGCATTTAGGCTATTGGCCCTCAGGTCATAAATTCCAACATTTTGTCAACGAACCGCGTCGCGTTGTCGCACCGTTCTACGTTGACGATGTTGTGACGTGGAGATGTGGACAGACAATTGCTGTTTCTGAAGTTCATTTCCATAGGCTTCGACTCTGCGCCGGTACCAATTAACCATAAAGATTTTTGAAGTGAGACTTCTTTAGGCACGTTTGACTTTATTAGTGTCACTGGTAAACAATGACCAATACTCGTCACAAAATACATGAATCTAGTGCTTGGTGGGTGATAACGGACCCAGCATGGATTCGTGGCTGATAACGGACCCAGAGCAGATTGGTGGGTGATAACGGACCCAGCGCGGATTGGTGGGTGATACCGGACCCAGCACGGATGGTGGGTGATAACGGACCCAGCACGAATGGTGTGTGATAACGGACCCAGTACGGATTGGTGGATGATAACGGACCCAATGCAGATTGGTGGGTGATCACGGACCCAGTGCGGATTGGTGGGTGGTAACGGAACCAGTGCGGGTTAGTGTTTTTTTTTCTTTCAACAAATCTTCAGGTTATGTTTATGATTTTCAGATCATTGGAGCTAAAGAAGTGTCACTTCAGCCGTGTGGTCATAAGCACACTCGGTTTTTTATTAAGAAAGAATTCAACTTTTAGGTTGAATAAAAGTCTAAATAATGTAAAAGAATAAAACAAGTTAATTGTTCGCAAAGTCGTTTATTTTCTACAAATTCAAACCTATTTAGGATAAAATGCAGGACATGTGCATCACTTTTTCAAAATATTTGAAATACTTGTTACATTAAAACATGTTTCTACGCCTTCACACATTTCTTAGTTACTAAAATCAACATCAAATCTGCGAATATTAGAAAATAATTTTAAAATTTTGCGCATAGGTTTGTAGCACTTATGCAGCGTGTATTTAAGGGCTAATTCCGCTTGGGTTTATGAGCGTAATATGGGATTTTTTGACACAAATTTTAACATTCTGCGCATGGGATTGTAGCCTCTACTCACATGCACGTAAGGGCTAATGTAGCTTGGGTGTATAAAGAGATGTGAGGAGGGTTTTTCACAGAATTTTTGACATTTTGCGAATGGGATTGTAGTCCTTATGACGTGTGAATTTAAGGGCTAATGTCGCTTGGGTGTATGAGCTAGGGGCGAGTCCGGGCGTCGTCTTTTTCTTCTCGGCGGCGGCGCTGTCAGACCGGCGTGTGCTTGAGCAGCTAATAACATGCCTAGTTGACACTGAGCCTGGAAAAAAACGAGCGCGCCTTACAGTAGTCGCGTATGATGTGTAACATTTGAAACCTCACCTTATATTAGTAAAAAAAGAAATAAAACCTACTACAAAAGGAATAAGCCATTTGAACATTATGTTCTAAAATCAAATCAAATAGCGCGCGCTTCCCAAACTTCCTGTTACACACTTCCGTCCCACTTCACGTAATCACTCCCACAAATTGCACGAAAGCGAGAGGAAAGATGTTACACATCAAAAATGAGGTGATTTATACTAGATTTTCTTTAAAGTCCACTTGCAGCAATTTTGCTAAACCTCAATTTAACTAAAAGTAGAGAAATGTCAATACGTCTGTCAATTTGACATTATCGTATGGGCTGAATCTAGATTCAGTTAAATTATGACTTGGCAAAATAGCTGCATGTGGACCTTAGACCCGATTCAACTAAAACTCAATATCAATTGGACATCATTCTATGGGTTTTATCTAGTTTTAGTTAAATTGAGATTTAGCAAAATTGCTGCAAGTGGTCCTTAGAATTGCACCAAAGCGGTATTCATCTAAGTAAAAAGTCCTTACTACATTAAAGGTTTATTAATCATCATTTCATCACACATTTTTAGGGTTCCGTACCTCAAAAGGAAAAACTGAACCCTTATAGGATCACTTTGTTGTCCGTCTGTCCGTCTGTCAAGACCCTTTTTCTCAGGAACGCGTGGAGGTATGAAGCTGAAATTTATATCAATTACTCAGGTCTACTGTCCCTTGAAGCTGTGAAAAAATCAATCTTCTAAGCCAACGCAATCAAAAGATACAGCCGTTTATGCCGCAAATTTTCGACACTTGCAAGGGAATCAAAACCTACAGGGTGCTTCCCGTGAACTCAGAATCTTGAAATTTGGTACCAAGCAACGTCTTATAGCATAGATAAAGGAAAAATTACGAAAACCATAAATTTTTAGTTACATCACATAATATATTTTTTTTTAATAATTTTAACCTTACTACCCATTTCCTCATAAACGCGTAGAGGTATTAAATTGAAATTCATACCAAATACTCAGGTCTATAATACCTTTAAGCTGTAACAAAATCAAACTTCTATGTCAACGCAATCAAAAGAAACAGCAATTTAAGCTGCATATTTTGAAACTCGCAAGTACTCGCAAGGGAATCAAAACCTAAAGGGTACTTCCAATCGACCTAGAATCTTGAAATTTGGCATGAAGCAACGTTTTATAGCACACATAAAGAAAAAATTCCGAAAACCTTAAATTTTTAGTTACATTACAAAATATATATTTTTTAATAAATATAAACATTTACAGGTCTGGTTCAAATTTAATACTTAATTAATATTTTTGAACCAGATTTCTAAATAGTGACTAAAAAACTTAGTAAATAAATAACTTTAATAAAAGAACTTTCGCAAGTCTGCTGCAAGGCTAGTATAAGTGTTTCAGTTATATTATAGATAAATGATATGTGTTATTATAAAATAAAGGATTACTTAAACGATAAAGAGATCTTTGTCTTAAATTTATGCTCCTCCATCTTTCCCCATTGTAATGTTATGAATTTCATTTTGCAATAAAAATACCATAGTTATGACTCGATTGTCGTAATGAACGAACTTTGTAAACCTTGCAGGTTTGTACGGAACCCTCGGTGCGCGAGTCCGACTCGCACTTGGCCGGTTTTTTTATTCATGTTTAGCACGTTGCATTATTATTTTTATTGTTATCAAAAAAAAAAACAGATCCTATCAACAGGTATTGGTAGTTCAGTTGAAGGAAGCTTGCCACGGGCGGCCCGGGTTTGAACCCTAGCAGAGAAAAGGACATTTTTAGGGTTCCGTACCGCGATAGGAAAGAACGGAACCTTTATAAGATCACTTTGTTGTCCGTCCGTCTGTCAAGACCGTTTTTCTCAGCAACACGTGGAGGTATCAAACTGAAATTCATATCTAATACTCATGTCTACTGTCCCTTAGAGTTGTGAAAAAAACAAACTTCTAAGCTAAAGCAATCAAAAGATACAGCCGTTTATGCCGCAAATTTTTGAAACTCGGTATAAAAACCTACAGGGTGCTTCCCGTGAACTTAGAATCTTGAAATTTGGTACGAAGTAACGTCTTATAGTACAGATAAAGGAAAAATTGCGAAAAACGTAAATTTTTAGTTGCATCATATTATAATAAAAAATATTTTTGAAAATTTTAAAGTTACTACCTCTTTTCTCATGAACGCGTAGAGGTATTAAATTGAGTTTGTACGGAACCCTCGGTGCGCGAGTCCGACTCGCACTTGGCCGGTTTTTTTTATTAATGATGTTCAACGTTACACTTGTATCGCGATTTCATAAAAGCACACCATCTTTTATTTTATTGCAGTCTTAAAAAAAATCTTACTACCAATATTATTTTGAGTGGACATTATAATATCTGGGGAGAGTTCGATCCACAGAAGTGTAGTTTTGACGAAGAAGGACGAGTGAATAATATCAGAGTGATGAGATGTAACAACACAAAAATGCTTGGGTCTGAACTGTTCCAATCATTCCAACAGGTTTTCTTAATTAAATAAATCATGATTATCAATATAATCTCATAATCTCAATAGATTGTGTTGTAACAACTGTAATTTGTAAATGTTGTTACATTATACTTTTAATGTTGTGGAGCTTTTTTTATTTCTAAAAAATATATCCATAACTAGTGGTAGGGAAAAAAATGTTTGGACGATTCAAGAGTTGTACAAGAGTTGTAGTTGTACTATACATGGAATTTGAATAAAGATATATTGAAACTAAAGAAAAAATAACTAGAAAAAATTCCACGCGGACAAGGCAGCAGACGGGACTCGAACCCGCACCCTTCGCTATCCGGGCAAATGCACTGACCAATTATGCTACCGCGGCCCTGATGGCCGTGTCGAATTCTTTCTAGCCTTTCTAAAGCTGCAAGGCAGCGCCATCTCTTCGCATTGTAGGTAAACCACAATGTCAAATGAATACCTTTACAAGTATTAAACATTTGAAAGAATAAGTATTAATTATAGTTATAATTTTTATTTTTTAAGCATTAAGTGCTTCATTCGACGCGGCCATCAGGGCCGCGGTAGCACAATGGTCAGTGCATTCGCCCGGATATCGAAGGGTGCGGCCGGTTCGAGTCCCGCCTGCTGACTGGTCTGCGTGGAATTTTTTCTAGCAATATTTTCTTTAAATATTATAATGTCAGTGACCACGAACGTTTAAAACATATATGAGGAGTTGGCGAACAAACCGGTATAATTACTTAAAATTAAATTTTATAGGAGCTGTATAAAACTGAATGACATAACTACAGTGAGCCTTTGGCATGGTTTTTAATTAAAAAAAAATAGTAATTTTAACACTGTTTTAAGCGGTTTTGATTGAAAACTATTTGAGATTCAAATTCAACGGACCCGAAACCTCCGGACAGTAAAAAAAAGTAGTTTGACCATATGCGTAATTATACCGTTTTGTTCGCCACCTCAATGAGGGCTATCGTTTTTTGGCTCACCAGATGGCGCCACTGTTGAGTGAGGTCCTGAAGTGTACCTTTTAAAATTAGTAAACACGCTCGTGATATCAAAGTTTACATTTTAATACAAAAGAATCGTATCTTAAACATAATCGCCCATGCCACAGTGTTGCGCAGTCCCGTTTTGTTCGGAAAAAAGAAGGACAATATTTTTTCTTAGCTCCGCTTTTAAATAACTGACAATCATTGACACGTAACTCATATTTGCCATAATAAGTCTGATTTATTACCAAATATTCAGAACTATTATTTTAATTAGAAAAAAACCGCGTAGTCAACCCGCAAGCTATAACATAAGACATTTCGGAGACCTCACGCAACACAAGCGCCTCTAGCGGCGGTTTCAGACGCGATAGCCCTCATTGTACAATTATTTTGCTTTGATTTAGTTTTCATTACCTCTTCATGCATCTCTTTGGCCATTGTGTAGACGCTGTGTTCACTGCTGTTGTACATCAGAGCATTGGACAGCATTAAAAGTACGTCCCTTTGGAATTCAGCTGTAGTCCTATACGACATTGACAAAAACATAAGAAGACATTGGTGTCGATTCTGTCATGATTCTGTAAACTTAAAATAAAAATAAAATATATGTATTTCCAACACTCACACCAATTAGCCCCAAAGCCTTAGATAGCCTAGCCCCAAAGTAAGCACTGTAAGACTTGTGTTATGGGATACTAGGGCAACGGATAAAATACATATAAAGTACATATATAAGTATATTTTTAGGAAATACATGTTAAACATCCATGACTGGAGAACAAATGCTCGTATACATCACACAAACATCTTCCCTCACTGGGATTCGAACCCGACCTTTCGAGTTGGCGACGCCATGAAACCCGGCGTACTAAACACTCTGCCACGAAGGTCGTCGAATAATTAAATTTAACACCAGTCTCTCCTTTTCATTCTGTATAGAGAATGACAGGGATACACTGTTGTCAAATTTAAGGTTAAGTTTTAGACAATCATGTCAGTATCTAAGCTATTGTATTAGTATAAGTTTACAAATAGTTCTGAAAGAAATCAAATCAAATCATCCTTATTGCGCTGTCATAGATTATACACATAAAATGATATTTATTGTCTCAGATTTTTTTTAACTTATTAATTTAACTTACTCAACTGGAAGTGTCCGTCACAATCTAAATACTGATAATTATCGCAAAAAGTAAACTAAGAATTATCATAAATGCCAAATTGGTGTTGATTCTTAGGCCAATTTTAACATTGTCCTATAAGAAGACGCAAATGATTTAATGATAGAATTTAAACACTGTTTATTTGTATTGAAACGAAAACAATAAAATCAGTACCCTTAGTACGAGTGCGAGCTAACGAAAACTATCATAGTTTTCGTAATTGTAAAACTCGTACTAAGAGTACTATACTATTGTCAGGAGGCTAGCTTAGTAGTTTTGTTCAATATTCACCTGATAACTCCGTTCTCTATATTCCTGCGTATCGCACTGAGATCCATGGGCCTCTTGATCACAGTACTATAGCCGGGGGCTTCCTCATCGCTGATGGGACGAAGAAATAGGGAAGCGTATTTGTGCGCGCATAACCTATACGAAAACATTATAAATTATGTGTATTTATTTAATAGGTGTACTTACAGCTAAACATATAAAAATCATTAAAAAATTAAAATAATACTTATTCTAAGACATATAAGCAAGCCTTTACACACACACAACATTCAATTCAGAAAAGTACAATGTAATTAATAATCAATAATAATAAATGGAATTAATAATCAATGATTAATCAATACAAAATAGTGCAATTAATAATCAATGTTTAATTTAAAATTAAAAATCTATGTCAAATTGATGCAAAAAATAATAAATAATGTAATGTCAAATTGATACAAAAAATAATAATAATAACTATAATAATGCGGAATTAATGTGTAAGAGCAATAGGATATTTTCATTTAACTAGGAAAAAAATCTATAAATGTAATTATTGCACACAACAAAGGGCACAAGGCATAAACTAATAAAATGAAGAAGAGTATACAAAAGGTGACCTTATTGCTAAACATCAATCTCTTCCAGGCAACCTAATTGACCGAATTGACGTATGGAAAGCTCTTATATCGTACAAGATTTTTTTCCTACCCATTCATAATTCATATTGTTATTAAAAGAAATTATAATTTATTCATAGTGACTATTAAATAGACCAATATTTCTATATTTTTTTTCCTACCACTAAAATTTAAGCTGATAAGAACAATAGGCCTAAGAAACTCATTAGCATTTAATAGAAGAAGCAGGATTAATTCTTTTCAGTAGGCTTTAAATTGAGAGAAAGGAATAAGCTAAAACCCGTAAAAGATACGCACATATGGGCGCGTGCAGTAAAAAAAATTACCGCACGCGCCCATACATGGCGCCGATCAGGCAATTTTTTTACCGCACGTTCCCTTGTCCGTAATTTGTAACTTTCGAACAATGTATAAATACAACTTGCGTAAATGCATTTTTGAGCGAATGTATTGAAAAGATCCCTTACCTACTGTAGACGAGCATGACGGATTTCTTCCACAGTCTGTGCTCTCTCTCCGCGTCGGTTCCGCTCGGAGATTCTGGGGCACTGGCTTCGGCCGCACTTTCCGAACCTGACCACGCTGAAAGGGAAATAGGACAAATCAATATTAAATAAATAAAAAATTCCAACAGTCACACCAATTAGCCTAGCCCCAAAGTAAGCACTGTAAGGCTTGTGTTATGGGATGCTAGGTTAACGGATAGAAAACATATACTGTACATATATAAGTATATTTATATAGAAATACATATTAAACATCCATGAGTGGAGTACAAATGTTCGTATTCATCACACAAACATCTGCCCCCACCGGGATTCGAACCCAGGACCTCTCGAGTCGGCGACACCATGAAATCCGGCGTATAAATCACTCGGCCACGGAGGTCGCCAAAATATTGATACTGAAATTCATTAATATGTATAGAGAAACTAGCTCAGCCAGCGAACTTCGTATCGCCATAAAAATATCTATGGGTGGTAGAACGGTGACAATTTAGGGTTGTACGTATTTTTGTATGATAATGATACATCATACAAAATACACACAACCCTAAATTTTAAGAAATTAATTAAAAAAAAACCATAAAAAATATTAATGGCCTAACCACCCTTTACTTTAGGGGGATGAAAAACAGATGTCCGATTCTCAGACCTACTGAATATGCAAATAAAATTTCACGAAAATCAGTCGAGCCGTTTCGGAGGAGTTCAATTACGCACACCGTGACACGAGAATTTTATATATTAGAAATATATATCCAAGAAATATTCAAATTAATTCAAGATACTCTCTAGTATACGTGTCACTTACTTCTAGAATTAGACTTCTTCTTTCTGGAGTAATCTCTCCTCTTCTTGCCGTCTTTCTCTTCTTCTCTGCTCAACTGAAAATAAGATAAAAAGTTGCATACGGAATCGTAAAAACAACAAAATATTAAGACAAATTAAATGCCAAAATCTTAACGAAACTTAAAGAGACCGAATGAGTTAAAAATAGGTGATCACAATGTTATAGGTATACGACTTAAACAGATTTTTTGAGCCGCGTAGACTTGTGTAAAATTTAAGATAAAATACCTCCATGGGCGTGTCATCGTCAGTCTCAGTGTGTGAATCTTCTTCCCGTGATTTTGGCATATCTTGGGGTGGAGCAGTTTCTTTAGCCATATCTTTCAATGGTATGGAGTCCTAAAACAAATATATATATATATATATGTGTGTGTGTACAATATTTAGATGTATTAGCGTGAGTTAGTTAGAAATAAAGGTTCACTGCTCGTTCCCCGTAGGTGATAGCGTGATAATATATAGCCTATATGTTGACCCGACTTTTTAATAATATTCGTGACAAATTTGAAGTAAATCCATGCAGTACTTTTTGAGTCTATCCCGGACATACATACAGAGAAACAGACAAGAATTCTAAAAACTATATTTTTGGCTTCGGTATCGATTGCAGATCACACCACAAGTAATCTTTAAAAAAAATTCAATGTACAGTTTTGATTTTCCTACCATTTTATTATAATGTATAGATGTACATATAAATATTTCATTTACTAGCTATAAGAGAAAGAGAGAAAGAAAATGTACAACACTGCTCTCTCTTGCTTATATCCCCCACTCAACTCCCGTTCGCCTCGCCTGATCACACTTTTCGTAACGAGTAACGCGTTCGCTAGTTTACTCCCCAAGTCGAGCGTGCGTAAAGAAGTTTGCTTATATCCCTCACTCAACACCCGTTCGCCTCGCCCGATCACAGTTTTCGTAACGCGTTCGCCAGTTTACTCCCCAAGTCAAGCGAGCGTAAAGAAGTTTCACTTCAAAAATATATAAGACTAGATGACCCCATGTACTTAGTATCATCATATATCGTTAAGGCATTAAAACTCTCCTTACGCTAAAATGGCAGATTTTTTTTATTCGCAGTTTGTCAAAAATATATGTTTTATATTTTATTATTGTTTCATGGATTTTATTGTAATAACAAATCGTGATTTAATTGCATAATATGAATTATTATTGCCTGAAATAAAGCAAGATATTCTGCTCTTTCACACATTATTCCTGACTTAAATACTAATATATATATTAAATATTCCTATTTAATTATATTTCTAAGATATTCATTATGAATTGAGCTAAGCAGAATATTATATTGTTTGGAATAAAGAAAATAAATGTAATGTTGGTTACTTTACCTCTGCATCTTCTTCCTTCTTAACTTCTACTGTGACGTTCTGTTCTGTGCTCGGTTCTTCTGCGGGCGGTTGCTTCTCTTCTTCTTTTGCTTCGCTCTTCGATTCTTCTTCTTCTACAACTACTTCTTGGGTTGTAGGAAGTTCTAGAAATAATGTATTTTTATTATATTTTAGGTACAATTTAGCCAAAGACAGGGTTTGGCAAATGCTGCGTTTCCATTCATCTCTCACTCGCACAATATTTGTATATTTAGCACTATGATTATGATATATTTTATGAAACAAATAAATTTATATAAATGCTATAGTTTCCTAATGATAAATTCATATTTATTTTATTTTATTATAATTATGTTATTTAGTGTCATAATTTAACTAATACTATGATAGACTGAATTTCGAGTCTGAAATAAATTATTATTATTAAATCAGTCAAACTTTATCTTAACTTTATATCAATGTAATTAGAGGATTGACTGATTAAATATTTTAAGAAATACATGTTTCGTGAAGATTTGAATACTTTTTTTGGTGCTTAAGCAACTCAGCTTTTTGAAGATTTTTATTGTTCACAATGCTAAAGCGACATAAATATTTGTGTTTTTTGAAGCGCTTACTATTTTGTATATAATGCGATTCAAATAAGAATAGGCAAGCCAATGACCTCCATCTGTCAAATGTCGCTTGATAAATACGGTTTGCAAAAAAATCTCGGAACACTTTTTTAGCACTCTGTTGATTCTAGAATAAAAACCAAACATTTTTAAACAAACAATAACAAATGTAGATAATTAATATTAGTTGTTTTTTTCATTTATTGAGCTTTGGCTATGAATGGTTGATAACCTAAATCGTCAACCAAATGTCACTTTATGCTGCGTTCAAAAACTCGATTCAAAACTTTCGTTTACATATAGGATGCATGTTCGTATGTGACCTGCATGATTATTCATAACTTCTCCGGCGGTAAATCAGAGATAAGCGAAATTGAGGAGCTAGATTGTGATTAATGTTTTTTTTCACACAGTCTTAATAAAGAAATAGTATTAAAAATCGGTTATGTTCTTTCTTACCCTTAGTAAATTAATTTTATTATAAAATCTGATGTTTTGTCTCACTTAATCTTAGTAAATAAGTTTTATTGAGTAGCAACATTTTTTTGCTCACTCTACCCATTTGGTTTGAATTGACAACTATGACGTCAAAATATGGCGCCCAGTCGGTCCTATTCTTAGTTGAATCGCATTATATGTTTTGATATTTGGTAAACAAATAATGTATGGCGTGCCGAGTAATTTTCGCTTAAGCGACATCTAATTCGTAAAACAAAGGCACTATGTAACTTTTTAATAGGAGCGTTTAGAAAATATTATTACAAATATGAATATATTTTTTATTTTTATGGCACTACTTCTCATTTACAATGAGATATGATTTTTTTTGTGAAAAAGAAAAACATACCTTCAACGGATTCCTCGGCTGCGACTTCCGTTTCCGTAGTTTCTGGTGGTAGGGGGATCTCTTCCGGTGGGACGGATGGAGTCTCTTCCACTTCCACTTCCGCCGGCGTCTCTTCTTCCACAACTTTGGTAGTCTCTTCCACAACTTCTTCCGTGGTCTGCACTATGCTAAAAGGTAGAGGGGAATTGGATAACCACTTTTTAAATTTACACTAATCACACTAATAATATAAAGGCGAAAGTTTGTGAGTGTGCATGTTTGTTATTTCTTCACGTCGAAACGGCTGGAGCGATTTTAATAAAATTTGGTATGGAGTTAGCTGACATCCTGGATTAACACATAGGCTACGTTTAGCTGCGGGAAAATATCCCTAATAAAGCACGGGTAACACCGCGGGGCACAGCTAGTATTACTATAAATCAGAAAAAAATGTTCGTCTCTCACGCTCAAGTCGCTGAACTGATTTCGTTGAATTTTGACACTTGGACATAAAGGGCTCTTCTGAGATATTGTTTCGAAATTGCTTATTGCTTTATTGCGAAAATAGAACTTGAAAGTGGTCAACAAGGGTTCATCATCAACATCAACAGCCTATCTTAGTCCACTGCTGGACATAGGCCTCTCCAAATGCACGCCACTCAGATCGATCTTGGGCTACTCGCATCCAGCTCCAATCAACAAGGGTTAAAAGTGTGTTTTGAAAAACGGAGTTGTAGTAGCCCAAGATCGATCTAAATGGCGTGCAATTGGAGGCCTATGTCCAGCAGTGGACTAGGATAGGCTGTTGATGATGATGATAACCCAATAGTAACTTATTACGGTCTTATTTAAGAAAAACGTTCTTACGATCACAGAACCAGCAAGGCCGTTACTAAGATAAATTACATAGAAGCCTTAAATTGTTAAATAGCTTTGTACTACTTGATTGCTAGAGAATACCATTTCGGGCATTTAGTCTAGTCCGCCATTGATTTTTTTTATACCCAGGTAGGCAAATGCCTTTACCCCACCTGATGTTAAGTGGTAATAAAGTCCAAACGCGAAGATAGCTGGTACAGCAGTTATAAACTGCCACACCAACTATCCTCACCTTGCCGGCCTGCAGAAATGATTCTTCACGCCTCTCTTAAAGGACCCCAGATTGTAGGAAGGAAGGAACATGTGCGCGGGCAAAGAATGCCACTTACGAATAGCAAAACAGAAAAACAAACACAACAAAAAACGGCAAAGAAATGTGTCACCAAATTTCTTTGTTCGTGTAGGAATAGTGGCCACAGTAGTGGTAGCAACGTAGTTATAAGGCCGTTTCTAATTATTTGAATAAACGACTTTTTTATGAATGATATTAAATTCACCCACCAATCCGCACTGGGCCCGCGTGGTGGGTCGTGGTCCAATCTCCCTATACCATACATAGGGAAGGCCCGTGCCCCAGTAGTGGGGACATTAATAGGCTGATGATGATGAATAAAAGGGAATAGGTATGAGTAACGCTTTTTCTTCGTCTATAAGGCAGAATATAGAATTATAAAGTATTGGACACGTATTTTTTCTCTTTTCTCATAATCAGAACAATACAGAGATATATTGATGTGAAATGACGCATGACGCTACGTCATGGTGCAATTTATACCAATGAATGAACTACAGTTTTTGTTCTCAGGCTTGTATTATACACAATGACATTCATCTATGATTCTTTTTATACCTGCATGCAAAGTCTCAGCCCGATCGGTTTAAAATTGACAAAGTTTCATACAAACTTTCATTCCCTACTTTAACCCCTTGGGGGTAGAATTGATCAAAATCCTTTCTTAGCGGATGCCTGCGTCATAACATCAGCCTGCATGCCAAATTTCAGCCCGATTCGTCCAGTGGTTAGGGCTGAGCGTTGATAGATCACTATGTCAATAAGTCACCTTTGAGTTATGTATATATAGATAGCACGTTTTTATCACGCTCAATTGTCAAATTACTATGGAGTTTGACAGTTAGACTCGATAAAAAACGTGCTATAAATGTAAATTGTTGTGCTCATCCTACGGGGATTACAATATAAACTACTCGGTCCTTGTGTAACTTCATACTCACCACTATGGATGCTTATAAAATTAAAACAGGATATTAGTGAGCCCGAGAAATGTTGTCTTGCCCTATAAAAACATGATAAAATACGAGCGAGCCTTACAGTAGTCTCGTATGATATGTAACATTTGAAACCTCACCTTATATTAGTAGAATAAATAAGGGGCCGTTCATAAAATACGTCACGCTAAAATCAGCTTTTTCCGACCCCCTCCCCCCCTATTGTCACGCTGTGTCACACTTTCTGTGACCCCTCTTGAAATATTCCGTCACAAAAACGGAGACACCCCCCCCCCCCCCCCCCAGTATGATTAATTTCAATTGATAGTACACAAATTTTAAGAATTTAAATATTTATTTAGTTTTTATAATAAAATTTAAATATATAAATAAATATCTTTTCATAACAAATAAATAAATCATCATATTTCTATTAATCAGAAGTCCAAGGATTCTTTAAATGCGCTGAAATATCTGTAATCGGTATTGCAACATCTTCTTCTTCATTTTCAAAACTACCGTCCACTTCATCGTCATCTATCCATTCTGCATTTTCTGTACCAGCTTTTTCATCTCCTAATATGCATAACAGCTCTCGAGCTCGTCGAGCTGCGATGTGAGTTGGTTCTATACGTCGAACTACTTCATCTTTTCTTTTCCGTTTTGGATGTAATTTTTTTAAATGCTGTAGTCAGATTTTATTAGACGTGTGATATATGCCACATTATTTGCATGTCCTACTTGCCAATGAATGTCTATATGTTTACTAAATACGAAATAAATGCCGTAGACCCCTCGTCCCCCCTTGTCACACTTAGCAAGACCCCCCCCCCCTGTATGCGAACGTATTTTATGAATGGCCCCTAAAAAAAGACTACTACAAAAGGAATAAGCCTATTGAACATTGTTCTAAAATCAAATCAAATTGCACGCGCTTCCCAAACTTCCTGCTACACACTTCCGTCCCACTTCACATAATCACTCCCGCAAATTGCACGAAAGCGAGAGGAAAGATGTTACACATCAAAAACACATTTCGATTTTCAAAAACTCACCACTGTTCTTCCACTCCTGTCTCTGGCGGAGCTTCCTCGACGGGCGGTTCTTCCGGGACTACTTCCTGTTCCGGTACCACCACTTCCGGTTCTTTGACTTCCTCTTTTATCTGTTGTACAACAAACAACTAGACATCATATTTAGTTCTTATGTTTTTAAGTCTTAACAATCTATGAATAAATAGTCAACTTTATATTGTTTTAAACTTTCATGGTCACTAACATTATAGTAATATAAGTTATTTACGGGATTGTTACCATGTACCTTGTTTTTAGCGAGTTTCCGATATTTGTTGCAAGCGCCAGGTGTAACTGAAGTAATTGCGGGTAGACTTTTATTGGCAGACGTATCGGTCTACCCTCCGACAAAGTCTTTTTCGTCACACATTCTCACTATTCACTCGAAACTGTTCTCGACACACAACACTTACAGTATTGGATCGCGACACGACAATTTTCTGATTATTTCCGGTTTTACACATACGAACCACAGGATTCCAGACACTCGACAATTTAAACCAGTCCTCACGATTGTTATGTTTTGTTATTTCAATCGCTTCCCTGACCAATCTTGGTATGTAGTGGCGTTCTTTAGAGATAATCTGTGGGTTATGAAACTCAATCCAGTGGTTAGGACCAGATACAATCAAAGATTCCGCGATGGCTGATTTCTGCGTATCGTTGTTCTTGATTGCTTTTATGTGTTCCCTCATTCGACATGCTACTGCTCGCTTTGTTTGGCCAATGTACGAACTGCCACAGCTGCAATCGATCTTATAGACACCAGGTTTCTCCAAGGGGAAGTTGTCTTTAGAACACCTTAGGTATTGTGAAACCTTTCGTATTTCGGAAACTCGCTAAAAACAAAATACATGGTAACAATCCCGTAAATAACTTATATTACTATAATAGTCAACTTGAAGTGTATAAAGTGGTAAATGAGTGGCTCTCATACACACATAAACCTTAACATGTGTTCGTGTATGGTTTATGAAATATGTATGTGTATGGTTGTATTTGTATAATAAAATTAATAAATAAATACTAAAGCTGAAAACTTTGTTTGATTGTTTGAACGCGCTAATCACAAGAACTACTGGTCAAATTAAAAACACGCTTGACTTGGGGAATAAGCTGGCGAATGCGTTACGAAAAGTGCGATCCGGCGAGGCGAACGGGAGTTGAGTAGGGGATATAAGTAAGAGAAAGCAGTGCGCGCGCACATTTTCTTTCTCTTATAGCTAGTAAATGAAATTGTATATTGTACACACATCTTCTCATATATAAAATTCTCGTGTCACGGTGTGCGTAATTGAACTCCTCCGAAACAGCTCGACCGATTTTCGTGAAATTTTATATGCATATTCAGTAGGCCTGAGAATCGGACAACATCTATTTTCCATCCCCCTAAATGTTAAGGGTGGGCACAATTTTTTTTTTTTATGATACATCATATAAAAATACATAGAACCCTATAGTTTCACCCATCTACAACCCATATTTTTATAGCGATACGAAGTTCGCGGGCTCAGCTAGTAGTATATATCTAATATATAAAATTCTCGTGTCGCGGTGTTTGTGGTTAAACTCCTCCGAAACGGCTTTCCCGATTCTCATGAAATTTTGTGTGCGTATTGGGTAGGTCTGAGAATCGGACAACATCTATTTTTCATCCCCCTAAATGTTAAGGGAAATCCACCCCTAAATTTTTTTTTCAATTGTAGATAATTTTTTTTTTATTTTTTTTATGATACATCATACAAAAATACATACATCCCTAATTTTGAAACTTTCTACCACCAACCCCTATTTTTTTATGGCGGTACAAAGTTCGCTGGGTCAGCTAGTATATATATATATATGTATATATACATACAGATGGAGCTAAAGAAGATTCATTTCAGTGGTGTGGTCATAATTTGTGTTGGATAGTGAATTTATGGAGGACTACTACCGGCTATATAACATCACGCTACGACCAATAGAAGCGGAGCATCGATGTAAAAGTTGCGAAAACGGGAAACAAAAATCCCATTTGAGAGCTTCGTTGCGTAAACGGTTAGAGCGACACAAAAACCATGTATGACGGTATGTTCACCTATAAAAAAACCAGTGTTATTATAACACACGATATGAAAACTAAATTGAAACTTCTTTAGCTCCATCTGTATGTATATGTATATATATGTGTGTACAATATATACATATTTCATTTATTAGCTATTAGAGCAATGGTTCCCAACCAGTGGTCCGCAGAAGCCAAAATATGGTCCGCGAATGAATTTGAATTTAGCGGGCGCGCCCACTATAAATGTTATTATTTCTTTTTATTTAATTTCATATTAGATTTTTAATTAAAGTTTCAGTTTTTATTAAACTAAAATTTAGTTATTTAGTGACTAAATAGTGGTCCGTGCCAAAAAAAATAATGTAAAAGTGGTCCCTGCTGCACAATAAACCGTTGGGAACCCCTGTATTAGAGAGAAAGATAGAAAGAAAATGTATAACTTTTTCCTTCAAATTCACGCGGGCGAAACCGCAGGGAACCTCTAGTCATTTAACAATATTACTTTATGCGACTCTCATATAAGTAGGGGTATTAAAACAAGACTCCGTTTAGTACCTAAACTATATGCAATTGCATACACTACTTTATCTTTACCATGGTAATATTATATATAAAGTATTGTGACTCGGCCCTGTCCTTGAAATAACTGCCTACGGCCGAGCGGGGCGTAGACAAGCGGTAGGGCTGCCCGCCTACAGTATTTTAATTTCATCTAGGTACTTTATGGAGTTCTTTCTAGTTTTGTGATTGTAAATATTCTATTTAATATGTAAAAAAAGATGTTGTGAATGAATTAGGAAGTGTTGAATTAAAAATATGTTATTTTTGGGCAATATTTAATAAAAAATAACATATAGATTTGAGACAGAAAAATATTTACGCCTCGACTGAGACGTACGAAAAGCTTTATTATTAAATTTAATAGTATAATTAATACGCATTCGAATAAAAAGTTTAATTAAAAATACTTTAGGGAAACATTGGCAAGGAGCAGAAAAGGGAATATCTTTAACTTGGTTATATATACCTGCAGCTACCGACCGTTTGTATGAAGATAGAATACTATATAGATAATATTACCGTGTCTTTGCTCATATGAACAATTGAAATCAAACAAAGTAACAAAGAAGCATATTGCATAATCTTTTCTGCAATCCCAAAAAAAAACACGATCGTAAGAAAATTGAATGGGAAGTTAATTTCAAATTTCGAATGCGTGCGCCTCCTTTTTACATTCAGCCTAATAATAGCCTAATTTCATAAATTAAAAAATAAAAGTGTACCATTTCTTTTTTTAATTCCTGTTTTACGGCCGTAGTGTTCACCATTTTGGCCTGTCATTAGCATCTCTAATTTCCATTCATTGATATATCTTGAAAGGTGTTAATTACAAAGTCTTATAAAATAGGGTATGTATTTGTGTTTAGAAAATATTACTAGAAAAATTCCACGCGGACCACACAGTAGACTGGACTCGAACCCGCACCCTTCGCGATCCGGGCGAATGCACTGACCAATTATGCTACCCCGGCCCTGATGGCCGTGTCGAATTCTTTCTAGCCTTTCTGAAGCTGCAAGGCAGGGTCGTGGTAGCATAATGGTCGGTGCATTCGTCCGGATAGCGAAGGGTGCGGGTTCACATCCCGACTGCTGCCTGTGCACATGGATTTTTTTCTAGTAATATTTTCATTAGATTTAAACATCGAGTAGTTAAATGCTTAAAAAAATATAATTATGTTACTAATAAATATCACAATTATGCGTACCTTCTGCTCGTCGGGCTGGATAACTTTGATTTCCGGCGTAGGGAACTTCACTTCAGGGAAGGAGATCTTCACTTCCGGTGCCGGTTGTTCAACTTGCGGCACTTCCGCTTCAACCACAGTCGCTTCTGGCACCTAATGAAAACATTAATGAATTAATCCTAATTCCTATCATATAATGTTAGTTACTAAATCACTCAGAATCAAGAATACTTTTGCCTAATATTCGGCTATTCGGTCAGGGGCCTCGCCGAATATTCGGTATTCGGTATACTGCCGAATATACTAATCGTCGCAAGTCTAGTTATTATGTTTAATTTTTAAGCATTTATTTGCTGAATAGTTGTTTAAATCTAAAGAAAATTTTGTTTGATGAAAATGACATGTTTTTTTTTTGTATACTTAAAATCATTTTCTTGCGAAATTATATATTTGATATCCTCCTCAAGATAGAAATGTACAAAGAACGTATTTTTTACTTTTGTTGGATTTTAAATATAAATGTCATAAGATGACGAAATTAACGAATAAAAATACTTGAAGTGAAAACTTCTTTAGCTTCAAAAATATGACAATAAAGTAAAAAATGTAAAAAACTGATTTAACAAAGTTTAGGAATGTTTAAGAATGCCGTGTCCTACTGTTTAGGCACATAAGATAAGCTGTTTCTTTTTTTCCAACACACACCAATTAGCCTAGCCCCTAACCAAAGTAAGGCTTGTGTTATGGGATACTAGGGTAACGGATAGAATAACAGTACATATATAAGTATATTTATATAGCAAATACATATTAAACATCCATGACTGGAGTACAAATGCTCGTATTCATCACACAAACATCTGCCCCCACCGGGATTTGAACCCAGGACCTCTCGAGTCGGCGACACCATGTAACCCGGCGTACAAACCACTCGGCCACGGAGGTCGTCTAACTGATGTGACGTGTTAATATAATGCCACTCACCGTTTCACTCACTGTTTGTATAGTTTCTTCCGATATATCGTCCACTGACATTGGTTCTTCCTAAAAATTAACAGACCATAGTTACATGGGGGTCTAAATGGCGAGATTGTATGGCGTATTATGAGATTCATATAAGAATAGGACTGCCAAAGACCTCCATCTGTCAAATGTCGCTTGAAAAATACAGTTTGCAAAAATATCTTGGGACATTTTTTTTAGCACTGAGGTAATATAAGAATAAATACCAAACATTTGTATACAAAAGGAGGAAATAAATAGAAAATAAATATATAATAAAAAAAAATATTAATATTAATTATTAATACAGGTAAAAAGACCGTTCTTATTATAAATAAAATTGTAGTTTTAAAACCCACAATAATCGACATTTTATTATATAGCCGAAAGCAGCAGTGATGATGATAACGATTGTTTTTTCACACTCAGTCTTAATAAATAAATATTATTAAAAAATATTATTTCTCACTTAATCATGTTAAATAAGTTTTACTAAAGAAAAACTTCTTTGCTCACTCTACCTAACTGGTTTGAATTGACAGCTATTACGTCACAATATGGCGCCCAGTCGGTCATATTCTTAAATGAATCGCATTGTCCATAATATATATCTGTGACTGTTTTTTTCAATTTTAAATGAGATAATTAAAAAAATAAGCCTAGTGCGAGTCGGTCTCGCGCACCGAGGGTTCCGTGCAAACCTGAATTTACAAAAATATTTTTTATTATATGATGTAACTAAAAATTTACGGTTTTCGCCGTTTTTCCTTTATCTGTACTATAAGGCGTAACTTCGTAACTAATTTCAAGATTCTAAGTTCACGGGAAGTACCATGGAGGTTTTGATTCCCATGCGAGTTTATTTTTTTCACAGCTCCAAGGGACAGTAGACCTGAGTATTAGATATGAATTTTAGTTTGATACCTCCACGCGTTCCTGAGAAAAACGATCTTGACAGACGGACGGACGGACAAATCCTATGGCTATCGCTTAGGATTTCATTTTGTTATATCTGACCGCCGAAGGATTGTGTTAGTATCTCTTATCTATTAGACAAGTCCGTCCGTCTGTCTGTCTGTGGTGCTGTTTCAGCGGCCAAACCGTAAGAGATAGATAAAGAGAATATTTAAGTTATAAGTTAAGAATAGTCTGATAAGACTACAAACCGGATTTGAGTAACGTAGCACTTCCGGTTTTCGAGAAATCACGAATTTTAAACGAAACCACACAAAATCTCCGAAGTTCTCAATTAATTAAATACATTTTTTTTTTAAATCAGGTTTTGGTGAACATTTGGTTCACTGGTTTGCTAGTTACTTAAGCTTAGGCTAATGACGACGATTTGATATTACCTTCACCGTTTCTTCTGTTGGAGCTGGCGTCTCTTCCACTATAGCCGGTAGTTCTGAATCGTCTTTCTTGAACGACTGCTTATCTACGCCCCTAAAATTATATGTAAAAATTAGTTTTTAATTACATGCAAATAATTAATTACAATAAAATAATATAAGATTTGGAAAAGGATAGTCAACACAGTCAATAAAGTTCAGTTTTAATTTGAAAAATTAAATAAATAATCAAAATATTCAATTTAAATCACTACTGAATATAATTTATTAGCACATATATAGTTCGCACTTGTATGAAACTAAAACACGTGTTGTGAATACAGAAACTAGAAACATGTGGATAAATAAATATGAAAACAGTGATCAGAGGCGACGAGCGTGCCAACATGCGCGAATATTAAAGATTCTATTTCTATTTTGTTGGTTACAGTGACGCGCTTGGCTTTTTTTCGAGACTTAATGTGCGGTTTAGCGGCCAACTTCATGGTGTTACTTTTCTGTTACAGTGATGCGCGCGCATCTTACAATTTCACTCTCATCGTGTTTTCATAACTCGAAGTATAACTTCAACAACTGTCCGAACTAATCTATACAAATATTAAATTGAGAAAGTGTGTCTGTCTGGAACCTCTTCCGCTTAAGCCGCAGAATCGTTTTATATGTCAAGAAGTGCTTGAACACCACTCAAGCACTTCTTGGTTACAGTTACGCGCGGACCGTTAAAAAGTCAAGATGCCGCAGAGCTCCGGAAGAAATGCGAAAAAAAGTTTTTGTGACGATTCAAAAGACTTGTACTATTTATACATCCAATTTGAATAAAGATATGTAGTTTTGACTTTCCTACCATTTTATTATATGTATAGATATGTGTGATATGATATGTATTTTATCCGTTACCCTAGTATCCCATAACACAAGCCTACAGTGCTTGGCTAGGCTATGTCGGATTTAAAAAAAATGTTGTTACTGTAAAAAAAAGCCAATAAATGCTTTTTTTTTCTCTTTACTCACCTATTGGTAGGTTTGTGCATAGTGGTGACCGGTGGTATATGTATGTCTATGTCTCTGAAGGCATAGACATCCTCCGCTTTAATCTCTATATCGTCTATGTCAACCGCCGGGGCCGGGGCGGGGGGTAAAGGTACCGACGGTACGGGGGATGAACTAGTACTGGCTAGGGGATGAAAAATACAATATCGTTAATACTGATACAATACAAGCACCATAGAGCAACGCAGCCGACGCGGCCAGGTGGTCCATCGCCTAACGGGATTGCTATGGCTATCGCTTACAATTTCATTTTGTTATTTCTGACTACCAAAGGTTTTCAAATACCTCACGTTAATTTTTTTTAATATTGTCATTACCAATGCAGCAAATAAAGAAAAAAAAACGAGCGCGAGGCATTTGAAAATCTTCGGCGGTCAGAAATAACGAAATGATATCGTAAGCGATAGCGATAGCCATAGTATTACCCTTAGGCGATTGGCCCCCTGGAAGGGAATCGGCACTCACAGCCTTCCCCTCTGTCGATTTTCCCCCGCTGTTGGGCCAGTTCAGAAACAAAACTAACTTGTCCTGGGATATTTCACTAGACTGAGGCCCGTATTATAGAAAGATTCTCAGTAATTGATCTAGTCTTGAGCATAGTTAGAAAGGGATGTCGCTATATAGAGCACATAGCGACATCCCTTTCTAACTGTACTCAAGTAAAGATCAACACTTAGTTGTCATTCTGTAATACGGGCCTGAGTCAAGTCGCGCGCATGTATGTTACAGATCCAAAATTCCATGTTGTAAAACATATTTGGACTATTGTTTGTTTCGATCGATATTATTTAGTTCTAGAAAGGACATAGCGTAGTTTATATCCCAAAAATCATGTTTGAAGGGGTGGAATAATTTGGTATAGATATAGTTTGTCCCAGGTAAAGTCATAAGGTAGATTTTATCTTAAAAAACATGTTTGAAAGGGAGGAATAATTTAGTAAAAAGATAATTTGAGTCTCAGGAAAGGTTAGATTTTATCCCAAAAATCATCTAAAATGGGTGAGAAGATTTAATATAAAGATAGTTTATGTCCCAGGTAAGGAGATAGGGTAGCTTTTATCCCAAAAATCATCTTTACCGGGCTTAAAAAATTTGGTATACAGATAATTTGAGTCCCAGGAAAGGACATAGGGTAGATTTTATCCCAAAAATCATCTAAAAGGGGTGAGAAGATTTAGTATAGAGATATTTTATGTCCCAGGTAAGGAGATAGGGTAGATTTTATCCCGGAAATCGTCTTTAAAGGGGTAAAAAGATTTAGTATACAGATAGTTTATGTCAGGAAAGGACATAGGCGAGTGTTTAACCCAAAAACCGTTTTTAAAGGGGTGAAAAATTTGGTATAGGAACAATTTGAGTCCCAGGTACAAGGACATAGGGTAGTTTCTACCCCAAAAATCATCTTTAAAGGGTGAAAAGAGGGTTGCAAATTTGGGAGCACTAGTAAATAATACATAGTAAGTTATATAAAACAACTAGTGAACTGAAGTGTAGACTACACAGTTTTCGTTCTCAGGCTTGTATTATACACAATGACATTCATCTATGATTCTTCTTATACCTGCATGCAAAGTCTCAGCCCGATCGGTTTAAAATTGACAAAGTTTCATTCCCTATTTTATCCCCTTGGGGGTAAAATTAATCAAAATCCTTTCTTAGCGGATGCCTACGTCATAACATCTACCTGCATGCCAAATTTCAGCCCGATCTGTACAGTGGTTTGGGCTGTGCGTTAATAGATCACTATGTCAGTTAGTCACCTTTGAGTTTTATATATATAGATTTAAAGTAAATATATTGAAACTCACCGATTAGCTGTTGTTCTATTTGCACCAATTGGCTCTTGATATGCTCTATGGCAGCGTGTCTGCTCTCGTGCTGAGCCGTTCCGGATGATGCTGACTTTTCCAATAGCATAGACAACGTTGGAGCCGTGGCGGACGGTGAAACTGTCTCTGAATTACACATAAATAAATAAAAGAATTTAAACATTTATTTTTTTACCTGAGTCATCTATGTTGGGCCAAACGTCTAGGGCTGAAAAAAATTTTCAACAAACGGCCAGGACTTTTGGCCGCGGCCAAATCGTTAGTCTTTTGAATAGAAGCTACAAGATGGTTCATGTAACGTTTCTAAGAACTGAAAAAATATGGATCTGCTACAGTTTGCATGGTAAGGCGGCGTCCTAATTGACAACGATCGTGCGATAGCGCGATGCGATCTCATCGTGCGATGAAAATAATGTACCAGTGTTCGTGCGACGGCTTACGAGCTGTATTAGGACACCTCTGAAGAATTCTGTATGTTTGAAAATCATCGCACGACAAGAACGCATCGTGTCATCGTATGATCGTCGCTAATTAGAACGACGCCTAAGAGAGAGAGAGAGACTTCATTGAGAAGGGATGTTACATATACCCTCCAGTAGCTCCTATTCAAGATACTAATGATTTGGACACGACCAAAAGTCATGCCCGTTTGTTGAAAAAATATTTTTGTACCCTAGACGTTCAGTCATGCGTAGCCAGGCTCAGGTATGATTGATTGATGAGGAGTACTTAACTAGGTGCAAGGCTGCCCCCCCTCCCCATATATTATTATGGCGTGTTCGAGTACATCGAAAAATCTGGGGTCCCCTTATATACTACAATAATATACAACCGTGAACCTTGCCTAAAGGGACTCCTTTTAATAATGTATTTTAGTTATTATACATATTTTTTTAACGTTTTTAATTATAAGTATCTTACTATTTGTTCTTTAGTTAAATGTACATATCAAATCAGTTTATGTATTTAAAAAATTATATACAAAAATGTCTTTTTTTTAATCTCATACTTACCGACTACATTCGCCGGGTGTGATATGTGTTGCGGTGTTGTCACTACTGGCGAAGATTTCAGTAACGACGTTAGCAGCGGCGAAGAAGGGGGTGCTGGGGTTGCTACACGAAAAAAATAGAAATGAAAAAATTAAATTACTCCTTAAAAGACGGCTGAATTCATAGTAAAAAAGTATAGGTTTAAATATCATCACCATAAATTAGAGAAGACCTGTGCCCCAGCAGTGGGGACATTAAAAGGCCGATTATGATGATGACCCCAAAAATATTGAAACCTTAGATTGAAACAAAAAGGGCAGATACGGTACGCTCATTCAAGCATGAAATAAAATATGATCCGACTCAACTACATAAGCAACTCTCACACGCACACGTCTGTAAATAACATTCAATCGAGAGAGAGAGAGACAGAACTGTACGCTTCAACGCAGCGCGAGCGAAACGGCAAATCAGCTTCCGAGTGCGAACGGCCTTTTCTTGTTAACAAAATGGCGATTACGTAAATAATATTCATGACAAACCGTGATGTTTGAGAAAAAAAATATTTTTAGTTTTACGAATGAGAAGTGTTACCGAGACATTTGTTATTTGATTTTGAACTATTTGTGTTCTTTATAAAAGCATCAAAGGCATTGTTTAATCTTTATAACACAGAATATACGCAATATTGTTATGTTGAGGGCACATGCATTGTGTTTGGATGTCCAATTATGACTAAAGCGAATTGTGGTCATGCACCACAATTTAAGAGGATCACTTTTGAGCCGCGAGTGCCGTATCTCTCCTTTTTGTTTTAATCTAAGCTTTCCCCATATTACGTACCCGGTAAGGTCGGCGTGGTGCTTTGCGGAGGTCTCCAAGTCCTGTCCGCGCGGGCGCGCCGCTCTTCCCTCTCTTTCAGCCACGCAGCGCGACGGGCACTCTCTCTCTCTTTCGCACGCTTCGCCGCCTCAATGTTCGACCATAGCTCTTTCAGTCTATCTTCATTCGTGGACGGGTTACGTACCTCCGTTATTTCAGTCTGCACAATAATAAAAATAGTAAAATCTATTTTCTTTTTTCAAAAATAATCTTTGTGATTCCGTCATCTTCCGCAATTAACAAGTCAGGATGTCACGACACGCATGCGCGAAACTTATTTATTTCACATTACTTCAAATCAAGACTACAGTCTGTCAATAAAGTCATGAAAAGAATGTTTGAGGATGTAATGGTTTTGCTGGTACTGGCAACACGATATTACTGTCAAATTGTGTAGCTCAGTTGTCAAGGTTATGTTTATTGCGATTTTGTTTTAAAAGTGTTCATTCGAGTATTTTTTAATCGCCGCCAGTAAATGTTCTAAAAGAAGTCTGCTCAAAAGTGGCTCAAGTGTCTACTAGTCTGACCCTCGAATGGCAAATTTTTGATAATTTAATAACTGTTTTTTTTTAAGCATCAATCTGCTCCATTTATAAATGTAAAGAAATTGTGACCTAGAAAAAAATTGTATTTTTTTTTTAATTCCAGTAAAGTATCAGGCAGGTTCAGAAAAAAGAAATTAAATGACGATAAGATAGAAACTCGGATAATAATGAAATGTATGGAAGTTAAATAATCATACAATATTACTTTTTAACAAATATCAAAGCGTTTTATCCGATGTATAACGGGGATACCATGTAAACGACGGTAGCAACCTTCTTTTTATCCATGACTTTATTGACAGACTGTACTAGATATTTAAAGAAATTAAGAAAAAAATGTGTCTAACATAAAATGAGAAAAAGAAAAAAAAATGGAATTTCATCAGACAGGTTGACAAACCGTGCAAGCGAGCTTTATAAACGATTGAAATGTTTTGGCTTAAACAAAAGTTACATGTTTGAATTAAACCATTTACTCGACTTGGGGGCCCTTAAGCCTTTTTTGAATGATACTAGAGTAACAGATAGAGTAATCCGGTGACTTAGAAACAGTTTCTCGGTTACAGTCACAGCCGAGGGTGCACCTTGGGGGTATTTAATGGTAGGCTGTATTATTGCGTTAGGGCGCGTTTATATGACACAGAATGTCACAGCGTGGCGGCCACGAGGTGACAGTACGGCGAGAGGCTGCGGCCGCGTAATAACGGCCGCCGTGTGATCGACGATTGGACGCCGCTCGGTCGCCACGCGATCGCTGCGCAGTTAGCTACTCACAAAGAATTTCAACGTTAAGTCTAAACTAATTAATAAAACATAAATCTGCTATGACTGAACAGTTATTACGCGGCCACAAGAATTTTTTCGCGTCGTCTATCTGCAGCCTTACAATTATCAAAGATAAGATTTTAAGAGAGGTAGCCAAAGTGGATTTTCGTGACGTATTGGAGTGCCCACCTGGGGAAGTAACCTCCACCTTACAGAAGATAATAATAATCCACAGTACAATAACACTACCTTTGGTGGTGTTGTGATTCTGTCGGTAAGGTTCCAGGGCTCCATGGGGTAGGGAATTTGGTCAGGTTAGGCAACAGTGCGAGTGATAATTAGGTATCACAAGCATCTGTAAGCTATGGTGGCAGCTTACCATGAGGCGGGCCATATGTTTGTTTTCCACCTTCTAAAAAAAGCTCAATTCCAGTTATGTATATAGCTGATGCAGCAAAAATGTGCACAGCACCAGCCATCTTTACCTTCCCAACCTGAACTCAATCCACTACCCCGTGAAGCCCTGGAACCTCGCTCACCACCAGAATTCAACATGCCACAAAAAGTAAGTATTATTTTAATGTAGTCTTGTTTAAGCTGAATAACCAGACAAGAGCCAGACACGTGTAAGAAAATAAAAAAAAATATGCCAGACCTGTCAAGGTCTTCTTATCTCAACAAATTTTAAAATTACGGTGTAGCTCTCACACATGGGCACTCCAGTTCCAGAGGGAAATCCGCTATTTACCTCCGTTATTACCTGTTTAGTTCGATTTACAGTGAACATAAATTATCTAATGTACTAGGAAAGCAGTGATGGCAGAGGCAGATTTAAGGTTTTTTGACAGTGACAGTGACGGCAACAGTGCGAGTGATAATTTGGTATCACAAGTATCTATAAGCTATGGTGGCCGATTACCATCAGGCAAGCCTTATGCTTGTTTGCCGCGTTTTTAACATGAAATAAAAGAGAAATTTGTTACCTTCAACTGGTCATACTGTTGATTCATTTCTGCAAGGGTTTTCTGGATCTCAACGATCCTTTCTTGTGTAAGGCGTTTAAGGATGCTCTCTTGTGGAGTTTCCACTGCGCCCTCGGAGCTCCTTTTCTTTCTTTTTGGTGTCTCCACATGTTCCAACAGGGCTCCGTACTGTGCTGCACAACTGTGAATAAAGGAGGAAAAATAATATTAAGCTGTACATATATAAGTATATTTATACAGAAGTACATATTTAACAAACCATGACTGGAGTACAAATGCTTGTATTCATCACACAAACAGCTGCCCCTACCGGGATTCGAACCCGGGACCTCTCGAGTCGGCGACACCATGAAATTCGGCGTACAAAGCACTGCCACGGAGGTCGTCAAAATTATTAGAGTTAAATTTGGCGCTAGTATTATGCATAAAACTTATAAAAAATCTTGGAAAATTATATTTAACTGCTAGTATAAAGAAAATTTTAATAGAAAAACAAATTCTAGTAAAATCTTGGATGATGTTACCTCTTCTGTGAATACCAGTCTGGTGGTCTATTTGGTTCCCCCACGGTTTTTAACGCTCTAGAAACGGACATCCAGTTCTGATCGCCACTCCTGACTACTGCGGAGGCGAGGCATAGCTGCTCCCTGATGTTCCAAGTATCCAGAGGCACTCGCTTGAGCTGCAGTCTCTCTTGAATGGAGCTCATAGTTTGAGATTAGAAAATACACACTTATTCCTTGAAATAAAGCGCTTTACTTCGATTTATCATCACCGTAGGTAGGTATATTTGTATCCCTGTTGTTAAAGTTTAATAACTAAAAACTTCAAGACGAAATGATTGGATAAATGGCCAAAATCGTGGTATTTTGCAATGTACAATGCAAAAGAAAACATAAATACACAGATGACTATTTTTTAGGTAATTTGTCCCTGTTGGGACGGGCAAAGGATTCTTAGTCCATACATTCTTCCTTAAAGTGTTTGACTGTGGCTTTTACAAATTTGTATACAGGAATGTTGGTGTCGTTATTTTGTAAAAGTTTTCTCAAGTCTCGCGGGATGGTTCCTTCGCCAAACAAAAGTACTTCGAAGGTCTTGAAGCAGCAAACTCTGTACTTGATTTTTTAATCTTTTGTTCCCATCTTGGGAAAGGCAAAGGGTACGGCCACAGTGCACGCAGATTCAGATTCAGACTCAGAAAACAAGCGCGAGAAATAAAGGGTGCGGCCAGAGTGCACTCAGATTCAGATTCAGATTTCGAAAACAAGCGCGAGAAATAAACAGTGTAGTCGAAGGGTACGGCCAGATTGCACTCCTGATTTAGATTCAGATTCAGACTCAGAAAACAAAGCGCGAGAAAAAGCAGGCAACCTGCTTAGACTACACTGTTTATTTCTCGCGCTTGTTTTCAGAATCTGAATCTGACTCTGAATCTGAGTGCACTCTGGCCGCACCCAAACAGTGTAGTTAAAGCAGGGTGGCCATAGTGGCAGCAGGCCCGCGCAGGTTTCGGAGTCAGACACTTAACCGGAATGTTTATGTCATTCAGATTCTGAATTCACCAGCGCTGCTCGGACTGCAGGTAGGGTTGCCAACCCTCCTATAAAATATAGTATCCTACTTTACAGTTTGTCTATAAAGTCGTGACATGAATGTGAGAGGAACTAACATTATTCATGTGTCTGGTAACACCAAACTTATGTACATCAGCTGTCATCGAGTTTCAGTTGTGGAACAGTTTTCCTTTTGTATTTTTATTGTTTGGATTAAACTGTAATAAATTAAGACGAAACTACGCAGAAAGGTATAAAAATGAGTAAAGTAAATCGGAGTGGCACGCGGGAAGTGATTTTTAAAGTTTTCCAGCCATGTTTCGAAGACTACCAAGCCGGACGAATTTTGTGGGATTTGGATGATGTTTATGGGCGAACAGCATCTATGACGGGTATGTAATCGTGTAACTATTTGTTTGTAATCTGCCTGAAGTTACAAATTTACTCAATTTACGATTTTGAGACCAAAAAAGGCATTGTTTACATTGCACATTTTCAGGTAAGCTTGACATTGTAAATAGGTAATATTGTAGTACGACCATTTCTTTTGATACGTTATTATGGTTCAACTCGGTCAGGTTTTCTACCTATTTTAAATTAATTGCTTCATGTCAATAAGTTATTATTTCTATTCCGTTACATTTTTTTTACATTTTTTCAGGAAAATGATGGAAAGTGAAGATACCTATCACTAATTTTACTAACTGCACATTTACAAATTGTTTCTCTAAATAAACTTTTTATGTACTATAAAATGATTTTTAGTATTATTTTCTTAACAAGTGTGTTAAAAAACGTCGTATGATGATACTTGTCTGTATTGATGATTACCTAACGGTTCTGGTCTCAATGGCACCTCAGCGGTAATCACCGCTTTAATGTTTACACACTTTTACACTATAAAGTACTATTTTATATAATAATTTTATTCTGATTCAATTAAATATGCTTGGCTAAACTTTTTATAAGCATAGGTACCTACTATATATACAGAAACTACTACAGAAACAAAATACGACTGTATAGTGTGTTTTATTAATTACCTATTTTACTTGAATGAACTGCTAGTATCAAAATCATTTTGGTCCGACTGTATAGGGTTGCTACATACATACTAGTGGCGCCATCATTTAATGTCACGACTTTATAGACAAACTGTAATACGGGAACAAATACTATATTTCTAAAAAATACGTAGTAGGCGAAATTCCTAAATTTTACTTTAAGCATATTTTTGACAGTAAAAGCTTTCTTAAAAAATATTAGAGATTGTTATTATAATATTAGCAAGGCAAAGAGCAACAAAAATATATTTATTTCAAAAATAAAGTAAATATTATAACTATATACTGGTGTCGATTCTGGCACGATTCTCTAAATCTAAACTTAAATTTGACAACAGTGGTGTCGATTCTAGCATGATTCTCTAAACCTAAACTTAAATATGACAGCAGTATATCCTTGTCATTCTCAATACAGAATGAAAAGGAGAGACTGATGTTAATTCTTCATCATGTGAGGTTATTTTTTTTTTAATGTAGTAGTTAGAACGTTTCCACTTCCATCCTAAAATATTTTAAGAAACAAATGATGGTGTTCCCCATATTCTCCGATCGATCTTCATTAGAAAACTCCTCCATGTTTACAACTGCGAAAACACCCCCAATTTAAGTTTCTGGATCAACAGCTTCGAACGCGTCGAATGAGAAAGAGAGACTGTTGAATGACTGTCGATTGCGACTTTTTACAGATTAAAGGTTTATGAAGTGGTTTTATTTTTATATAAAAAAGTAATTAAGAAAACCCCCGTTTCCCCCAAAACAAAATTTCTTCCCCCATTAAACCCCCCATCACTTTAAAAAAACCCCAAATTTGGAGTAACCTCCCCCAACCTGGCAACAGTGCTCGCGTCCGCGTCTTGTATTATCTGCCTCCACTGTGGCCATCACCTAGATCCTCAAGCTGACATCTCACGAGCTTGTTTTCTGAGTCTGAATCTGAATCTGCGTGCACTCTGGCCGTACCCGTACGCAAAGGCAACACAGATGACTAAGATGATGTCTAAGGGTGTCGCGACCCTCTTGGGGGCGGGGCTGCCAATGCAGCCCATATCCGTGATACAAACGTATCCACCGTGGATCGCGAGATTTTGACGATAGACACGTGACAAAGGGAGAATCGAGAGACGAAGGGTGATTACTTACCATAGATTATATTGTATGTACCAGCGAATGCCCGTCCATGCCTCTCATCTCTTTCTTACTCCATCTGTAAGTATAAATAAAATTATGACACCACTGCGTGGTGCCACTAAGTCCCGGAGTCACACCATCATCACGGTATGATTCCAGGATTCATAGAACACATAAATATTGTCATAAATGAGTATCAAGATCATCTATATGTCAATTACCCATGTTAACTCAACAATCTACTTTAGCTGTCTAAACGATGCGGAGATTTCCTAACATGACTTTATGCCATGTGTCCTACGCTCCTGCAGAGCGATGTGAGCATGAGAGCCAAGCCGTCGCCTGCTCCCCACGCAACCCTTGCATGTGTGCGCCCACATGCAAGAGTCGCGTCGTCCACTTCTTATGGCACTACTATGGAACGTCTCCCATCTGGCTCAGCCACTATTCCAGCTCCGTCCAGACATAGCGCTGCGCATGCCATAACACTCTCTCTTGTGCTCTTTCGGTAGGGTACCCTAGGACTTGCCTCCTGCAGAAGCACAAGCCCTCCTCTTTTATATTGTTATAATTATGTCAATGCCACAGGCGGTTCACGCCTTTAACGCCGCCGGTACTTTCACCGTGTGAGAGAGTATCTTTTTACCTCCTTTTATATTGTTATAATTATGTCAATGACACAGGCGTTTCCCGTTCTTACGCCGGTGTGAGAGAGTATCTTTTTACCGTGCCGGTAAACACAGGTACATAGGCTAATATCAAGAGCGCAGGCAAGCGCTTATTTTTACACTTACAAACTTTTCATGAGATGCAAACAGGCTATTATTTAGGTGAACTATTCTACTACTTAGCTTTCGTTATATTCCGATCGATTGGTTCTCGAGCTCGTAGACAGGCACGCATCAGGTAGGCACATTTTTATGGCACATAACAGTTATTAAATAACAGTACAAGGTAATAATAGTATATTAGTTAAAATAGCACAACAAACAAGAAGAGAAAAAAGAGCGGCTTACTTGACATTGACATTAGTTATAGCGGCAATTGATATGTGTTGCCACCTCAAACATCGCGACTGGTGTTGCCGTCGCGACACTCCCAACGGCGCGATTAAAGAGTGTTAAAAAGGCTGCGAGTCCACTCTTGGATCTTTTCCAAGGCTTTGGTCGCAGCGACACGTACTGGTCTGGAGTATCTTATAACTTGTGGCATATTAACTGTGTCACCATCATGTGAGTCTGTCTTGTTAGTTTCATGATCAGATAAATCATCATCATGTATTGGCACTATTGTATCTGGGTTACTTTCCTTTAGGGATTCATTGTGATTTGCGAAATCTTCTAGAGGCAATTTTTCAATTTCAGGCGTATAGGCATGACTTACAAATCTTGTTTTATCTGAAGGTTGGTCAACGACCTTCGCTTGCGTTTCATCATCAATTTCATTTACCTCTAGCGGGTACAGTTGTGAAATAGATCGAGTGTATTCTGTGATCCCAACTCTAACCTTTGCTACTCTTATAAGACCATCGTCTCCTGGAGTAAGTGAGACTATTTTCCCCACTTTCCAGCTTTCACGATTTTTAGAGTCTCCTCTTATTTGAACTATTTGTCCTACTTCTGGTTTTAATGCTGATTTGACTCTTGGTTCCTTAACTAAATTTTGGTATCTCTCACGAAGACTAGGTAAATAACGGTTCATAAATATGTCTTTAAATTCTTCTAGAATAATCAAAGTCCTTTTCCATGACTTGACTAGGTTTATTTTGGTTGTTGTCCCCGTTACGGGTATATCCTATATATTGGTATTAATGCTTATAGTGTTTCCCATTGTGAGGAAGTCGGAAGGAGTTAAAATATGTATTATTTCAGAATCTACGCACGTCAAAGGTCTTGTGTTTAATATAGCTGCAATCTCTTTTATTATCGTCATCAACTGATTGTCATACAAGAGATGTTTCTGTAGAGTCCTTTTCATACAATATTTGACTAAACCTACTAATCTTTCGTAAAATCCTCCAAACCATGGAGCTAATTGAGGTATGAATTTCCATTGGATTTCTTTCTGTTTGCAATAGGAACTAGTTAGAATTTCTGCTATTAATTTAAATTGTGTGGCGTTATCTGAAGTTATCAATTTTGGTATTCCTCTTGTGGATATCATTCTTCTTAAAGCCAGAAGTCCTTCTTCTGCGGTTAGGTCTTGTAC